TCTAAGCCTTGTACAATTAAAATTTATATTTCGAGACAATGTATGGTTATTCTATATGTCTTGATTTTCTAAAGTATTTTAAAACCCAACATGTTTTGCAATGATAAACCCCAAAAAATATTTTTTATAAAATGCTATTAAGACAAGGACTGTGGCAATTTCATAAAAAATTACTTGTTCATTTCACACAGTAAACTAGAAAGTAGACATTTGACCCTGATTTTTGTCATGCTAATAAATCTCACAAAGTGTAATGTTCTCTAAATATCCATCATTGACACAGCAAATTATACTTAACTGAAAATTAAATATTAATCAAAATCTTTGTCAAAAATCAAATAAAATCTAATTCAAAATGCCAAATCTATCAATTTTAACACATATTAACATTATAAATTGAGCAAAGGGAGATAACTCTAATTAAAATCATTCAAATACTTCAAAGTAATTTTCAAGGCCAAGATAATCATGAAAGATTCATGAACTACCTGATAAATACAAGTTATATTTGGACTTAGACAACAGAAATACAATGGTAACCTCAATGTAAGAAAATATCGGGCTGAAAAGAACAAAACTTTACCATGTAAACTATGCAAAACTATCAAAGATGATGGATATAACAGAGTGGAAGAGTCGAATGATCTCAATGGGAATGAGTTATACCAATGATTATACAACTGCCTTTCAAAAATCATTGATTCATGCACTTTAAGTGGTTCTCCTTAAAATGATGTAATTAAAAACTTTAACACGTTAACTATGCAGAAGTTTCAAAGTAAATGTACTACGACTGAGAGATACAACTGCCTACCAAATATCATTGACTTACCATAAGTGGTTTCCCTTAAACTGACCTAAACACCAGCTTTAAAAAATTTGGACAAAAGCAACGCCACTAGGAAGAGCACTTAGAAAAATAAGGAGGAATGTGTCCATGGGACACTGATGTCCCAGCTTGTAAATATGCAAGACTCCATGATGTACTAATTCAAACCTATTCCATTCTCAATTTTATTGACATTGTGTTTTCTTTTAATCTTAATAAAATGGTATAACACATAAATGATGAAAGTGATGTCACCAAATTCAAACTTGATCTGTGTTTGGTGGTAATCAGCATTGTGTATAAGTTTCATAACATTTGGTTGAGGCAAACTAAAGTAAGAGAAAAGAAACCAATTTCAGGATGTACGTAAGGACAGACAAAGGTAAACCTTAATGCCCCCTTTGCCTAGACACCACGCCATATAAGTCAACTCAATGAATTTGATCTCTAGGCATGACAAAAATGGGTCTGCACCAGTACAATATTCATAAAATTTTCTGTACAAAGGCTGAAATGAAATTGAATGAAATATAGGTAAATAAAAACAAAACACAAACTTGATCTACAGCACATAATTATAACAAAAGATCAGCTGTATATTTTCAGGGCATAAAAAAAAATTGGGTCACTGATGGATTTCTGAATGAGAAAAGGAAAGACACTTGAAACACTAAAAGCCTAAGCAATTTTAGTGGGAGGGTCAAAATAGACTTTACATCCATAGCAGAGCATAGTTACATTGCCATTGGATTATTATTTCTATCTTTTCAAAAATCAGCTAACTATTTACAGTGACAGCCATAAAACTTACCATATATAAGTAATACCCTTATCTTCTATTTACAGTAACAGCCATAAAACTTACCATATATAAGTAATACCCTTATCTTATATTTAAAGCAATCACATATATGTGGTTTTTTAAAGGACATTAATCATAAACTAATATGCAGAACTCCTGAAGGATGATTCAGGTTAAAGTCATTGATTGATAATTAGACCAGTGTTTACAAAGTCTAAGTTCTAAGGAAATCTTAAAGACAGAAATCAAGTGCTGATAAAATGTCACAAAAAGCTAATATTGCCTTCGTATAAAATCTCACTGGGGAAAGGGGGTATCAGCCCTCACTTCTAGTAATAATATCCTTTTAAAGTTAAAAAAACAAATGAAATTTGGTAACTATTTGAAACTTGTCAAAGGCTATATAGTTTTTGTATAAATAATATCCTTATTTCAATCAACTTGTTCTATATCTGTATTTTACTATTTATTTCTACTAAAAATAGAAAATATAAACACAATATATCTTTGTTGTAAGTTGGAACAGTCCAGGTTAAATTGACTGTTGTCAAATATGTTTGAGATAGCAAGTTGAACTGTTAGCTACTGCTTACTAATGATACCCCTTTATAAGCAGTACGTTAACAGGAAGTTGACAATTGGTGGCTGTGAAAACACATCACACAGTTGCATGCTCATATGAAGCTTGAAACCAAATTTCAGGAAGCTCTGATTTCTAGTTCCTGAGAAAAAGGTGTTGAAAGTTTTCTTGGACAGAGGGGCAAAAGGACAGACACATGGCCTGAAAAGATAGTGGTAAACCAGAAAACTTACTGTCTTAGGTTAAAATAATTAAGAACAAAGAAATCCAGATTCGGATGTTTATTGGTCATGTTAAAATTTGTAATAAACAGATTGTAAAATATCTCTTTCTGTTCATGTCCCTAACTACTAGAGCTTTAAGGGGATTCATTGCTGACCTTTATGAATTGTATCAAAAGGTTCTTGAATTGTCATTTTTGTAATATTTGCATACGTATTTCACTGTGAAATTTGAAATAAATACATAATAAACTACTGGCACAGAGATATGTCTTGCCTGTCTACTGAAAATTCAGAAAAAAGACAATCTGATGGACAGTAACAGTGCTAATTAATTTAAAGTTGCTAGACAATGACAGAGGGGGCAGCACGTCAAAATGATTGTCAAACTGAGATGTATTGGGTGTTATTTGAACTACTTAGTATATAAGAATATATCATGGGATAATCTTATAGACCTTGAAAATTGTCAAATATCATTTATAGTCTATCATACATTGTAAGTGCTTCCTATCAAACTAACTTAAGCAGAAAACTTAACATTGAAAATTGGTAATTAATTGAAAGTCACTGGACTATTACCTTCGGGGCAGGGCTTGAAATAATTGCCAAACTGATATGTGCTGATAGTAATGCAACTTTATAGAAATTATCATTGATAAATCACATGTAGTTCTTATCAAATTGAACATTGAAAATCGCTAATCAATTCAAAGTCACTGGACCATGACATAAGGGGCAGGGCCTCAAAATAGTCATCAAACTGATATGTATTTTTAGTAATGGAACTTTATAAAAAATATCATTGATCTATCACAAGAAGTTCCTATCAAACTGACTTATACAGAAAACTTAACATTGAAAATTGCTAATCAATTCAAAGTCACTGGACCATGACATAGGGGGCAGGGCCTCAAAAATAGTCATCAAACTGATATGTATTTTTAGTAATGGAACTTAATAAAAAATATCATTGATCTATCACAAGAGGTTCATATCAAACTGACTTATACAGAAAGCTTAAAAATTGATGACACCAAGGGAAAAACAATGAACACCTATGTTTCACCTTACTCGACTTTTGTCGCAGGCGATGAGAAAAGTATGCTACAGTTATTATAAGTATGCTATAATGATTATTTCAGAGAAAACTCTAAAATTGTTCACAATATCATTTAAAATGAAAAAAAACCATTTCTCTTGTAACTCATTTGAGTGGTATTTTTGTGTTTTACTTATTTTTTAGATTCTCTGTTCTGTGAGTTGATTCCATTATCAAACACAAAATTAGTAACAATTGGACATTGAACTTACCCAACCCACGTCCCCACATTGTCATTGGAGAAATAAAATAAGTGTAAGAAAAAAAAATTGTATCATAAAAAAAAAATGGAATCATAATTTCCTGTCAATATGCACATCTACATAGTATGTCCTTATTATCTACACAGTTTCATGAAATTCTGTTGTGTGGTTTGAGAGGAGTTGCGATGACAAAAGGTTGCAGTAGTATATTGGGCAAATAAGTTCAAAGGGGCGTAACTTCTGGAAAAAAAATTGAATCGTAATTTCCTGTCGATATGCACATCTACGTAGTATGTCCTTATTATCTGAAAAGGTTTCATGAAATTCTGTTGTGTGGTTTGAGAGGAGTTGCGATGACAAAAGGTTGCAGTAGTATATTGGGCAAATAAGTTCAAAGGGGCGTAACTCCTGGAAAAAAAATTGAATCGTAATTTCCTGTCGATATGCACATCTACGTAGTATGACCTTATATCTGAAAAGGTTTCATGAAATTCTGTTGTGTGGTTTGAGAGGAGTTGCGATGACAAAAGGTTGCAGTAGTATATTGGGCAAATAAGTTTAAAGGGGTGTAACTCCTGGAAAAAAAATTGAATCGTAATTTCCTGTCGATATGCACATCTACGTAGTATGTCCTTATTATCTGAAAAGGTTTCATGAAATTCTGTTGTGTGGTTTGAGAGGAGTTGCGATGACAAAAGGTTGCAGTAGTATATTGGGCAAATAAGTTCAAAGGGGCGTAACTCCTGGAAAAAAAATTGAATCGTAATTTCCTGTCGATATGCACATCTACGTAGTATGTCCTTATTATCTGAAAAGGTTTCATGAAATTCTGTTGTGTGGTTTGAGAGGAGTTGCGATGACAAACTGTAGCAGTAGTACATTAAAGTAAATAAGTTCAAAGGGGCGTAACTCCTAGAAAAAGAATTGAATCGTAATTTCCTGTCGATATGCACATCTACATAGTATGTCCTTATTATCTAAAAAGGTTTCGTGAAATTCTGTTGTGTGGTTTGAGAGGAGTTGCGATGATAAGAAACAGGACTGACGGACTGACGGACGGACAGACAAACGGACGGACAGGTCAAAAACATTATACCCTCCGCAACTCGTTGCGTGGGGTATAATAAAAGCTCAATATCAAACTTTTATTGGGATCAGCTAGCACCCCTCACAATATGTTTTTGTATGAGTTCTATATATTCCTATATGCCCTGTAAGTCACTCTATAACTAATAATATACAAAGATATGAACAATAACTCACTTTATTTCTGGTTTCTTGGTCAAGATCTACACACTGGTCCAAAGGTAAACCTTCTACATACTCTGTTGTCAAAATTTCTTTGGTGCTTAATTCATCTATCACTTCAGGCACATAGAAATTATTATTATCTGTCAAAAAATTCCTGAAAAATAAAACAATGATCAATATACTCCGTACAACATGGAATGTTATTTTCTAAAATAAATTAGTTCATGGGCAAAAATTCTGTAACAAGAAGGTCAACCAGAACAAAAGACAATAAAGAGCTGCGCAATGAGCGCATGATATGCCTGTCGCATTTTCAAAGAATAAAGTTCCATAACTCCTCAAAGTCATATCAGAAATTTAGAAAAAATAAAGGGAGGTTATTTTGTTAGATATAAACCAGTCACCAAAGTTTCACGAAAACTGCTCAAAGCATTTTCGAGTTATTGGCCGCTGAAAACTGGAAAATCCCCCTTTATTAATGAATAAAACCCCATAACTCGGAAACTTAAAATCTAAAATTCATAAAAATTGAAAGGGAGCTCACATCAATAGATTCACCAAAGTTTCATGCAAATTAGTTAAAGCGTTTTTGAGTTATTGTCCGACATGTTGACGACGAACGGTATACCATCATACGTCCCATAAATGGGCGTATAAAAATTGAAAATCAATTGAAAATACCCTTACACAGCAACATACAAAATATCGTGTCATATGATTCACATGTATATATATAGATTCTTACATTGGTACCGGTTGATTAACGGATTTATCAAATCTAGATAGTTAAATTACCAAATTTTAAAGTCCAAGCCTCGGAGAGGACTTTAAAATTAATATTTAACTTTCAAGATTGGATAAATTCGATAATCTAAGAGTAACTAAGTAAGAATCTTTTTCTATAATGATTATCAAATAAATTTTAAATTTTGATAAAAGAAAATCCCCTTTCGAGTGCCTTACACATTCCAAAAAGTTGTCAATTTCATTAACACCTGTTAGCATATTTTGAAAAGATTAATCCAGTGAGCTGATAAAGAGAAAACAATTGAAAGCTTTGATTTTTTCTTTTCATGTCTATTAGAGCATTGATTTTTACATGCACCTACTTGAATTTTCTTCCACATTCAGCCTCCCTCACATAGTCAACTTCCCATGCTAATTCCATTTTGGCAACTTCCATCACATTTTCTACATAAAGGCCTGAAAGTCAAAATGAGAATGTGAATTTTGAAACCTGTCCCCTTTTTAAGCAAGCAAGCCATAAACCATTTTGGTACAAAAAATTCATACACATAACGTAAGCTTTGTAATTTAACCAATGCCAATCACAATACCTATCATCTTTTCTGAAAATAAATCAACATTCTAACTTTTTAGCATCAGAGACTAGTAGTCCTAGAAGGCCATTATTCATCTGACATATAAGCTTAAGCCTCCATTTCTACTTCTAGCAATGGCAACCATCTAAGAAATTATTAAACAACTTAATGATATAAGTCTTGTTTGTCTAAAGACATCACAGAGGTTCTTCAAATTATATGCATATTTTTTATATAAACAGACTGTTAGACAAATTATTGTACAACTTCCTTTTCAGGGTTGTATGGATACATGCCTGTTAAATGATACAATTTTAAAGTAATAAATGATTCAAACCAACTCAGTTTACCATATATACTGGTTCAACTGTTCTCTTAAGAATTTTCAATCCTTTTTCCTATGACCTACATTTGTATTTCTAATAAAACTCAATTGAGGTGATTGAAGGCATTTTCATAACAGGAATGTCAAAATTCATTATGTATTAGCTAATTTATTTTTTTAAATGTAAATGTGAAATCCACATTAAATGAGCATAGCATAGCATAACTAGTATTTCATACTCCAGAGTTAATATAAACTAACCTTTTGGTAGAATATTGTAGATGTTGACGACTGACATCAGGTTATTTATATCACTGTTAATACTTTTAGCTACTCCTGGATACTATTAAAATATAAAATTGGTCTTTAAAGATTTAAGAACATATATTATAGAATATATTCATTTAATACTGTGAATTATTCTTATGTCTTGCCTTGATGATTTTTTTTCCTGTTTACATTTTCTATCTTCCTGTTATAATTTTCAATATAATAGACAAAAACATTAATATTGATCAATAAAATGCTTCGCTGAGCGCATCCTGAAACGACCACAGAGGTCGAACCCTGAACAGTTGGGGCAAATTTGGACACAAAATTCAAGCTTGATACTGTCTGAATTTGGATTGTGATCAATTTTTTGACATAATATACGTTTCTGACACAAAATAAATGTGGTCAAAGATCTTATAAATCCATTGCGCAATACTTTGCAATTGAAGATTTCTTCTTGAAACTTTTCAAAAATGCAAAATTTTTAAAACTTTGAAAAAAAATTTGAATCCCTTAAAAAAATTGGGGAAAAAATTCCCCCCCCCCCCCCCTAATTTTTTGAAACCCCACTTGGAGCAACAACCCCAAAACTCAATCCCAGCCTTTTTTTGTAGTATGGAACCTTGTAGTACAATTTCAGAGAGATCCATATACTTACACACAAGTTATTGTCTGGAAACTAGAAAAATGCTTGTTTTTGGCCCTTTTTTGGCCCCTAATTCCTACATGTTTGGGGCAATTATCCCCCAAACTCAATCCCAGCCTTCCCTTTGTTATATGAAACCTTGTGGTACAATGTCAGAGAGATATTATTTATATAACTAGAAAAATGCTTGTTTTTGGCCCCCTTTTGGCCCTTTATTCCTAGACTGTTGGCCCTATAACCCTTAAAATGAATCCCAACCTTCTACTTGTGGTACAATTTCAGAGCGATTGAAATACTTAAACACAAGTTATTATTCTGAAACTAGAAAATTGCTTGTTTTGGGCCCCTTTTTGGGCTCCTAATTCCTAAACGGTTGGGACCATCATCCCCAAAATCAATCCCAACCTTCCTTTTGTGGTATTGAACCTTCTTAAAAAATTTCATAGAGATCGATTAACTTAAACTTAAGTTATTGACCGGAAACCAATGTGTCTTCAGACAACGACGCAGACGATGACATCATACCATTATACTATCCCAAAAAATTTTTTGTGGTCGTATAAAAATAATTAAATAAGGGCAATAACTTCTATAAGGTATCAATTGATGATAAAACAGATGATTACAGTCATATTGGCTTTTTTTGTGGATCTAGTATTGCTCATCATTTTTCTGATTGAAAGCTCTGCCTATCCATATATAAAAAGTCAAGATAAGGCCAACTAAAATTAATTAGTAGATTTTCATCCAGATTTTTTTTTTTAAATTGGGCAGGTGGGAGGATTTTATTTTTATAATTTTTATTTCCTCCATTTACCCTTTTGTGAAGTGTTGTTCATATACAAGGGTAATAATAAGCTTATATCATGTACAAGGCTTTCAAAACAGTCATATATGCCGGACATTTGTATAATGTCCGGTAAAAGTCCGGCTGGGCAAAGCATGAAACGGTCATCTACTTTTTAGTTTTCAAGGCTTTAAGAGGCGGTCATTTTAACACAATTCGCGTTCTTTTAGACCCAACGTTTTGCCTTTAACAGCCACACATTTCCGGTCATAAAAGTGACATGATCATTAAGTACTATCAAAACAACCCCTACTTTAATACCTTCTCATTTTAATCAAGGCTAATTAGTTGTCAAACAGCTGAAATTTACCTGTTCAGGTGACAGGTAAACTATTTTGAACAGGACATTGATCGGTCTATTCAAAGTTATTTTCTTACATTTCAGGGGTTTGCATCTAATTAATTTAGTCAAAAAGGTTTAAATTATCAGAAATACGTTTACAACTATGATTTGATGAAAAAATTAAAAAGGTGAAAATGAAAAATCGTCATAACCACGTTGTTTGAACCTGGTGACATGTCTCTGTTTGAACTAGTACACGTGTGCGCATGTGCGCAGGTGTGAAATTTAATTATGCATCCTAATTTCTTCAAAAAATGCTTAAATTGTCATTGATACCTTTATCTCAAGTTTATTTAGAATATTTTCTTGAAGAAATAACGTAGAAAGAGCTACTTCCACTCATTCACGCTTTGCAAACGTACACGGAATTTATGTATCCGTCTGTGGTCCATATTTTACCATTGTCAAGATAACATCCGGTATAAAAACGAAAGTAAAGTTTTTGACAACGTTATTTTGCACAAATAAAGAGTCTAAGGCAGATAAAAGTACGCTGATGTTGCACACTTCGAATGACGCACTGCCAATTTAACAGTTCACGTCAGAACTTCGAATTTGTATCAAAGAAAGTTTAATATCGTTTTTTTTAATGTCAATCATTGGGATGGCCAACTCGGCAACTGATTACCATAATTGCCTTTTGTTTATTTAGTCTTAAGGGATTAAAATCGGGATAATATATAAAATGTCGGGCTGGCTAAAAATAATTTTGGAAGCCCTGATCATGTATATATAAGAAATTTTACATTATTTTTCAAATTCTTAGATTAATATTTCTGATTGGCAACCACTGTTCTACATGTAATTGCCGCTTTAGAAACCTATTTTTAGTAAATAGCAAAAACGTGGACAAATGTTCTCTTTCAGTCTACCTAGATCAAATTTATTTTGTTTTCTAAGCAATGATTAGTAGTGCCCATAAAATTAAGCATATGCATTGGTATGCAATACAAACATTATGAGTACAGAGTGAAATGAAAACTCACACTGTGTTGAAAATACCAGGGTTGATGCTTTTAAGATACTTATGCAAGGTGCAAATATAATTACAATGTAAAACATGAACTGCACCAAAACAAAGAAGTTGTTTAATGTGACTATTGAGGGGCTGGGGACAGAGGGTGTTTGCTGTTTGTCAACAAAAACGACAGTCTTGGGGGGTAAATCTAAGGGCTTGCTATAATACATTTTGTATGTTGGCCGACTCTTTGTACTCAATATATGGTCATAAATCGCACAAGTTCGTGCTTGTGTTGATTACTTTATTCCAGTCATTTTATTTGTACCAATGTGTTCCACGATTCTTACACTTTGGATATCATTCACAGTCCAAATTTCCTGACACAAAGTCATTTTATAAATAAATAAATGTGGATAGTGTCCACATGTGGACACAGATGATGCCCCCGCTTGCATATCATATAGTTATAAAGGGACATAACTGAAGAACAGTAAAAGTGACGCTACCCAAATTTGAACTTGATCTGAGTTTTGTGTGCAAGTCTCATAACATTTGGTTGAGGCAAACTTAAGTAGAGAACAGAAACTAAATATTCAGCAATTTTTCTATTTGTAAATACACATAACTCTAGAACGGTTGTGTATAAGTTTCATAACATTTGGTTGAGGCAAACTAAAGTAAGAGAACGGAAACGAAAAATTCAGCAATTTTTATGTTTATAAAGGGACATAACTCAAGAATGGTAAAAGTGTCACCAAATTTTGTACTTAATCTGTATTAAGTAGTAATAAGCATTGTGTATAAGTTTCATAACATTTGGTTGAGGCAAACTAAAGTTAGAAAACGGAAACAAAAAATTAAACTGAGTTTTGTGGTAAAAAGCATTATATATACATTTCATTACATTAATTTAAGACAAACTCAAGTTAGAGAACGGAAACGAAAAATTCAGCAATTTTTTCATTTGTAAATGGGCATAACTCTAGAACAGTAATCAAAGTGCTTGTAAGCACTGAATGGTAAAGATTGCTTTAATTTATCAGTAGGAAGTAAAATTGAATATTGCATTGTATAAAGCATTGGTTGTAGTTGATTCAACTACAATAATGCACAAAGAAAGATAACTTTAATTTTCAAAGAAGACTTTAAAATATTTTTAGAAATGAAGGGTAAAAATTGCTTTAATTTATCAGTGGAAGGTAAAATTAAATATTGCATTGTATAAAGCATTGATTGTAGTTGATTCAACTATAATCATGGACAAAGAAAGATAACTCCAATTTTAAAAAATACTTGATATTTAGGAAAAAAATGAAAAATTTTCTATTTGTAAAGGGCATAACTCTAGAACAGTAAAAGTGACGACACCAAAATTCAAACTTGATCTGTATATTGTGGTAATAAGCATTGTGTATAAGATTCATAACATTTGGTTGAGGCAAACTTAAGTTAGAGAACGGAAACCAACTTTGGGACGTACAGACGGACAAGGGTAAAACTTAATGCCCCCTCCGCTATGGCGCGGGCATAAAAAATGCGCTCCGCCTGGAGCAGCTCATTATTACCGCAGAGGTCAAACTCTGAACAGTTGGGGCAAGTATGGACACAATATTCAAGCTTGATACAGCTCTGAATTTGGAGAGTGATTAAATATTTGACACATTATAGATTTCTTTTACAGAATAAATGTGGTCAGATAACTTAAAAATTTGAAATGGGACATTTAATCTACTTAATGGTCCAATATCCAAAATCTAATTCCATGGTTAGATTCAGCATATAAAAAAAACCATGAATTCAAACAAAGTTTAATTTTGGACCCTTTGGACCTTAATATGGACTAATTTGAAAACAGGGCCAAAAATTAAAAACCTGAATGCACAGTTAGATTCAGCATATCATAGGACTACCAGAATTTAGTTTTTGATGAAATCAAACAAAGTCTAATTTTGGACCCTTAGGACCTCAATGTAGACCTATTTAAAATTTTCAAATATCCAATATCGTAATACATGGTAAAAATCTTTTAAACAATTCAAGACTTTAAATTAATCCTCATGGAAATTGGTTAAAAGGTTTGTATTTATTTTCAATTGAAGATTTCTTGCTGTTGTGCAATACTTTACTTTGCTGTTGCGCAATACTTAGTAAATCTGTTTACAAACTAAATGTAATAATTTGCACACTCTGTTTGGTGTGTATCTCCTGCCATATCAGTATTTGTTGTTTCTTTATATAGATCAGAAATAATTCATGTTAGAACCAGCTTAGCCATTGTCCTCTAGTTTCTGAACGATTAAAGCCACAACCAACAAAATCGACCCCAACCTTCTGTGTGTAATATGGAACCTTGTGGTACAATTTCATAGAGATCCATTGACTAATACTTAAGTATTTGTCCAGAAACAAGAAAAACCTTCTTCCTCCCCCCCTTTTAGCCCCTTATTCCTGAACGGTTTGAGCCATAACCCCCAAAGTGACAAACCCAACCTTCCCTTTGTGGTATGGAACCTTGTGTTTCAATTCCATATATAGAGATCCATAGACTAATACTTTAGTAATTGTCCATTAACCAGAAAACCCTTGTTTTCCCCCGTAAATCCGGAATGGTTTGGGCCATAACCCCAAAAGTCAATTCCAACCTTCCCTTTGTGGTATCGAACCTTGTGGTACAATTTCATAGAGATCCATACACTTATGCACAAATTATTGTCCGGAAACTAAAAAAAATGCCTTTTTAGGCCCCTTTTTGACCCCTAATTCCTAAACAGTAGGGACCATAACCCCCAAAATCAATCCAAACCTTCCTTTTGTGCTATTGAACCTTGTGCTTAAATTTCATAGAGATCCATTCACTTATACTAAAGTTATTGTCAGGAAACCAAATGTTTTTGGACAACGACGTGATAGCAAATGTTTTGCGGTCGTATAAAAAGTGTGGAAAACTGAATATTTGAGTGATTTTCTAAGTCCAAGGACCATAACTCTGCACAAAATCATCAGACCAGAACAAAATTCGAACTTGATCTGTAATTTGACAAGATAAAACTATAAAACAATTATTAAACCTATATCTTTCAAGCATGATGAAAAAAAGTGCAAATTTGAGTGAATTTTCTAAGTCCATGGACCATAACTCAGTACAAAATCATCAGACCGGAACAAAATTTGAACTTGATCTGTAACTTGTCATGATAAAACTATATACCAAATATCAAATCAATATCTTCAAGTCCAAGGACCATAACTCTGGGCAAAATCATCAGACCAGAACAAAATTCGAACTTATCTGTAACTTGTCATGATAAAACTATATACCAAATATCAAATTAATATCTTCAAGCATAAAGAAAAAGTGTGGAAAACTGATTTGCCGGACTGACAGATGGACAGACAGACAGACAGACAGACAGACAGACAGACAGACAGAAAGACAGACAGACAGAAAGACAGACGGACGGAGTGCAAACCTAAAGTCCCTTCGACTTCATCGGTAGGGGACTAATAAGGAGATAAGCCACTGATTTTTTTTTGTAGTTAGATTTTCTATTATTGTTTTCAAGATTGTATTTAAACTTGTATGTTTAAATTGGTCATAAGCATCATTTAAGGGCACTGGCTCCTTTATGGGGTCAATTGATAGTTTGATTAATATAAGCTTTTCTGTAGATCTTGCAACAAAAAAATTCTTCATTTAGTTCCATTTTCTTCCATTGATTTTATAAAGGTTATTTCTATATTTTAATGTTTAAAAATTTGATCATGGCAAAAAAATATTTACAAATATAAGATTGGGAAACAGATTAAATCAGTTCAAAAGGCAGCTTCCTCAATACAATATGTCTAAAATTAACTTCAATGGAACTCTGAATAGGTTTCTTTATATGGGATATGCAAAAATCTAATTTTACAAAATTCAGTGACTCAATCTTTATACAAATTTGAAGATTCTAGAATCTTTTCAGTATAAATTATTTCTTTTAATAGAATTCATCTCCAAATTTGTTTTGCTGTTGAGAAGGCAATATAACTATTTCAATGGCAAACAATCATTAACATAACTCTATTTTTTTCTTATGAAAATATTGTATGTAAAGGAGTACATCCTGGAAGTAGGTAAATGAAAATCACATTTTTTGGTTTTAGATTTTTTTTAGGTATATGTGTACGATATGTATCTTCATCTCTAACCTGTATTTTAATTGCCACCTCTCTACCATCATGTAGCACACCTTTGTGGACCTGTCCAATAGATGCTGCAGCAAATGGCTTCTCATCAAATGATTCAAGTTTATCCTTCCAGTCATTTCCAAGTTCCCTTCTCAAAACTTTCTAAAGTAACAAGTTTTCTATTACTAGTTATAACGATAAGTCCTCTATCAATTTATCATTTATATATAATTAGCTCCTTTCTCTAGGAAACAAAGGTTTAAAGTGACACAAATGCAACATATTCATATGTTATTATAAGTGGTTGAAACTATAGAAACTCTTACAAAGCTACTTTAACCCTGGTAGTTATTGAGTACAAAATTACTAAGGTTGAACAAATTTTACATACAGCAGTTTTTTAATAAGTTATAGTTTCTTCATGAATCGTATATTTTATTAATTTTCTTAAATTTTGAATCAAAGTAGCAATTATCAAAAATAAATTATATTTCTGATGCTTTTTTCTGAAGATAGTTGTGATTTAAGATGTTTCTATTAATTTTAATTCCGCACTCAGTTTCAGGTACACATGTACATTTATGTAAAGAAATGCTTATGAACCAAAGCCATGAAAATTTAAATAATAACTATCAGCAAAAATAAAGTCGTATATATAAAAGGATCCCAGATTTAAATCTGAATTCTTGTACTAGACACCCTTACATTGGATTACTTATATTGATGGTATAAACTGTTGTGGAAACAACCAATGACTTTATAAAAGCATGTTTTTGAAATTTAACACTCTTTCCTAACAATTTTGTTAACATGGTTAATGACAAAATAAAATATAGCTTCACAGAATTCCTACATAGTCTGTTTCACATCCAATATAAGCCAAAAATGTTTTTCCTTGATATAGGTATACCGGTATGTATAGTGGTATAATGGTAACAGATATATATGTATCTGTATTGTCTCACATAGATATCTAATTTCTTATTGACAAATTTGGTAGAAACAAAATGAATAAGTTTCACATTTTTCTTGTTTCTAAATCTTGTAAAAACAATGTTTTAATTTCAAGGCAATATGTTTATTTTATATATACACTAACCATCATCTGCCATGTGGGCATAAAGTCTGCACTTTGTCTGACCCTGTCAAATATCTTAGTTATCTCTGGATTGATTAAAGAATTGTCTGGAAAAAATAATTATGTTTAATGACATGCTTTTTATAGTAAATGAATTATGTTAAGACAATCCAGAAACATTATAAAATAAATGTATTGTGACTTCTTGTCAAATAAAATTGAAAAATGCGCAAGTTCACATTTTAAAACATATAACAGAAAATGTTAACTTTGATTCTAGATTTAGGTTTAAATTTAATGGGTATTTATGAATAGCAGTGTAGTTTTTTTAATTCAATTATGAAAAGATTTTTTCTTCTTTAATTATTACACTGCAACCTAAAACACAGCCATAATTTCTGTGAATATATTGAAACTGGTACAAAAGGTTATGTTTGAAATATTTTATCCTTTACAGATAGCATCTATCATACATCATACATTGATTATAATTTTCATTACAAAATATAGCTTAATGCTTTTTCATGTGTTATTAAAATGTACCAGTATTAGGCTGCATAATTTATGTAACAAAAGCTGGTCATATTAAATCTCTTTGAGGAATATATACCCTGAATGCTGAGCATCTGTCCCAGTTTCAATGCGGCTCCCCTTACACGACACAATGTGTTAACAATTCTTTCTGCATTGGCTTCAGTAAGAAAGGGATTGGATTTGTCTAATATTGCTCCAGCTGTCACACCTGTTAAGAAAAAGACAAAAATAAAGTGATCAGATTTGGATCAGCAACACCAAAGCCTGTCATCTTCTCTACCAAATTCATGAAGAAACTACAAAAATCACTATCTTTTTAATATTAAAGAATAAGTCTCCATAATGAAAAATTTCAAGTCAGCAAAAACCAAACTGGATCTATATATTTCCATCCATGACACTGTAGATCAATTTCAGTTATTTTACAAAGCACTTTAATAATCATCTGGAAACATGAACAAATTTACAATTCTTTGGAAGAACCAAATATCACACTAGGTTTCTATGATAAATATTTAATTCCCTTAGCAGTTGTTTTCATCATCTGTTGTTTTAATCTGTTCATATGCAACTGTTGTCTTGATTCGTTGACATATAAATGTTGTATTAATCTATTTTCATGCATCTGTGGTTTTTTAAAAATCTTTTTACATGTATCTATTGTTTTAATCTGATATGAGACATGGAAATTTTACCTATCAAGCAAGTGACAATAGGTGTTTTGATTGAATTTGTTAATTTCAAAAATCAGTATTGATGGTAGATGCTTGATTATACTTACACTTTTTATACTATTACAGCTTGACAAATTGTATAGACACTTGTCTATTGTTGAAAGCCATATGTTGTTCTAAGATGTCATTTGTTGGGTTTTTTTTTTTGAGTCAACTGTATACTGCTTCATTGACATAAAACCTTAATTCATATCAACTTTCTATATAGTTCTCCACTATTTTGCCTCAGATTTAGATTAAACTTTTAAGCAAAAAATCCACCATAAAATTGAGAATGGAAATGGGTTATGCGTCAAAGAGACAACAACCTGACCAAAGAGCATAAAACAGCCCAAGGCCACCAATGGGTCTTCATTGTCACTCTTTAACACAGCGAGAAAATCCCGCACCCCGAGGCAAGCTTCAGCTGGCCCCTAAACAAAAACGTGTACTAGTTCAGTGAAAATGGACGTCACATTAAACTCTGAAACATATAAATGAACTAATGTTATGTCTTTTCATGTGAATAACTGTATACCATTACCTCCATTTTGTGAAATTCCTAATGTTCTTCTGGTCTGTTCAGCTAAAGCTCCCATGCCTAGACCTGCTGTCAAAGCTGAAAGTAAACAAGATTTAACATCAATATAATTGGTTCCAAACAACAACTTATGATTAACATGACACAATATCATTGACTCAATACTGATTTCCATGATCTGTATCAGTGCTCAATGTTTACTTGCATAGGGCTTTAATAAATCTTTTTTTATCAGTTCAAATTTGGCTGAAGTTCACAGAATTATTTCTGAAATATGTCCCTTTTTGTACATTTGTAATATTGTAAAGGCGTAATATCTCCTACATGTGATATAAGAAAACATCTGTATCCTATTGAGGCATTGCCTTTTTTTTTTAAAGATTTTATGTATTTTTATCTATAATCTATAAAATTGTCCATATGTTAGAAAATAATGGCACCGTTACATTCTCTTCTTACCCCCATAGTTCATAAGTCTACCAATTCTAGATGCTGGAACTCTTCTTTCTTTTGCTCTTTCACTTAACTAAAAAGAAAAAAGTCAGAACATGTTTTAAGAAATACACAAACACACACAAAGCAAAATCATAATATGTTTTAAGAAATACACAAACACACACAAAGCAAAATCATAATAACAGTTTAAGAACAATGTCAAGATCCCATCATTTATAAATATATATTTTTTCCTATTGCAAGTTGGGATTTGTCCAACAAAAAAACTGACATATGACATGTACTTCTTAAAAATGTTAATATAAAAGCATATCAAAAGTATTTACTTTGATGCTGATACAAACGTACATGCTTCTACCATTAAGGGTTTTCTTTTGCATACTTTTAACAAATTTTCCAATATAATGTACAAGGTTACATGTATACTAAAGTATAACTGATTATTCCCTTCCATAGAAGTCAGGAAAAGTTTGACACAAATTTACCTTGTAGAGTGAGTGTTTTAAAATTCCAAACAATATGCAAACAGGAAGTGGTTTCACTGCTGATGTAAAAATTGCTTCAACAAATATAACTAACATTATAAAGCTGCAGATCAAATATAAAATTATTTCTTTCCATAGAAGTAAAGAAAAATTTAATGAAAGTTTTCTACCAAAGGTCTTTCTGACTGACAAACAGATGTAGTGGAGCAGTTACTAGCTGTATATATATAGACCTATCTCTGCTGTTGATGATGCAGGTTGAAACCTCACTTTTATTTTCTTTAGTAAATAAACCTGGTTTAAAGTATTCTGTAGAATAGAGAATGGAAATGGGGAATGTGTCAAAGAGACAACAACTGGACCAAAGAGCAGAAAAAAGCCCAAGGCCATAAATGGGTCTTCAACTTAGCGAGAAAATGCACCACCCGGAGGCTGATATACAGCTATAAAATTTCATCTTCTCAGTGGTCTGCTTTGACACTTTTCATAAAAACCTATGCATTACATAGAAATTGTTTTTAAAAAACATATTCACAAGACATTTTATACTAAATGTTAGATTGACTTTATTGTACTGTATGTATGTACCAAGACTATATTGTATTGTATGTATGTACCAAGACTATATTGTATTGTATGTATGTACCAAGACTATATTGTATTGTATGTATGTACCAAGACTATATTGTATTGTATGTATGTACCAAGACTATATTGTATTGTACATATGTACCACGACTATATTGTACTGTATCTATGTACCAAGACTATATTGTACTGTATCTATGTACCAAGACTATATTGTTATGTATGTATGTACCTTTGGTGAAGTAATATTAACAGTTCTTTTTTGACTAGATGTTAATGGTTTTGTTGGAGTGGATTTAGCTTTCTCTGTTGCTGGGATTGAAAGCTCTGGTTCATACATGGTTTTCTCTGGTCCTTTTAATCCTTCAGCTTTTGAAGACTCAACCATATCCAGATCTATTGCAGCTGCACTCGCATTGAAAAATGGGTCAACTGTTACCCCATCCAATTTGCCTCCTTCCATATTGATTTCATTTTCAGATGACATGGGTGGAACAAATTGTGTAACTAGATCAGGTGAAGTTTCAACTGCTATAGAGTTTATATTAAGTAAAGGATCTTTGTTCAATTCTTCATTACTAGCTCCATCGATGTTTACTTCCTTTACATCAGATGTGTGCAATTTTCTGTCTTTTGTTTCCTTCTTCAATCCAACTGATTGTTCAGCAAACAGCATTTCTCCTGGCACATCAGAAAGGTCAAAGTCATCAAATAGTTCTTCACTTTTTGAATTCATAAATCTTGATCTTGATGATGTTTCGGATCTAGCCATTTCTAGAACTGTTTTTGCTTGTGTTGCCATCAGTACAATTTTATCCTGGACACTTTGCTGAAAAGAAAAAACAAAATCAAGAAGCAGTGAATGCATATCTATATAAAAAAGAAATGGAGAATGTGTCCATGGTAGACAGATGATGCCCCCATTTGCATAAAATTCAAACTTGATCTGAGTTTTGTGGTTATAAGCATTGTGTATAACTTTCATAACATATGGTTGAGGCAATTTTCATGTGATAAATTTGCCAGCATTACACCATTTAATTACTATATAGCTTTTTTCAAGAAAAAACAAAAATAACCAGATACAAAAAAATAATATCAATGGTAATAGAGGTTTTCAGGCTTTTCCATACTTAAAGATTACAAGGCAGTGAACAAATAAATTAACAAATTCACAAATCTAAATACATGATCATGTATGTGTTTGTGAGATTACTTCTTTTTTATTGATTAAGGAAGTACGATTACAGTATTAAAATTGGCCATAAAGATTTTAATTTTTTTCAATCAGGTCTAACTATTTCAAATTTCACAAAGAAATAGTTGCAATATTACTATTCACAAAATAACTTCTTTTTGGAACATTACATTATCAATCAATATCTTATTGGAAAGAGCACAATAGAGGCGTGCTCCAAATACAGATAGAGTTAACAATTACATCTACAATAAATAAAATAACTGTAAAAACAAGTCTTATTAGTTTACATTTGGAATATAAGTAATAAATTATTCATTATTATGACTTATATACTTACCATAAAATTGAGAATGGAAATGGGGAATGTGTCAAAGAGACAACAACCCGACCAAAGAGCATATATATTTATATGCTGTGTGTACTATCATAATACATTGACTTATAGTTTTTATAAATATAATACTGAAATATAAATAGTGTTGTTATGACTCCTTAAAACATGTATTATTTGTGTAATGCAGTTTTGATCCAATTTTTCTATAACAGTTTTTAATTTACCTTGGCCCCAAGATCCAGATTTTGATGATATACATGTACATGTGTTAAAAGGCTAATTTTAATATTATTTGTGTAATAGACATTACAAGAACTTTGACCGTTAAATAGTTATATTTTCTTAGCATTTGAATGAACTCTATAGAACTGTCGCAATTAATTAGTGCTATTTATCTATGGCCATAAAGTTGCCACTGTAGAACACTTAAAGTTTCTGATCATTTTAATATGTTTAACATTCAAAGATAAAGACAGATTGAATGTATATTCTGGTCAGTTTTAAGGTTGTTGCTCGATGTGAAAAGTTGGTTACATGTTTGCAATATATAAATATTGTATATGAACTCGATGTTGTCTTTTTAATTAATATTGAGGTGTAACAACCAACTTTTCACATCGAGCATCAACCTGTTAGTACAACATGGCAAATTTTACATTTGAATAGATTAAATTGAAACATCATTTACAGGCATAAGTCAAACTGATTTATTTTATTTTATTGTTGCTTGCTGGACTTCCATCACAAAAACTATTTATAATATATCTCTAATCTGTACAAACCTGTATATCTGGCTGTTTAGATACAGCATCACTGAGAACTTCTTCACTTTTGACTTTAAGGTCTTTAACAATAGGCCGTAAAGTACTATTCTTCCATGCCTGTTGTACTTCACCACCCTGAGTCTCTACTAGAGCTTTTGTTATGCTCTCTAGACCTCTGATGAATCCTAAGAGGTCTGATCTCCTTGCCATCCTTAAAATATAGATGTGTTTTGTAAGAAAAAGTATATTGAAAATTGATCTTTCATGAATTTGAGATAGAAACTTGCAACCCCAAGTCCGGGTCGGCCCCTTTTCACGTTGGCATGACGAAATGAATAATGAATATTGTCACAATGATCAAAGATGAAGTCATTCATCTAAGACTTGTAAAAGACAGGGGACAGATACCAAACGGCTATCAAACACATAACAATAATACCAAATTAGCTTTATAAATACCAATTAACAGCAATCATAATAATTAATCATCTAATCACAAATTTTTATTCATGCACAAATAACAATTTGAATATATCTAAAAAACATCTAATAATTTGACCTATACAGTCTCCACACTGAACCACAGGCCCAGCAGCCCAGGCTTGTACAATTCCTTTCGGGCCTGTCAAAATCATCCCTACAGACCAAACAGAATTTTATTAAAATTTTCCAAAATTGAGCTCCGGCCTGCAGATTAAAGTTAATCCTGAAGACTGTCTGTATTTGAAAAATTAATGGGGAATGTGTCCATGGGACACAGATGATATCCCCACTTGCATATCATATAAAGTTATAAAGGGACATAACTGAAGAACGGTTAAAGTGACGCTACCCAAATTTGTACCTGATCTGAGTTTTGTGGTAATAAGTATTCTGTATAAGTTTCATAACATTTGGTTGAGGCAAACTTAAGTTAAAGTTTCCATTTGTAAAGGGCATAACTTTAGAACAGTAAAAGTGACACCACCAAAATTCAAACTTGATCTGTATTTTTTGGTAATAAGCATTGTGTACAAGTTTCATAACATTTGGATGAGGCTAACTGAAGTTAGAGAACGGAAATGAAAAATTCATCCTAACTCTAGAACGGTTAAAGTGACACCACCAAAATTCAAACTAGATCTGTATTTTGTGGTAATAAGCATTGTGTATAAGTTTCACAACATTTGGTTGAGGCAAACTAAAGTTAAAGGAAACGAAAAATTCAGCAATTTTTCCATTTGTAAAGGGGGATAACTCTAGAACGGTTAAAGTGACACCAACAAAATTCAAAATTGACTGTGTTTTGTGGTAATAAGCATTGTGTATAAGTTTCATAACATTTGGTTGAGGCAAACTAAAGTTCGAAAACGGAAACGAAAAATTCAGCAATTTTTCCATTTGTAAAGGGGCATAACTCTAGAACGGTTAAAGTGACGCTACCCAAATTCAAACTTTATCAGTGTTTTGTGGTAATCATTGTGTATAAGTTTTATAATATTTGGTTGAGGCAAACTAAAGTTAGAAAACGGAAACCAACTTTGGGACGTACAGACGTACAAGGGTAAAACTTAATACCCCCACCGCTACGGCGGGGGCATAAAAATAGGGTGCTAACATATAGCTATAGGTTGCCAATGTGTTATGGGAGCAAACAGACCTGATACCAGCCATTTCCATGTTTTCTAAATAGACTGCTCTCTGTCTCACTGCCCCAAGAAGTCCTAAACAAGGTTGTCAGTGTCAATGCAATCTCAAACTACATCAAGATCAGCCTGATGTTTGTTGCAATCACTTTGGGATCTGACTGGCCTATATTCAATATCATCACCGAAAAATAGTCTAAGTTTGGTTTGGTTTAGGTACAAAAATGTAGTTTGGTACATGTAGGTCATTTATTTAAACCAAAAAATAAGACTTAGCCTAAGAAAGTACTTAGAGGCACTCCAGTTGTGACTGGGACAGTTTTTTTTTGATGACTTTCCATCCATGACAACTGTTTGTGTCCAATTTGAAAGGAATGCATAGATCCGATTTAATGCTAGTACAGAAAGGCCATTTAAGTTTAATTTGTATAAAAGGCCTTGATTGTGTTTTATTGTTGTTTGCAAAGGATTGTTACTGGATGAAAGAGAGTACTTCTTCTTTTTTCAGTTTCTAGCGATTCTTCATTAATTGAAGATTATTCGCCGGGCATGGGCATCGACTTTAAAATTTGATTCATAAATTACAAGGTAACCAGAAAAAGGAAACAAAATCAAAAATCAAAATAATTGATGTACATTTGAAAAATAGCCTTTATATAAAAATATATACATATAACAATATTAAAACAGTTATAGGTAGAAAAGAGGGATTAGAGCAGAATCTGGGATCATATACTCTTGAAACCCTGTACTGTACCTCAAAATATACTTGAGTATAGACAAACCTGTGCATCTGGAAAGTTTAAAGTTATAGCATGCTCTGGGTAAATAAAATTCAAATGTATTTAATGTTTAAGAAATTTAAAAAGTTAACTGGAATTTGCTGTGCACTTTTTTTCGTCCTTGCAGAAGGTGATCAAATTAACAAACAGTTGAGTTTCACTTGATATTGTACACTCAGTGACAGTTTAAATTTCTAATTATTGTTAGGTATCTATGGTCCCTCTATTGTCCATGTCAATTAATACAGTTCACTTCAATTATTACCAGTGGGGAAGTTCTCGAACCTCTTTCCGAACTTTTATTTTGGCACCTTTTGTAGGAACGAAAAAAAAGTGCACTGCAACATCTTAAAGTTTTAAATTTTCTAAAATATAAAATGCATTTGAATTTTATATATCTAGGGCATGCTATGCCTTTTAAACTTTTCCAGATGCACAGAGTAAATTTTGAAGTGAAAAGACAGCCATTTTAGCCAAAGAGTCCACATGAACCTCAACAGCTTTAGGATCTTTTTGAAGACTGGTGGAAATTATTATTTTTGGTGGTTTTATCAAGTCAACTTGTTTAATATTTTCAGGCAAAAGCTCAATAGAGCATGTGTTTTACTGACCAAATCGAACTATTTGTTTTTGTTTACATCTGAATGCGATCATTGGCTATTGAAGTTTTCAAAATTATTAATAAAGATTGTCCTGTTTATCTCCATGATTTAATACACTTAAAGGAAAACGCTTACTCTTTCAGATACCAGAGTACAGCCGACCTACCACATGCAAGAACAACTGCATTTGGCCTACAATCTTTAAGGTATGCGGGTGCTAAGCTTTGGAATGAGCTGCCAGATGAGCTACGTAAGCAATCATCATTCCATACTGCATGTACTAATATGAACCCTTGCTTTCATGCCATTGTACAAAACCATGGTTAGAACCCACATAGATAATGCCAGCTCAGTCTGGTCCCCATACAGGAAAAAAGATATCGACAAAATAGAAGGTGTCCAAAGAAGGGTAACAAAACAATTACCAGGTCTCAAAGACATGAGCTACCCAGAGCGACTTAAAAAACTAGGCTTACCAACATTATCGTATAGGAGAATAAGAGGGGATATGATTGAAACTTTCAAAACAATGAATGGATACTACGACAAAGAAGTAAGCTCATTTTTAAGAACGGCAGATGATTCTCAACAAAGATTCAGTAGCAGGACCAACAGTAATAAAGTCATTCATCAAAGATTCAAAAAAAATATCCGTAAACACTCTTTCTCTGTTAGAATTGCTAAAACCTGGAACAAATTACCAGATAAAATAACAAAGTCACCATCAATAAATGCATTTAAAAACCGATTAGACAAATTTTGGTCAGACGAAGAGATATACTATAATGACTACAGAGCAGAAATATCCGGAAGTCACGGACAAAACAGTAATAGAAAAACATTAAATTATGAAGCTGGTGAAGAGGAACCTTGAGGGGTCCTGTACTGGAAATCAACTATAAGTAACTATAAGTAAGTAAGTTTATATAATTTATGTGTGCATGACTTGATATGTATGTTTTGTTTTATTGTTGCTCTGTCGGTTTTAAAAGCTCTTCAGAGCTTGTGTTTGTACTTGTATTTCATATACCGACTCTAAATAAAGCTTTATGTCTTATGTCTTATGTACTTGACAAATCCTTGCATCAACTTACCTATTTCCGAAATTTTATCACGCAAGACAATTTTTATACCCTCTTGCCAGTCTTGGTATCTCCTGACTTTTTCGCGCGAGCAAGCAAAAGTTTAAAACATTTGAATATGACTCCTAGAATTAAGTAAAATTTCTATCAATTTTTGTTGAATGTGTGATTTACATAACTGAAGTTTCCACAAGGACAAGCGTGTGTGTTTCGTGATTTCGTAAGATCAAAACTTCCGGTCAAAAGTCAAGGTTCCTTGTTCATTGTAATGTCCTAGAGCAAAGCAAGAACCAGTAATCTGGAGAATCCAGGTGATAAAGATTGTATTTTGAAACCAACATCGGAAAAGTGTAAACTATTCCGAACATTGTAATCTGATAACCGACCATAACTCGGTTGATAAGAACAGAGACATGTATAGTTAAAGTACTATATATGTCGATGATAAAAACTAAAATTTGTATTACAGTGCATTTAAGATAAGTATTTTAAGAGTAACTGTACTAAATAACATAAATTTGTTTTCGATCTATGAGTTTGACTGTCCCGGCCTCTGGTATCTTTCGTCCCTCTTTTAAATACAATTTTAAGTGGTCAAGAATTCATGATACACTTGTGTATCTCTGTACACTTTTCAAAGTCTGTGTTTTACATTGTATTTCAAAGTAATGTATAACCATGAAATGTGAGCAGACTAAAATAACTTTTCACTATGCATTATAAACATTTCTAATAAACACGGATATTTTGTTTAAAAAAAGATCATGTTTGAAATTGAAACTTATACGTGAATTCAAGTAAGATCATTTACGTTTGTAGGCGGAGCGCAGGCAATATGGAAAGGAAACATACACACAAACTATTTCATAGGCTCCCGATAACTTATGAAAATTTTGTTTTATTTGTTATTTTTGTTGTTGTTGAGTTTGTTAAGCGTAAATGTTAAATCTGACAAAGACATCGATCATTTTTTCCACTTCAACAGTTCCGGTAGAGTTAATATTCCATAAAAGGAACCTTTAAAATGATTACTATTTTATGTAATTTATGTTGACAGATAAATGTACTAATTTCCTAAAAACTCAGTGCTGTAACACCACAGTCCCGGGTTTAGTTATCGTTGAGCGCTCACAGACATGGTTAACCCCGCCACATTCTGTATGTGCATGTCCCAAATCAGGAGTCTGTAATTCAGTGCTTGTCGTTGGTTCCGATGTCTGTCATGTTTGTTTTTCGTAAATTTTATTGTATAAATTAGGTCGTTAATTTTCTCGTTTGAATTGTTTCACTTTTTTTATGTGGGGGCCTTTTATGGCTGACTATACGGTATGAGATTTTCTCAATGTTGAAGGCCGTACGGTGACCTACTATTGGTTTTATCTTTGTCATTTGAACTCATGTGGATAGATGTCTCGTTGACAATCATACCACACCTCCTTGTGTTTGTATTCTATCTCCAATAGTATATGTAATCATTCCGTGTCAAATCTCAGTAATGTTCATTGTTTTTCCTCATACCTTAATTTTATTTGTGTTTATATTACTGCCGAATTGGAAAACAACCAATTTCTTAAACAAAGGGAGAAAATCGCTGATATTATGTTTTCTTGAAGGAAATGGGAACGTTATATCACGTTATAGTTTCTCTAGTTGGAGGGTTGGTAGTTACGTACTTGCTGTTCATTTATCAATAACGTGGTACACATTTATCGATTTGGTTATTATATCCAAATACAAATCATAATTGATTTTATTGATCTTTATACAAGAGTTAGTGAATCGATGCATGTATCTGATATATGACAAATTGAGAATCTAAAAATTAAAAAGATGTCCCATTCCTTAAAATTTTGACTTATTCTTTAGGGTTTTCATTTTGTCCTCTGTGATGCCCTGTGTACGTCTAAGTTCATAATTTGTAATTTATTCAGTGACAATTCACATCCTAACTTTCATATTCAATAAATATACAAATAAATTTTAGCCTTTCTACCGTAAGAATTGCAGTCTCAATAACACGGCGGACACTCGGCTAACCGAGAGATTGGTCGGTTAATCTATATTGAGTATGCGGTTATATGGGCGGTTGGTCTGTTAATCGGGTCGGTTATACGTCTGTTAAGAGTAAAACGCACAATTTAAATGTTCAACTCTGTTAAATATACAGATTTTTGGCATATTTTAAGAACCAAATAAAAAAAAGAAAAGTGTCTGACAAAATGATATCTATCATAGAACATTTTCCACCTGTAAAAACATTTCATAGTCTGCGCAAACTTCAGTAAAACTAAAAGGCGTCGCGCAAGTATGTGGTATTTATGCTTATACGCATAGCAATTGTTTTAATAAAAGGCGAAACAAACAATTTTAGATATCATTTAAAGGACACAAAATAGTACTTTGGTTCTCAAAAATAAATTGACATTAGTAAATATTTCATAATTGTAATATAACGTGAGTAATACCACGTTTTAGTGACTATTAGGGGAATAACGTCTGTTAATGGGTTGGACAATTAAAATTGTGTCAGTTAAGAGTTATTTAGCCACGACAATAGTTTTGCTACCTTTATAATTTCCCATCAAAAAAGTTAAGAATGAGATGTACTTGAGTAAAAAAAATGACAATACGGTGCAACAGTATCCTTGTTGTAAGAGCATTTTTATTTTGACTTTCTTTCCATTTTATTGAAAGGTGTGTCACTGCAATATAGCGTGATATGGATTGGCCGCTGGAATATGCATGAATTTATTATTAACGTTTTCAATCAGCCTTGATTTTTGTGTCTGTTCAAAGAAGCACGTTCAAAAATCCGACTGAAAGTGTCTGTCTTATACAACACCGGGTACATATAACGTGTTGTCGTTCTCATATGGACACGATATTTGCCACTGGACGTTAAACCCTAATTCGTCAGCATCATCCAATTGGTTCTTTTGTTCTATTACTTAATCATATGTTGTTTACAAAACATTCTAAAGAAGTAAATGGAAAGAAGCGAATGCAGCTACATTTGATTATCTTAAGTTTTAATTTTCATTTTATTCCGTTTAGTTCCTTTCTACATAAGTGCAGAGGAGAACTGCAGTTGTGCGCTTGTAAAATTCTAGCATTTGTCATCAATTTGAGTACATCGCAATCCGTTACTGTTTCAACCACCCCCTCCCCCTGAAATTTTGTTTTGTTTGCACTTTACATCATTTTCTGAGCTATCAGATTCAGCGGTTGACAGGAGGCCAATGGTTATCGGACTCCAGTCTCAAATAACATAAAGTGATATACAGTAAAACAATTGCAAAGCATCTATATAGATATCGTTGTCTATACTATTAATTTAAAAATAAGGAGATGTGGAATAAATGCCAAAATTGTTTTAACAATCATCTTGGAGGGTCTAAATAGTAAAAAGGGGTGTTTCATGTCTGTATTCTTAAACAATTGTTATTTTTCTCTCTTTTTTAGCAATGCATCACTCTCTACTGTCCTTATCTATTATTCTATATTCTGCGTCTCCATCCAGATTCTCGTGTATACCATGAGGGTCCGGATTGGGGGTGTTGTTTATTTCTGTATTCTTTAAATTGTTATGTCACTTTTCTCTACATTTTATTTATTTTTCTCATTATTCTTTCTCTATTCTTTATATTTTAGCATCCCAATATATTTTACTTACTGATGTTTAGTTACATTACGACGTTTATCTCTGATATAAAAAAGTAGATGTGGTATGATTGCCAATGAGACAACTCTCCACAAGAGACCAAAATGACACAGAAATTAGCAACTATAGGTCACCGTACGGCCTTCAACAATGAACAAAGCCCATACCGCATAGTCAGCTATAAAAATCCCCGAAATGACAATGTAAAACAATTCAAACGAGAAAACTAACGGACTTATTTATTTATAAAAAAAATGAACAAAAAACAAATATGTAACACATAAACAAACGACAACCACTGATTTACAGGCTCCTGACTTGGGACAGGCACATACATACATAATGTGGCGGGGTTAAACATGTTAGCGGGATCCCAACCCTCCCCTAACCTGGGACAGTGGTATAACAGTACAACATAAGAACGAACTATAAAAATGATGTATATACTGGTTACCAATGTAGATGACAAATTGGTGTCATTCATAACAACGAAACAGAATTCACATGATATATGCGACCATTCTTGAATGAAATTAATATTACTTTAATATTACACTTTTTGAAACCATTTTTATCAATTTCCAATTTCCATTGCCTAAATTTATGTTTCATTGTTCATGTGTTGTTTCCGTATATTTCAGCCACTCGTCTTGAGCCTAGCCATTTGATCCGATAACTCCCCATAAAGCAATCAAATTATATTTTCAATGCCATTCATAACTCTTAACAGACCAAATAACAGACCGGGTTTTATACATCCGACCCATTAACAGACCAGGTTTTTAATAAAAATTGATTAATATCACCAAAATACAGATTTTTGTGTATATTTTTCACACAATGATATTAATATGGTTAACAAACATAATGCCGGTCTTTTTTCGATTTTCAAAATATTGCATGCAAGTAAATTCAACCAAGTTGTCATTTTGTGTACATTTTGTGCGTGTAAAATGTGTATAACTTTATTGATGAGTAACCCACCTTTTCATTTTATTGATTGTTTATCGAAGCTAGAAAAAAAAATAATTACACCACTGGATTCAGTACATTGAATTGTTTTGTCAGACATGAATAATTTTTATAATAAAAATTTCTGGATCCGCCACTGGATGGGTCAATGTGAAAACTGTCCAAATATGAAAAGATAACGGGTGGCAGGTTGATCAAACTTACTTAAATGAATAAATTGAGGCTTGATTTATATGGATCCAGTCGCCTCCAGAAGCAACGAAGCAGCACATCCACTTTGGACGGGCAAATATCATCTATCTGATATGGGACCAGCTGAAGTCCCACTGCCCTAGCTGATGTCACAAAACAGTCGTTGGAGGTTAGAGTAATCTCCGACTACAAAACTCAATTCCAATGACAAAAATGCCCTAATCTTAAATTGAAAGCATTGGAAAAGTAAACTGTAAATTATAATTTTGACAATGACCACAATTAGTTTTAGTTCAATGTACATGTAGTAATATGCGGGATAATACATGAACTTAATACTGCTTCAAGGTTATACAGGTTTGTCAATGTAAATATAAAATAATTTGTTTGCTAACTTAGGGAGCTACCATTTGATTTTTAGGCGGGGGGGGGGGGGGGGGGGGGGGGGGGGTCTAGGATGAAATTAAAAAAAAAGGCAGGATGAGACAATATGAAAAAAAAGGCAGGATGACAATTTATGTAAAAACAAGTCGGGATAAACTAATAGAAAAAAATGCAGGACAAAAAAGAGTGAAAAATAAAAAGGCAGGACAGATTACATCTCGAACTAAAAAAAAAATGCAGGACAAAATTTTTCATCCTAGCCCCCCCCCCCCCCCCCCCCCCCATTTTTTCCCCCATAAAAATGGAAAGGAAGCTCCCTTATAGTGTTTCCTTCAGAAGGTGTTGGCCTGGAATGGTACCCTGCAGTTTTCATATGCCTGTTCATGAGAAATATTATGGTATGCCTTTGTCCGTCTGTCTGCCCTGATCTGTCTGTTTCTAGCATGTTGTTCACTAACTCTAGTATTTTTTACCAATTTGTATGAAATTCTGGTGAATTGATTATATCTACTGACGTGAGCTCCCTTTTAGATTTTTAAGAGTTTTATAATATACATTTTCAAAATGTGAGGTTTTATTCATTAAAAAAGTGGGATTTTCATGTTAACGCCCATTAACTCTAAAAATGCTTTGTTCACTAACTCTTCAAGCTTTCACCAATTTGCATGAAACTGTTGTGAATTGATTATTTTATAAATTTTAGGTTTCCCGTTTCGAGTTATATGGGATTATATTCTGACATGTATTAATGTGAGCTCCCTTTAGATTGTTTTGGAATTTTAGAATTTACATTATCCAGTTACAATGTAAGGGGTTTCATTCATTCAAAAAGGGGGATTTCCATGTTTTCGGACATTAACTCGAAAATGCTTTAAGCAGTTGTCATTTGTCATGAAACTTTGGTTAATTGTTTATATATATCTATTGATGCAAGCTCCCTTTCAATTTAGTAAATTGTGGAATTTTATTCATATAAAAGGATGGCTTTCCCAGTTTGCAGATCAAATTCAAAAGTTTGTACTTGCACTTCTCTGGCATGTTTCAGTAAATGTGTAAATTATAACTGACATAACTAACTTTGACAATGACCACATATTTTTAAGTTCAATGTACATGAAATATACAAGATATGCATGTAGACTCGATACTGCTGCAAGGTTATAGGGTTGTCAATGAAAAAAAAAAAATTTGTTTGCCAACTTAGTGTTTCCTTCAGAAGGTTTTGGTGTGGTATGACCCTGTCATTTTTATATGCCCGTTTACGGGACGTACTATGGTATATCGTTGTCCGTCGTCAACATGTCGGACATTAACTCAAAACCGCTTTAACTAATTTGCATAAAACTTTGGTGAATTGTTTATATCTATTGACATGAGCTCCCTTTCGTTTTTTATAAATTTTAGATTTTACGTTTCTGACTAAAATTAGGTGGAGGTATGTTCTTATTTCTGACACAGGGGTACTCAACCTATATCAATTTGTGCATGAAGCGATTGATAGTTGCTAGATACTGAATAATTTTACCACAAATTTGTGAAAGTTTTAACCAGTGTATATACTTAAAATATGTTAATAAAGTTCATGTCTTTTTCAGGACTTCTGATCCAACCATGTAGTATGGCATGTTTGTGAGATATGGTTTTGACCAGTAGGATGTTCATGAAGGACCTTTAGTACAAAGTATATCACTGGATTGAGCTCATTGTCTAAGTGTATTATTAAAGTGCTTTGCTTTGAGCTCAGTTCATTGTTATGCAATTCATTCTTTGTGAAATAAAGATTTGACAGACAACTCTCGTGTACAAGGAATTGTCAAAGTAGTATCCATTCTATGTACAATGTAAGTAATAGGGAGATAAAAGCATTTTATTTAGATTTGAACCAAACATTTTTTGTCCATTAGCCAAACTAAAAAAAAAAAAGCACAAATTCACCAAACAATGCTACTGGCGCTACTAGCAATATGATGCTAGGTTCTTTTGTTACACTTTATTTTTATGCCCCCACCGTAGCGGAGGGGGCATTACGTACGTACGTCCCAAAATTGGTTTCCGTTCTCTAACTTTAGTTTGCCTCAACCAAATGTTATGAAACTTATACACAATGCTTATTACCACAAAACACAGATCAAGTTATAATTTTGGTGGCGTCACTTTAACCGTTCTTGAGTTATGCCCCTTTATAAATGGAAAAAATTGCTAAATTTTTATTTTCTTCTAAATATCAAGTAATTTTAAAATTGGAGTTATCAACAACAATCAATGCTTTATACAATGCAATGTTTAATTTTGACTTCCACTGATAAAATACAGATCAAGTTGAATTTGGGTAGGGTCACTTTAACCATTATTGAGTTATGCCCCTTTATAAATCGAAAGATTGCTAATTTTTTATTTTCCATTCTGTAACTTAAGTTTGCCCCAACCAAACAATAAGAAACCTATACACAATATTCATTACCACAAAACTAAGATCAAGTACAAATTTTTTGTTTCCGTTTTCTAACTTTAGTTTGCCGCAACCAAATGTTATGAAACTTATACACAATGCTTATTACTACATAATACAGATTAAGTACGAAATTTGGTGGCGACACTTTTACCATTCTTGAGTTTTGTCCCTGTATAAACATAAAAATTGCTGAATTTTTCGTTTCCTTTCTCTAACTTTAGTTTGTTTCAACCAAATGTTATAAAACTTATACACAACCGTTCTAGAGTTATGCGTGTTTACAAATAGAAAAATTGCTGAATTTTGAGTTTCTGTTCTCTACTTAAGTTAGCCTCAACCAAATGTTATGAGACTTACACACAATGCTTATTACCACAAAACTCAGATGAAGTTCAAATTTGGGTAGCGTCACTTTTACCGTTCTTCAGTGATGTCCCTTTATAACTATATGATACGCAAGCGGGGGCATCATCTGTGTCCACATGTGGACACTATCCACATTTGTTTACATCTGTCATGTCTGTACTGCCTACTGGCGACTCAGTCCTGAGTGTTAATGGTCATTCAGTATGTTAAGAAAAAGACCAAAATTTATAAGGCCTACCTGGGCTTATTGATTTCTAAAATATATTTCATTGTACATGTTCAACATTTATCATTCATTTGTTTATTTCTTAATTTGTGTGAATTAACAGTAAATGCTAATTACTACACTTTCATACCATAACAAAACTGCCTTACTGTATTGGTATCATTTATATTTGTATCCATATAACAAAAAAAACTGAAAAGAGAATACTTTTGCAATAGCTTTTTCATATTGAATACTAAAACTTTTTGGATATTAGACATATTAAGTAGATGTTCATAATATCCACTTGACATTTTATCATATGACTTCTGTAGTTAGTTATGAGTCTTTGAAACATGCTCACAAAGGTTCTTTTGTTGATATCATTTTCATACTGGTCAAAACTTTTTTTTGCTTTGACCAGCTTTGGAGGAGATATTTTCAAAGAATTAATAAAAAACAACACAGAAATTCACTTTCTAGTTCATCTAGCCCCAATCATCATGTCAGGCATTGTCATTACTAAAAAACATTAGATGTCTTCTAAACTGAGAAACAATTTCCACATTTAACCGAAATCTTTTACTTATGATACTGACAATCCCCCACAAAGTAATATAAATAGAACCATACAAATAGTAAGCAAATACATGTTCTCAGATACCATCTCCCATATAAAAAAAATCACATTAAGAAAAAATGAACCTATTATGTGTTCCTCTCCTAGCTACAAAATGTATCCAAAATCAAAGATGTGGAACATATATATTCTATCATAATCATTTGGTAATTAATGCAATTAGTATCTCTTCCATGCCCGTGTCGAACATAAAAAACTAAATATTACATAAACAACACCCCTAATACTCATGTTGGTTGTCATTGTGCAACACAGTTAATACATAGAAAACATAAAACATAGAACTCCTTTTATCATATAAAACACTGTCAAACATCCAATCATACTATCCACACTGATCTGTGTCCACACTTGTTTTTATAATAAAAAATATATTTAAAAAGTCATACAATGAAACATATTGAACTTGCAAGTATTTTCTCGATAACACCTAATTAACAGACTTTCGCCAACCCAATTAACAGACCAACCGCCGATATACCCGCATACTTAATATAGATTAACCGACCAATCTCTCGGTTAGCCGAGTGACGGCCGTTAATAAGACCAATTATCAATACATTCCATTTTAAAGGTTTGAACGATTTTAGTCTAGCAAAATGTATTTGATATACTAGAAAAATCGGGTCCCAACATTGAGTCCATGTGGTCCCGATGGCGACTTACTAGAAAATTAAAACGGATCTTTAACCAAGAGTTCAACCAGCTATTTCACATGTAACATTGGTGGTGTAAAAGTATAAATAGGAAGAAACCTGTTTTTAAAAATCACCTCTTCTTGTATTTTTTTTGTTTGCTTTTATTGCCACCGATACACTTCTTTTTCTTTTCTTTAGCTCTCTATCCCCCCCCCCCCCCCCCCCATGGTATTCCAGTTTTGAATTAACCCAGTAAGTACCGAAGCGCATGTTTTTCATGTTAACTTTAATCTATAATTTCTACCGTTTTTAGGTCATTTAACTTTACATTGCATAAGAGGAACACACACATGGGAAGACATGCAAGGATAACTTGAAGGCCATTGTAAATCGTAAGATCATAAATGCCTGAAAACGATAACGTTGTTAGACTGATGCCCTAACCATGCTAACTAACTTTATTTAAAGTGATCGCCAACTGACCCTCGCAGTCCGCTTGTCACATTTGAATCGAGATGAAGTACCTAATTGCTCTGTGTCTTCTTGTAGTTTCGGCTTACGCCCAGGCTCCAAAGCCATGTGGTAAGTATTATAATCTATACTACTACTTATATTCACTGAATATTTACGTACCCATTTTGGGGATGAACTCCGAGTGAGAAAAATATGTAACAGGATCCAAATGAACCCCATTTTTGGATAATTAATTCTAATAGAAAACCAGTAGGGATATTCATTGTCGTGTTGTTAAAACCGATTTCAAGAAATTATGCTGTAATACTGTACATTTTTTGCTTTCAAATTTTGGGTTTCACCATTTTTGATGAATTAAGATAATTCAGAAAAGTGTTTCGGATGCACCAAATTCATAAAATGTTATTTTCAGTCATTAGTGAGTTGGCGTTTCGTTATCATATCAATACTATTCACTTTTCAGATTCCCCACCACAATGGGAGTCCAGAGAAATTAGGGTAAATAATGTTTAGATTTTTCCTTTTTTTAATTGCATTTTCATGAATTTTTATATATTGCATTCTTTTTTGTTTTTATTTTTATATAAAGTTAAGACGCTTCATCATATTTGAAAGGAATTCTCCATTTTCATTGCAAGTTATGTTTATTTAAAACTTTAAACAATAAAAATGTAAATGAAAACAAAACAGGTTGGATGTTATTTGCCTAATTAGAGAACAATAAAGTATACATTAGTAAAGTTATTTCTTATTATTTACAGCAAGATTACTCAAGGAAGTTTGCAGAGTACCGTAAACTTAGTTATGACGAGACCAACAAAAGGATTCGTGAGGTTGAAGAAATCATTATTGGAAATGACAAAGAATATTATGATAGGCTTTATTTACACAACGAGGTAAAAACTGCTAAAAATTTAACAAAATCCAGTTCATTTAGTCTGTTGAGCTGGTTTCTAGAATTTTGATGGTTAAATAAGTATTTTTCTAAGTCAGGTTTATGTTAAATACCTATTCTCTGCAATAAACAAACGAAACACTACGGTTTGAAGTGTGTGAATCAGTGTCTGCCGTTTTGCGAATTCAAATATGAGTGAATGTTCAACTGTGACATTTTTTTTACAAACAAAATTACGACTTTCATCATTTTTTTTTATTGCAAACATTGTTTGACGAAATATTGATATAGAATTAGTTTAGTTTAATTGTGACTATACTCTATCTGTCTACTTAACGAAATTTCGTAGGAATTAAGTCACAAAAATTTCCATGTCTTCTTTGTAGAACAAGAATTATTCATTAAACTTGAAAACCAGAAAGTGTGAAGTGACTGCGCTTACTAGGCCATTCCGTTACAGAGGTGTTTACCCTCAGGCTAAATTTGATGGTATCTTTAACATCGGAGCTGTTGGTGTTTCTGGAGAAGTTGTTGCCGTTCAAGCATGGTCTGCCAATATAACTGGAGGTATATAAACAGTGTATAACTAACTCAACAACACGACTTAAACAAACCGAATATCTCTTCCTGGACAAAGAAGGTAGAAAAAAGTCCCAAAAGAAAGCAATCAAATCAAATATTAATACATAACTTGAACACATATATTCAAGATGCAGTCATTACCTTTTAATCTATACCATACAATACGTGTCTTATTACTTACCTTTCTTCAGATTGATTGATCGGTTGATGGTTGCTTAACGTCCATTGGCAAATATTTCATGCATGTTCATTACTTACCTTTCTTCAGATACCACTGATTTTTAACAATGAAATTAAATGAGGAGCACGTAAACAAAATGTTTGAACCAATATAAAACACCCTTTAGATTAAAGATGACCTATAGGTTTAGGGGTGAAAGAAAGATATGAGTTGGAGGTCCATGAGACTAAATATCATGCAATACATCATGTAAAAGAGACAGGGCTGTTGTCACTGTTTTTTACCTTGAAAGTTGCTCGAAGGTTTCATTTAAACCTCAAATTTTACAACAAGGTCAAGGAGTTCCATAGAGTCGACTTAAACGTACTTTTTGATTATCTAGTACATTTGTACAACGTTATAAATTGTAGATTTTAGTCAAAGTAGATGGACATAAATGTTCATCGTCTAGTTCAGCTACAGGCTCAAACCAACCACGGGTTAAAATCATAGTGTAGAGTATACTACTTTGAACCGAGGTTAAAAGTAACACTCGAAAAGTAAGATGAACAACTGGACCTTGTCCAATTGTCATCTACAGTACCGATGTAAACACTTAGAACCTCTGCTGAAGGAAATGACATTAATAAAACTTGGCAAACATGCATTATTACAAAAGTCTATGCTATAATCAAGTAACAAACACGGAAGACATGGCTAACATTAATTTTCACAATTTGTTGAAACCACAAAAAAAGACATTCCATCTGGAACAAAAAATGCTCTTGATGGGGAAACATGTAAAAATCTGCTTGAAAATTTAATTATGTGATACAAATTGTTGTTTTTTTTTTATTTTCTAGGATTCTTTTACACTGGTTTAGTAACATATCCTAGCTGTTATCCTGTACAGAACATCTACTTCAGTAAAGAGTATGGATTTGAACATTCAGAGTAAGTTATCTGACAAGGTGCAAACATTTTTCTGTCTATTATTGATAATTCACAATTTTGAAATGTCCAACTATATCCAATATTATGTCCTATTTTGGCATATAGCCCATTACGTGTTTCGGTTCTTATACATCTTTGTCTTTAAAATGTCTGGTTTTGAGTGTTCCTGATGAAGGTCAATCCATAAAAAGTGCTTCTGACGCATACAATTTATAAAGTGTTATTTTCATTGTTAACCTTAATCTTCATCTTTTCAGCTATAAGTTATAGCTAAGTTGACTTGGAGTAAAAATAATCTTGGAAAATTGTTTAATATAAATTCCAATTTTATACGTAAAAACTTGGAAATGTTAAGCGACGAGAAGGGAGAAGTCCACATTTCTATACTACAGTAAAAAATAAGAATGAAAACTGTCGGAATCGCTTGAAAGCAAACACGGAGTAAGACCATGCAGCTGTGTTGACAAAGTATGCCTCTCCTGCCTTTCGATTGAAAAGTACTATTATTCAAGTATCGAATGTCAAAATCATGTACAGGGGACATCCGCTGAAATAAATATAACAGACTTCATAATACCAATACCTACTAGTTTTACGCTTTTTACACCACAATACCAAAATATTTCTTGTCTCAACTCAAGGTAACTCGGAATTAATTGGGAGAAATAAAACAAACTACACATATAAGATGTACTATACAAATTTTATTGTATAAAAGACTATTGTTTTTACAGTTATTTTGATTTGAATATTGGTATTGTGGACTTGAATGTGTTTGTACCACCACAAGAATGTATGCAAGCAGAAAAAAAGATGCAGCAGAAGAATATTTCACCGATAGTTTAACTCATGAACTTTTGCAATGAGTTGTATTATCACAATAAAAAATTAAAAAACACCATTCGTATATTTATTTTATATTTGAAAGCTTTTTGAATGTCATAATTTACGATACCAAGGGGACAACCAAGAACCATTAGACAAAGAAAAATAGATAACCATGGTACAAAAAAAGATTTACAGAAAAAACACACTCCACAAAATAATACAAATTGAAAAAATATAAGATTGAGCAACACGAACCCCACCAAAACGAAGACATTTAAAAATTGAGCAACACAACACCACCAAAACCCGGGAATGAACTTAGGCACTCCGGAAAGATCTTCTGCTCCAGCAGACAGGGTCAAGTATACATATTCGATGATAAGTCGCATTTAATTCGGTGACGTCACACCCGAGGAAAATAGGATTGGGTTTACAATATCGTTCGTCAACTTGGACCACAAAACAAGAGTGAGAACCTTGTTACACTCTTTCCTGCAGCATTCGAGTTTTATCCTTAAATTGAACTATGTGAAATACATATATATACACATTTGTATTCCATTATGTTGCGTGCACTGATGTTACTAAAACATGTTCGTTTTGTTCATTGTTTAAGGCCGTATATGGCTTGTAGTTGCTAACATCTACGTCATTTGGTCTCTGGTGGATATTTGTCTCATTGGCAATCATACTACATCTCCTTATTTTATACTATTTCACTGTAAGTAAATAAACGGGAGAGGATTGAGTCTGATATGTTAAGATATTTTCTATAAGCTTGTTACTGTATTGAGTATAATAACTTCAATCTTCTCAAATCTGATGTACTGCAATTAAAAATATTGTTTGTGTCGCATAATGGTGTATTGTTCAAGTATGTCTTAGGGGGAAAAGTTGGCCAAATTAGTTTCGTATGTAGTCCTATAAAACCTTTAACTTTATAATAACCTAAAATCCAAATGTTGATCAATTTCATTATAAACATGTACCATGTTGCATGAAAGAAAAAAAAAATGCCAAATTCGCCTTATACGAATACAGAGAAAACTCAATGATACAGTGATCAAACAACATAATTTTGTTCAGTATAGTGTTCTGGGTGAAATTTAGGTTATAGCGTAGTTTTTTTTTTAAGAATCGTAGTGACAAAAAGTGAACAATTTTAACAGACGGCACGAATTTTATTTATTATACACCGATGCCACCGGGGCTAATCAGTCCGTTTGCACTGAAATGTACCACGGACGAAGATTACAAATACAAACGGCAAGGTTTTTATTTTTGACGTAACCTTGTAAGATAACACAATTTTAACTTCATTTAAAGGTAAATGATGAGAAGCAAATTTTTGCAGGTTACTATCATAAGTATTATGTCCTAACAAACAAACTCCAGTGAGATAAAATTTTCGTCTAGTGGTCTGTTATCGACAATTCTCTGGAAAATGCCAATTGAAGATAGTGTTGTTATTGTGAGATGGGCAGAAAATGGAACAAGAAGATAGGAAGCATAAAATACCCGGTTACCAATTAATTCTGTCAGTTTGTTGGTCTCATCTGAATCGATATGAAGTACCTCATCGCTCTGTGTTTGGTAGTTTCGGCGTTCGCTCAGGCTCCAAAACCTTGCGGTAAGTCATATTAGAAAAAAGGGCTTTTTATTTGGTTTGCTTAAATACGTGCATATGTTCCTTGTAAAAGCAGATATACAATATAATGACTTTAGTGTAATATAAAATGTCTAAAAAACTGTTACCCATTTTATGCCGGAAAATTGGTTCATTGAATAATGAATTTCTATTTCAGATTCACCACCACAATGGGAAGCCAGGGAAATAAGAGTAAGTTAACAATTAACTGAGTTTTCAAATTAAGAACAATTCAATTATAGTATGAACGAAAACAGGAAAGAAATAAACTTAATTGAATTGAATTGTTTCATATTTTTCAAATCGGGGCCTGTCATATCGACTATACGATATGGGTTTTCTCATTGTTGAAGGCCGCACGGTTGCCTATAATTGCTTAATTTGAACTTTGGTGGATAGTTGTCTCATTGGCAATCATACCACATCTCCTTTTTTTATATCAACAATCCTTTAATAAACTTATTTTGAAATTCCAATAAAATCCACGTAATACTAAATAGAATATTCTAAGATACAGCCTTGTCTCAACTGCAAAGCAAGTGTTGTAACATATCAAGCGAGACACAGTTAACTTTAATTCAAATTAGGTATTTTCCTGTTATTTCTTAATCGTATTAACATCGAAAGTTATAAGGTTATGTAACATAAAGATGCAACAAACTATCAATAAAAAGTTAGGCATCAAATGATTGGATAAAGTCCGAAAACAGTAAAGAAAAATATAGATATATAAATCAAATAATTAGTATTAATAAGTCGTCAAACCAAGTCAGAAACATGCATCATAGATCTAACATTGTAAATATCAATATACAATATTATATGACTTCAAAATTGTTCAATATATGAAAGCTTTTATCTGTCTACAGCAAGATTACTCCCGAAAATTTGAGGAATTTCGTAAATTGAGTTATGATGAGACCAACAGGAGGGTTCGAGAAGTAGAGGAAATCCTCTTAGGATCAGATAAGGAATATGTTGATAGACTTTACTTGTATAATGAGGTAAGACATATTCTACCATGCTTCTATTTGTATAATGAGGTAAGACATATTCTACCATGCTTCTATTTGTATAATGAGGTAAGACATATTCTACCATGCTTCTATTTGTATAATGAGGTAAGACATATTCTACCATGCTTCTATTTGTATAACGAGGTAAGACATATTCTACCATGCTTCTATTTGAATGACTTAATATTGATAGATTATTATCATTTTGTGATTTAGTGTGATACGTATGTACAAAAGACCTAAAAGGTAGGAGAAAAATGAAGGATGCAAACAGAAATATTGGAAAGACCAAAAAAGGCGTATGCTAGTCAAATTAATAATCGTAATATTGTATATGTATATATATGATGACGTATGATGGGATGCCATTTGAATTAGAGTAACGAGTAAGATTTGAACAAGAGTAACGAGTAACATTTGAACAAGAGTAACGAGTAACATTTGAATAAGAGTAACGAGTAACATTTGAACAAGAGTAACGAGTAACATTTGAACAAGAGTAACGAATAACATTTGAACAAGAGTAACGAGTAACATTTGAACAAGAGTAACGAATAACATTTGAACAAGAGTAACGATAAACATTTGAACAAGAGTAACGAATAACATTTGAACAAGAGTAACGAGTAACATTTGAACAAGAGTAACGAATAACATTTGAACAAGAGTAACGATAAACATTTGAACAAGAGTAACGAATAACATTTGAACAAGAGTAACGATAAACATTTGAACAAGAGTAACGATAAACATTTGAACAAGAGTAACGAATAACATTTGAACAAGAGTAACGATAAACATTTGAACAAGAGTAACGAATAACATTTGAACAAGAGTAACGATAAACATTTGAACAAGAGTAACACGTATAATACTTAACAAGAGGAACATGCAGTATACATCATCAGTAAGATTTTAAAAGATATCTACAAGAATATGAAAAATCTTTTTAAAACGGTATGGAATGTATAATACACGAAGCGGTTTCGTCCAGGATTTTGTGTTGTCTTTAAGTTTATGTCATAAACGTTATTTCAACAGGCCAAGAACTACTCACTCAATCTGAAAACCAAAGTATGCACAGTGACAGCTTTAAACAGACCATTCCGCCATCGTGGTGTATTTCCAGGAGCTAAATTTGATGGTATTTTCAATATCGGTGCTGTGGGAGTCCCAGGAGAAGTAGTAGCAGTCCAGGCTTTCTCAGCTAATGGAACTGACGGTTAGTTACTTATGCAACTGATCAAATGCAAAATGATTGAGATGAATGTCGTTTTCTTCTAAACGTATATTTTTGTGACTTAAAGTTTGTTTTCCCGTTTTACGGTTTAATTTTTTTACGACACATGTGTGTTTTTGTAGAAAAAAATGCTCAAGGCAAAATATTGTATAATGAAATTATATGTGGGATATACGTGAACTATACAGCACACCACAACAAATATATAAATTCACGGTTTTTCAATTACTATTGCTCCTTTAAATTCACTGATCGGGCTATTTTAACATTCTATTTAAGAGAATTTTTACCGTTAAAATATGATTGATTGATAATATAATAGTATAACTGCAGTTCAACTATGATCTTATGTACAGAAAGTAGAATTGTAGTAGCAGCATTTTGTTGATAGAGAGACGGTGATGTTATTTTACATACTTTGAAAATCGGTGCTTTCCCTAGAATACAACTAGCCAATTAAGACAAGACAAATACTTTTATTATTGAACATATTCATAAAATATCAACATATATGTGTAAAAGGTAAACAATAGCGTATAAATAAGCCACTCTAAAAAGAGTCATAAAATCACATACATATATAAAAACTATGCCTGTACAGATATTGGACATATAAAACACTAGATAATACACCGAGGCAGTTTTTGGCAGTAAAAAAAGGAAATCATCATTATCGCGTAAATCTGCATATAATGGACACTGCAATAGTACATGTTTTTCATCTAAAAATAATAATATGAATGGTTTATTTTATAGGTTTTTATACTGGTTTGGTCACATATCCAAGCTGTTACCCCGTGCAGAATTTATTCTTTAGTAAGGAGAATGGATTTGAACACTCAGAGTGAGCATCTTAAAATCTGTATTATAATGTGCAAATAAAAAAACTGTCTACCTTTCTATGAAGCAGACATATATCTTTTTATATTTCTTCGTAGGGAATTAAAGTTTTAGGGTATTTATCATTCAACAATGCAGTGAACTTTTTATTCAATAAAAAATTACTTACATATGAATCTTTTAACGTTGAGTGTATTAATATTGTTCTAATGAATCGTACCATATCATACATGAACAATCAACTATACAAAACATATATCGGGGGAAAAAAGAATAAGGAAATGAAAATCAAATAAAATAAAAATAAAATAAATTCTAGTTCAAGACATGATTACATACTTCTTACTGCAGTTAACAAAAACTGTAGTTTTGATATTATTGGTCTTTACTGATACTTTCATATATTGCAGCTACTTCGATTTGAATATTGGAATCGTTGACCTGAATATTTTCATCCCACCTCAAGAATGTATCAAGGCAGAAGAGGAAATGAAAAAGAAGAAGATTATGCCCGTCGTATAACACTGAAGTGCATTTCATTCTCTTCAAATGAAAGCGACATCAAAATCTTGCTTTTTAAAAAGTTAGCTGTTTGCCTATCGAGTTATGTGTTATCATTTTAAATTGAAATATTTTGTTATTTAAACAGCTCGATTGAAAATAAAATTTGTACTTACAGTAATGTTTTGAGTTTGTTAATATTATGGAACAAACTAAATACTCTCCCTCCCCCCAAAAAAAGTATTGTTAATTTCGATCAAATAGGAAAAAGATATACAATAATTTGGATCATTATGCCGAGAAAATGTATCATTTTTCATATACATGTTAATAAGAGGAAATGGGGTCTATGTGTCAACGAGAGGGCAACCAAGAACACAAAACCCATAAATGATATCTAAAGGTCAAAATATAGTCTTCGAGACAAGTGTCTATATATTAAGTCAAGCTGTAACTCGCTTCTCGAGTATCGATAAACCTTCAAGAAACATAACATATACATTCCAATATATTATATCAACACTATGCATGTATGACAGAATGACAGATTGATATCATGTATGAAAATTTCAGAGAACTTGGTATTCTGTCAACAAGTTCTTGGAGTATAGACTGGACAAGAATACGTATTTATACATACCACATAGGCAAAAGGCTTGGTTTTTGATACTTTTCAAGCTGGGACTTTAAATTATGCAGGTTGTTAGAACACAAACTAAGTGTTTGTATAACATCACAGGATTTTGATTTTCTTTAAAATTTCCTCAAATGACAGCACTTTATTATTTTTTTTTAATTATGCATGTTCATATACTAAGAATGTGCATATTTTGAGGATTTTGATTTTCTTGAATTTAACCGCGCAACAGGATGTTATCATTTTTATGCCTTGTGACTCAAAGTCGAGGGGTCTGTTGATTAGCCTTGTCATTTCATAATGAAGTTAAAAGGCATTTATGATGATTTATCTTGTTATAAATAGAATTTTAAGTAACTATATTACCCATCTCACAATCAGAAGTACCCACAAGAACAGTACTTACAGAATATGAGACTCACAAAGTACATTTTGTATTTAAACGTTCACATTATACACAGAATGCTTCAGATTCTGAAGAAGTGAAGTTTCCGTTTTAGGCAGTTCTTTCGTTTTTGAATCTTTTCAAGTTTGCTGGATTCTGTCAACCTGTTTTCAAAAAAGTTTCGGATTAACAAACTGATAATTGATTTTGTAAAGTATGATCCGTGACTTTTGACAATGTACGACTTCATTGGTTGTGTGAAATAACTTGATTTTAACTTCTAAATTTATAGCACAGGCATGTTTTTCTATCCATGGGAAGGTCGACTATCCATATATAATAGATTATATATGGATAAGATTGAGAATGGAAACGGGGAATGTGTCAAAGAGACAACAACCCGACCAAAGAGCAGAAAACAGCACAAGGCCGCCAATTGGTTTTTAACACAGCGAGAAAATCCCGCACCCGGAGGCGGGCTTCAGCTGGCCCCTAAACAAAAATGTGTACTAGTTCATCGAAAATGGACATCACACTAAACTCCGAAACATATAAATGAACCAAATTAAAAAAAAACATACAAGACTAACCAAGGTCAGTGGCTCCTGACTTGGGACAGGCGCAAAAATGTGGCGGGGTTAAACCTTCCCATGGATAGAACCAAGTGCCTGTGATTTGTAGTCCCTATAATACTCATTTCATGCTATGATCAGCATTCACCAAGACGTGTGTCCATATGTCTATGTAGGTGTCAGACCACCAATTCAAATCCCCTATATAATCAACCAAATTCATAGATTAGAACTCACATATATTCTAAATATTGTATATGCATCACCTTTCTATATGCCAATTTTCAACCAACGTTTAAAGTCTTGAAGCAAAACACGATTGTTCGGAAGTCAACTACTAAATGAACCCCTGGTTTTCTGGAAAGGAGAAGAGCCGGTAAGGGCTAGTTTTGGCCTATTATCCAAAGTACATCTAATGAAAGATTTTTGACATTTTTTAAACACTTAAGTGTCTACCTTAGTCGATTCAATTAGTTTATGTAAAAGATTTGGACTGATTTGGTCATTGAAGACGCTCAAATTCAAGCTTAATTATGAAAAATCTATCAAATATGCCATAAAACGTCACTTTTCAGATGGTTTTTGTCTAAAATGTAAGTGGCCGCATTCGTGTTCAGTCTCAACCTTTATATATGTTATGTATTATCATAAAATACAACATATGTTTAAATATTAAGACTGAACACAAATGCGGCCACTTCCATTTTGGACAAAACCCGTCTTAAAATTAGCACAAATGCTAAAATTGTGAAGATTTCAGTAATATTGCATGAATTTATGATGCTTTTACCTGATGCATGTGCATTATATTGTCAAAAACAGCCCATATTTATGGAACAGAAGTATTCTTCTTTCCAATAAATAGGTAAAAGTTTACATTTTAATAAATTGGTAAAAATGCTATATTTTGGCGCCAAAAAGGGATCTTCTCCTTTGAAATAAGCATAAAATGGAGAGTATCAATCTTCAACTTTGAATGCAAAATCATGGACAAGGAAATTTTGGCTCAAAATGGTTTAAAAATAGTTCTTTTTCACAAAAAGTTTCATTTCTGCAAATGTGTCTGTTAGTTTAAGTAAACAATGTCATCAAAAGCACTTTTTTTGTCGATGTAGGGCTATTTTTACCTATGGAGTCCTACGGGTATCGGGCCAATGACTTAAAATCCAAAGGCAGTGATTGAAATATCCCCTTTCTCTCTTTCCGCAAAACGAAATCTCGATGTGTTTAGTCCTTTTTAATTTGACATTTCTGTTCCTAAACATCGCATGTACACTTTCCTTTTTTTTTTTAAATTTCGTTTAATATCTGGGTCCAATAATCTTTTAGACATTACCATTTAAATGTATTTGTTTTATTAATAAACATTTATAACGTTCTTTGAAATATAAAACGACACTACAAACACGAGCATAGCGAACGAGTTGGGGAATTATACACATCGTAAGAAGAGACCAAAGTAATATCACCGTCCAAGAAAAAGGGAAATTAACAATATGGAACGAAAAATCGTTTCTTTTGTGGTAAATGTTTAAATAGAGTTTCCAATGTGAAGATATCAAAATAATTTATAAAGTGTTATTTTCGTCATCTATTTTTGCTGTTTATTATCTTAAATGGAATTAAATGAAATCTAAAAGAATGCTTATTAAGTTTGGCCATACACTGTCATTCATAACAAAACAGGAACACGTATCTTTTAGAGGTTTGCAAGTAGTGCCCATAGGAATACCTACAAACTGTAATCTTTCTCGTGCCAAATATACTGTGTATTATAAGGTTTGTTATTTAATTGGGTGGATGGAGATTCCATTTAATAGTTAGGGGTGTTTAAAGAGCATTCACAGTTGATACCGAAGAAAATTAGGAACGGGTCTACAAGGACCTTAATTTGCCGTTCCTACTATTTTAAAGTGACAGTAAAACTGTTAATGTTTGTTACATCTTTGCCGTTGTTTTAGATAAGCTTTAAACAATTGACATGTGTATGGCACGTGTATAGATATTTTGCCCTGACTTTTGGTACATTTTCATACTATGACAGGTTGCGCACTGTTTTAATTGTTAAACAATTTTGTTTATAGATTTTCGCTCCTTGAGTGTAAAAAATTACACAACAAATAAACAGTTTTCTATTCCTTTTTATTTGGTGGACGAGCATATAAATATTATCCTGTTTTGTGGTAAATATTCATCGATATAGTTTGAATTTGGTTTAGTTGTTCATATTTTCATACAGAAAATTTCTGTAATATACCTGGGACCATCTATTTGTATAGATTACAAATAATGCAAACAAAAAAAAATTTAAACAAATAATTGTATAACTGTCATTTGTACAATAGATGATTGATTACAGATAAAGTGAATTGCTTGAAAGATTTTCCAGAATAGTAAAAAGCTTACGACTGCAGTAACATATGAGCCATCGATATACCAGAGATATCAGAGATTTAGGAGTGACCTTGAAAACAGTACTATTCATTACGCAAATGACATTGACTTAATTTTTATACAGGGTGAAGTGATACTTAATTCTTTATCAGTCTAATCACCCGACACCGAACATTCCTCTTCTTGATAGCGTTGGTAATATCCTAGTTCTGGTTAGGGGATAAAAGACCAGTTCACCGATATATTGTCATATTGTTTGTCCTACCTGAATAATCATGAAGCTCCTTATTTTTGTATGTTTGGTAGTTTCGGCGTACGCCCAGGCTCCAAAGCCATGCAGTAAGTAAAAACTTAAGTTCTTAAAATGTCTCTGGTCAGTCTTTTACGTATTTATTTTTTAAATCCCATCACACCTGAAAGCAACAACCATTAATACAAAATATATTAATCTTAAGAATATTGTATTTTTGTTATGTTAAAAAAAAACCCAAGCGGAATAAGGATTAAATATTTTATGAGAAAGGTTGAAGAGAAATAATAAATGAAAATATTTCATCATTTCATTTCACGTTTATGAATTAGGTAGATCGAAGATAAAATGATAAAAAAATGTTTCTTATTCATTTTAAAACAAAAAACCTCTTTTCCATTAATGCACCCTCAGCTATCTAGCAGTAATAATTTAGTCAACACTTAATTGATTCTTTTTCCTTAGATTCACCACCACAATGGGAGTCGAGAGAGCTGCGGGTAAGATATTCGTTCTTTTAGCATGATACCATTTAAGTATTCCTGTTTAACATTTTTATTTATATATATTTATTTTAAAACAATATTCATTTCAATTTATTTGATTAATGATTTTAATAATAATGTTATATTTAAACAGATTTGGTCTTCATGTCTGTTCCTTTCTAGTAAAATGTGACTGTAACCATGAGTGCATTGTGTTTATAAAGATAGTTAAGCATAGTATTGTTCATTGTTATTAAATTTGATATAAATTAGGCAACTTTAGATCGATTGTTTTCTCAATTCTAGTCAGAACAAAGTCTGACAAAGACGGCTTTAGTAATAGAAAAAAAAAGATTGATCAGTCCGAGATTTCCTCAAAGACCTATTGACTTGCCCAAACCGGAGACCACCGCAATACAACAAAAACGTTCCCTGATTCATAAATCTTGTGTATACAGCACTTTTCAAACCATATTTCACGGCGGAGTTTTGGACATTTATTTATTGTGTTGTATAAAAACATTCTTGAACTACAACAACCAATCGTTTCTATGTAAAAAGAACATAATATTTTGATTTTTAATACTCTTCAACTGCGAACTTTAATTGGCCTTTAAACTTTTTTGTTTCGAGCGTCACTGATGAGTCTTTTGTAGACGAAAAGCGTGTCTTGTGTACAAAATTAAAAGCCAGGTATCTTTGATGAGTTTTTTTTATGATAAAACTAACTAAAGTACATGTGTAAATATATTTTGACAGACTGATTACGAGCAGAAATATCAGGAGTATCGAAGAATAAGTTACGATGAAACCAATAAGCGCGAACGACAGATAGCCGAGGTAGACATTGGTGGAGACAAAGCTTACTATGATCGTTTGATCCTGTACAATGAGGTAACTATGATCGTATGACCCTGTACAATGAGGTAACTATAATCATCTGTAATGTGAAATGAGCTAACTATAATCATCTGTACCTGTACAATTAGGTAACTATGATCGTCTGTACCTGTACAATGAGGTAACTATGATCGTCTGTACCTGTACAATGAGGTAACTATGATCGTCTGTACCTGTACAATCGTCTTTACCTGTACAATGAGGTAACTATGATCGTATGACCCTGTACAATGAGGTAACTATGATCGTCTGTACCTGTACAACGAGATAACTATAATCATCTGTACCTGTACAATGAGGTAACTATGATCGTCTGTACCTGTACAATGAGGTAACTATGATCATCTGATCCTGTTCAATGAGGTAACTATGATCGTATGTACCTGAACAATCAGGTTACTATGATCGTCTTTACCTGTACAATGAGGTAACTATGTTCCTCTGTACCTGTACAATCAGGTAACTTGATTAAAAATGTGCCTGTACAATCCGGTAACTTTTATCGTCTGTACCTGTACAATAAGGTAACTATGCTCATTTGTACCTGTACAATCGGGTAACTTGATTCAAAATATGCCTGTACAATCAGGTTTTATGATCACGTGTACCTATATAATCAGGTAACTTGATTTAACGTACTATGATCGTTTGTATCTGTACAATGAGGTAACTTTGAGATAAGGCTTACTATGATCGGTTATATTTATACAATGAGGTAACTTGGTTTAACGTACTTTGCTCGTCTGTACCTGTACAGTTACGGAACTTGCTTTAACTTATTATGACCGTTTGTACCTCTGCAATTTAGTGTACTGTGTGGATTTAGTGGAGTGACTTTAACTGTAAAATTAAATTTTGAATGCATCCACCTAACACACGGCTAAATTATATCATTCGAAAGCTCAACATCTGCACTATCTGTTTTGACCAGTCGTAAAAAAATCGTACGGTGCAATTTCCGTCAAATCAAGATCAAAGGTCAAGGACGAATAAGTGCATATTTTCCAAGATGTCAACTTTATTGTATATTCTGACTTCTATATGATAAAATCATGTATGCAAACAATTTGAACTTTTAGCAGAGAGATTAACAGTCACTTATCAAACGCATTTTTAAATACTTAAAGCGTGTTTTTGATAGACAGCACATGTTTCCTGAAATTCGAGTAAAAGTTAACAAATGAGCGAAAACCAAAATTTTTGTTTCTAATGCAACTGCTTATCACTTAAAACGAAGTAAAACCCTGTAATAAGTGTTAAAGAAGTTTTCGACATCATCAATATATCCTATAATTATGCTTACTTCTTACCAAATATCAAATCATAACAACTGATACAGTTGCCCAAAATACCGCCATCTGCGGAAACACGGCTTTTAAGCACTTCTTCCTTTTTAAACATTGTATGTGGTCAATATAAGATTGAAGGAACAAAATTCTCAAGATGTGAAAACATTTAAAGTGAAAAAATATATGCGAGCATCATGCTATTGTTGGAAATTAAGGGGGAGAAACTTTGACCTTTCAATGTGCATTGTAATTGCCAGACTGAAATAAGCATCTTTAGACTTTTCTTATTGTTTGATTTGTTATTTCATTATAAACATTGATGTAGTGAAAAGACGTTTTATCTATATGATTTCAACCATAAACAAATATAGACAACAATAAATAAGTAATAAATTAATGAAATTTAAAGAATTTACTTACTAGTACACAAATTAGAAACCTTGTCTTCTTAGCTGCATAAACTGCATTGTTCATTATTTAAATAGATATAAGAGGATGTGGTATGAGTGCCAATGAGACAACTCTCCATCCAAGTCACAATTTGTAAAAGTAAACCATTATAGGTCAAAGTACGGCCTTCAACACGGAGCCTTGGCTCACACCGAACAGCAAGCTATAAATGGCCCCCAAAATGACTAGTGTAAAACCATTCAAACAGGAAAACCAACGGTCTAATCTATATAAAACACGAGAAACGAGAAACACTTATGAACCACATCAACAAACGACAACCACTGAACATCAGGTTCCTGACTTAGGACAGGTGCCAATAAATGCAGCGGGTTTAAACGTTTTAATAGGCGCGAACCTTCACCCTACCTGAAACAATAGTGTAACATCACAACATAGAAAGACACACTATAAAATATCAATTGAAATGGCTTAACTCAAAAGACATATTAACAAAAACAAGTGAACATACACTGAACGAATAAATTTTATCTATGACACAATGTAAATACAAAATTAATAAAACAAGGGGGTTAGATATAAAACAATATCAGAAAGACAATGCATACATTCATCGAAAAAGAACTATAAAATATCAATTGAAATGGCTTAACTCAAAAGACATATTAACAAAAACAAGTGAACATACACTGAACGAATAAATTTTATCTATGACACAATGTAAATACAAAATTAATAAAACAAGGGGGTTAGATATAAAACAATATCAGAAAGACAATGCATACATTCATCGAAAAAGAATAATTTTGTTGAAAAAAATCTATTAAATCGCTATGATTTTAGTTACTTCTAGACATCATGAATAGCTTGAATGACCTGCTCCTTTATTCACACAAGGCTGACTTCAAACAAGAGCTTCTTAGGACGAACGAAAAGAAGCTACAATTTTCTTTAAACTTTACCTTCCGCTATATAGATGATGTACTCTCACTGAATAATCATATGCAAAGTTTGTGACTATGTCGGACGCATATATCCCATCGAAATTGAAAAAAAGACACATCAGATGAAGTTAAGTCTACCATATTTCTTGACTTACATCTAGAAATTGACGATGAGAGGTGATTGAGAACAAACCTTTACGACAAAAGAGATGATTGTGAACTTTCCATTTCTATTAGCAACATTTCAGAAGCGCCTGCATATGGAGTATATATCTCCGAGTTGATACGATATTCCAGAGCTTGCATTTACTTTTATGATTTCCTTGATAGTGGGTTGCTGCTCACAAGGAAGCTACTAAACCAGAGTTCAAAATGCGAAGTTTAAATCATCCCTTCGAAAATTTTATGGACGCCATTACGAGTTGGTTGACCGTTATGGAATATCTGATTCACAGATGACGACGGATATGTTCCAATCGTCGTAACCACAATCCTGTCCTATCTACCTCGAAAGTGAACTACCGAATTAGACTTATCACCGGGTAAGTAATTACATGAACCACAAGATTGGTGCCACATGTGGAGCAGGATCTACTTACCCATCTGGACCCCTTGAGTTCACCCCGAGTTTTTTGTGGGGTCTGTGTTGCTCAGTCTTTAGTTTTATGTGTTGTGTTTTGTATACTGTTGTTGGTCTTTTTGGGTTTTTTTTTTTTCGTTTTTTGCCCCGGCTTTGTCGGTTTGTTTTCAACTTATGAGTTTGAATGTCCTTTTATATCTTTTGCCTTTCTTTTAGTAATGAAAGTTTTAAAAATTGTGGTTGAATGTGTCATGATTACGAATTGGTTATATGTCCCCGTGAGCAAATTAACTTATTTTCGCGAATATATGTCTTATTGCGTTAAGTCATCTTTACTTTACTGCGAGGCTGTTTTTTTGGCGATTTTCATTGCTGCAAATAAGAATCTTCAAAGTAAAATGATATCAAGGGGACAGTCTTAAACCATGAATCAAAGAAACTTAGATAAAATAAAAGTCTAACAGCCGAACAACAGTCCACAAAACACAGCACCGAAATATAATCAAAGTACTGAAGTACTGAACATCGGATGACTGCAAGTTCTTGTGGATGGTCACAAGCACTTGTCTCAGAAAAAAAATCACATCTCTATACCTGAAAGTGAGGTTAATTTACAGATATAATTTTTTTTTCTTAGACAAGTTCGTGCGTGGATGATAAATAAATGACAGGGAATTCAACCTCACCGTAATAAATATGATATTGAAGTGATACAAATCAGTATACTCTGGTTTGGTGTTATATATTATGTTAATATTTGTATATTACAGTTACATGTATATATAATTTTCATCCATTTGTATATCATTCTATTCTACTATATTGATAATAGTGCAGTGCAAGTGCATGGTGGACACTCTACTGTAATAATTCGATTTTTCTAATAGATTGGATTTGAGTAGGCATTGATATTTTCCCGTCAAACTTTCAATCTCCCATGCAGAGTTATCGGTCTTTGAGAGAGAGCGAGGACCGATAACTCTGCATGGGAGATTGCAAACGTTCTTGAGATATTCTTCCGCATGCGTTAACACACATTTTCTGTACGTGTGCATAGATATTAAAGATTTTTTACTTATATATATATTTCTAACGACAAAACATTTTCATATTATTTTTAGGAGTATCCATTGAAAAAATGAATTTATAACAAGCGATAAGGAATGTTATTTTGCACTCGATAATGTCCGCGTTTTATCATGTTTATAGATCGGTTACAATCCCAACACGAAAGTTACGTAATGGAAATCTAGGCGACAGCAATACATCGGAATGCCCTCACGGTCATCCGATGTAAAAACGAACACTCCTTAAAACCGCTAATGATCTTATGAGGCCAGGAATGATATTCAACCTTTCATTTATTGAATAACCAAACTACTAATAAAGTCGTTACATACACAATTACCTGCATTTATGTTTCAAAAGCTTTTGGTGAAAACACTCAAAACAGCTTTATTTCAAATAATTAACGAGATTAAACTTCTTAACTCAGTAAACACGTCTAACACGTTTTTAAACAAAACAAAAAGCAGCAGCATTAAATCTAGTTCGTTTATATAACGAAAAAGACAACTCAGTGTTTCAAAACGCTGGTTACAAATTTCAATGTTGCTACCGATTTAGTAGCAAAGTCATGTTTGCATTTAAATAAGTTCGACTTCGGAAAAAAAACATAATATTTCCACCAATTAGCTCGTATATTTCTTTTTGAACTTTAAATAACCCTTCTTTTATTATGGAAAATTATTGTCCTCCCTGATATTGACAATTAGCGATGTGCTATATAAACATAGAAAAACAAAATGATCGCTATTCGCAGATGGTAGTTTTTGGGGCAACTGCAAACACTTCAATAGAAGGCTGTTCCATGAACAAACTATATTAATTGCATCTTAAAATAATGAAAAAAATATTTCTTGACTCACAAACCATACATTCATTTGATTTTTTGAGTGTACAAATATCGATCCCTCAAGATGAATTTTGCTTTTAGAGCATTTTTCTCTTTTTTTGTAGGATTGTTAAGAATTACAATTTTCTGGAAATACTGCACAACTAAACTTTAATTTTTTTTTTTTGGAATGAATGTATCATGTTATATATGGTTCATATGATCTTTCTGAAAATTTTATCGTACAAAAACCAAAAAATGGCTTTTTGTTTAATTATCGCAAACATTTGGAATGTTTATTCTTGACCTTTGACCATGATTTAACGGAAATTGCACCGTACGATTTTTTTACGACCGGGCAAAACAGAAAGTGCAGATAATAAGCTTTCGAATGATATATAATACAGCCGTGTGTTAGGTGGGTGCATTAAAGTCCTTAACTAAGAGGCTTTTTGAAAAAATGCCACTCGCCTAATTAGGTAACATGATTTAACTTACTATGATCGTTTGTACCTGTACAATAAGGTAACATGATTTAACTTGGTACTATGATCGTCTGTACCTTACAATCGGGTAACATGATTTGACTTACAGCCATCATCAGCCAAACTTTAAAACTATCGCTTTTAACTTGAATATATCATTGCCTCCACTGTAAAACATTCAGATACAGCTCGTCCGATCACAACTGACTGCTCATATTCTGTAATAAATAAGTTTTTTTTATATATAAAACTCCAATAGACCAAAGCTTCAGACGAGAACGAACAGAACCACTGGAAGACAGATGTACAGTTCGTTTTCAATCGACATTGAACGTTTCACTTCTTTAAATATTTGTCTTGTATAGTATTTTACTTGTTTATCTTGAAATTTTAGAATAAAAATTACACATTAAATCTGAAAACAAGGAATTGTACAGTTACAACGACCAACAGGCCATTCCATTATCGTGGTGTACATCCTAATGCAAGGTTTGATGGATTTTTCGAACTCGGAGCCATTGGAGTTTCAGGGGAATTTGTCGCAGTCCAAGCATTCTCAGCAAATGAAACAAATGGTAAATGTTCAGTATGAGATAAGATCAGATAACACCAACTTACTTAAATATGGCAAGTCGCCAAAGTAATTTTTCTGTTTCAACATTAATCATAGTGGCGATCTACCCTCTAAAAACATTTCATGGAAACAAATAAAAAGTTTTTGAAAACCTGCCATTCAGTTTTTTCGCAATTTATTTTATAACTTTCAATTAGATGGGATGTTCTGTGAGCTCGGACTGTAAAAAAAACGCAAACTATGACGGTCATTGCCAATCACTGTGTTGATAGTTTTCAGTTGCCAGTTTATACATACGACTATGTATTAGTTCAACGAGATATGTATTTTGGAAGTCCAAGGTTGCTCTGACGTCTAACGGCTGTTTTGCCAGACAAGCTGGGGCACGGCCGCCCCAGCTTGTCTGGCAAAACAGCCGTTGGACGTCAGAGCAACTGCGGACTAGTATTTTGGTATGTCTTTACTTTATATGATATTCATACTAAAGTATAATTGATGAAGCTTTATGGATTTCAAAACCACGGGAAAAGTTTGGAAAACGATGAATGAGTACAAATTTGAAATTTTAGAAAATTCTCTATGACAAGAGTCTAATATCGCCCGAATATAGAAACATTCTAGGCCGTCAGAAACTATGGCTCTGTAAGTTAAAGGTAAATATGACCCTTTTACTAACTTGATGGGGTAGATGAATTACAATTGAAATAGAATTTTAGCTTGTCTGAAAGTGATCCAGAACACGAAAATATGTCATCATGAAAAATGTCTGCCCTTGTCCACCTTACCAATGCTTTCAAGTGGCAGCCCAAATTTCCCGACCTTAAAATTTATTTTGTCCCACCTTGCAGAAGCTACCTATTATTATTTTTTTTCTGGTCCTGAATATTCATGAAATAATTGACAGTGGACGTTAAGCAAGCAACAATCAATTAATCAAAGCAACTTGTGGTTGTTCTGGAAACAATTAAACTGTTGAAAATAGGACTCGGTCTAACGTAGGTGTAGGCCGGTAACTATGAAACTGTAGACGTCAAGCTGTTGGTATATCATGTTAAAGTAATTACTGTAATTACTGTAATGTGTAATCTTTGGAACTGTAAACATGATACATTATATATAATTAAGGATTCTACACAATCCCTTGCTAGTTTCACTGATTTTACAAAATCCCTAACAATTTCAGGGATTTTACAGAATTACTAAAACTGCTAGTGATTTTACGAAGTCTCTGAATATTTCATGGATATTACAAAATCCCTGATTTTACAAATTCCCTGTAACATATATACGCACGTAAGTAATCAAAGTTGATTTACCAAAAATATATTTACAGAATATTACACTGGTCTGGTGACATATCCTAGCTGTTATCCAGTGCAGAACCTCCATTTCAGCAAAACATATGGATTTGAACATTCTGAGTAAGTTTTCCCTGTTCAATTATATTCCAGTCTTTTTTCTTATTTTTTGTTTATAAAATATTAGTATGCACCATCAAAGTCTTCTTGCATTCATACATATGATAGTTGTGTTGCATTCATACATATGATAGTTGTATTTCTTGAACGATGCCTGACATCAAGAAACAAAGTTTATTTTACAATAATTCGTGGTCAGTTTTGTGGCCTTAAGTTCAACTTCTTTCATTTCAAATGCAAAAAACTGTTCAGTCATCTATTCCCATCGACCTTTACAATACAAGTAACTATATACCAAGTGTGCGATTAAAGCCAAAAGTAGAAAAAGGCAAATCCTTTTATAGCTGAATATGCGGTATGGGTTTTTCTCATTGTTGAAGGCCGTACGATGACCTTTAGTTGTAAACGTCCATGTCATTTGGTCTCTGGTGAAGAACTGTCTCATTGGCAATCATAAAACATCTTCCTGTTTTTGTAAACAATATCATGACCAAAAACATGACAAACACTGTTAACAAAGCATACTCAGAAAACTAAAGACTGAACAGAACAACCCCACCATGTGTGAATTCATGTGCTATGGTAAGGTAAGCAGTTCCTTCTCTATTAGTAAAACCCATTGTTACCATTAACACAACAATTATACGCAGGCCCTGCAAATTTTTTGTTATCGTAATTACATGTATATCGCTACCTCAGCATATTTGCATCTTCGTTTATCATTAATAAACAATTGAGGAAAATAACAAAACTATAGGTATATCAATCCCTGGCATGCAGCCTAATGAAACTAGGACGAAAACTTTCAGTGGATGTAACTATAAGTTTCAACCTATGGCATTTTTCAGTTTTAATCAAATTTTAATGAACATGGATACGAGCAAATAACATTTCAAGCAATCTTAAAAGGTAATATGAATTCCATTGTCTAATATTGCGACATTTTCATCGAAATTGTATAATTTTAGGACTTTTCCAATGCCATGGTCTAATTTTACGGGTTTTCAAATGCCATGTTTTAATTCACAAGTTTTCCATGTCATTGTCTAATCTTACGTTTATTCAAATAATAGGTAAACTATGCAAAAATAATAAAAACTTTGCCTTGATATGCATTAAGATTAGATAAATCTTTTTAGTATATAATTCTATATTCCAATTTCAGCTACTTTGATTTGCATATTGGTATTACAGACCTGAATGTGTTTGTTCCTCCATCAGAATGTTCGAAGGCTGAACAGCGACAGAAAATATTACCAGTTGTATAGTCTGTCAGAGAACAATTTTTTTTAATAATCTTTTTCCATTTTCAGTTCATTAATAAAACCATTCTCATCAATTAATGAAATCTTTGTTTCAATCTTCACATTAAACCGCAAGCTTTCACTTCGGTTTAGACTTGTGTACCGTTAAATGACCATTAACGAATAATCATTAAAACCTGCTTTATCACCGTAATAAAGTGACACATTTTTACCATTTGGCGTCCGTCGTCCGTTAACTTTTACAAAAATCTTCTCTTTTGAAACTACTGGGCAAAATTTATCTAAACTTGGCCACAATTATCATTGGGTATCTAGTTTACAAATGTGTCAGATGATCTCGTCTGCCAACCAAGTTGGCCGACATGGCCATAAGTAGATCATAGAGGGAAAATGGAAATTTTGTCTATTATTTTGAAAACCGCTATTAATAGAGAAAATCCGAAAGGAACAGAAATGTTAGAATGTTGAGCTCTACCTATTGTCTATTCAAATCAAAACTGCCTGACGACTTCTAATGGGAGTTATTGTCCTAAAATGACACCTTTTACCATTTTTCAATTTCGCCTATTATCTTGAAATCTATAAAAGATAGAGAGAAACTTTAAATATCAAAAATGATCAGCAAGACACGCTCTTCAAATAAGTAACATGGCTGAAATCGTCAGAGGACTCCTTATTGGAGTTATTGCTCTTTAATTGCGATCTTTACCAATTGTTTTCCATTTGTCCCTATTATCTACAAAATTATTATAGATATATTGATTTTTTTAATAGCAAAAATTATCAGCAAGACAAGATCTACAAATAAGCCATACTGGCTTAAATCTTATGTACAAACCAAGTGTAGTAAAAACTTATATTTAAAGAGTGCGCAAAACACGTGTTTAGTTACCATTAACCGCATTAACATCAGTGGCGTGAAAAACATGCCATATGATTTCCGCATACAACAAGTGTATTAGGTATGCTTGAACCCAAAAGTTTGAATTGCCAAACATATAAAACGATTGAGAAACCACAAAATGTTAATCATATAAAACGATGGAGAAACCACAAAATGTAAAACATATAAATCGATGGAGAAACCACAAAATGTTAATCATATAAAACGATGGAGAAAACCACAAAATGTAAAACATATCAAACGATGGAGAAACCACAAAATGTTAAATATATAAAACGATGGAGAAACCACAAAATGTAAAACATATAAAACGTTGGAGAAAACTACAAAATGTTAAACATAAACCGACGGAGAAGCGGTGAAACTACAAAATGTTCAACATATAAAACGATGAAGAAGCCATTAAATGTTAAACATAAAACGATGGAGAAACCACAAAATGTAAAACATATAAACCGATGGAGAAACCACAAAATGTTAAACATATAAAACGATGGAGAAACCACAAAATGTTAAACACATAAAACGTTGGAGAAACCACAAAATATTAAACATAAAACGATAGAGAAACCACAAAATGTCAAACACATAAAACGTTGGAGAAACCACAAAATGTTAAACATATAAAGCGATGGAGAAACCACAAAATGTTAAACACATAAAACGTTGGAGAAACCACAAAATATTAAAGATAAAACGATAGAGAAACCACAAAATGTCAAACACATAAAACGTTGGAGAAACCACAAAATGTTAAACATATAAAACGATGGAGAAACCACAAAATGTTAAACACATAAAACGTTGGAGAAACCACAAAATATTAAACATAAAACGATGGAGAAACCACAAAATGTAAAACATATAAAACATATAAAACGATGGAGAAACCACAAATGTTAAACATAAAACATTGGAGAAACCACAAAATGTTAAACATAAAACGATGGAGAAACCACAAAATGTAAAACATATAAAACGATGGAGAAACCACAAAATGTAAAACATATAAACCGATGGAGAAACCAAAAAATGTAAAACATATAAAACGATGGAGAAGCCACAAAACGTTAAACATATAAAACGATGGAGAAACCACAAAATGTAAAACATATAAAACGATTTACAGACAAAAAGGTACCATTTGAATCATGCCAATACAGAAGCACTGACTACATGGTGGACTGATTGTCAACAGGCCTTCACATACATCATTGAAACTTGAAAATGTTTATGCACATTTGTTGTTAAATTAGTCTTAGACAATGCTTTTGGAAATCTTATGCATCATTATAAATAAAGCAGGGAATGATTTTCTGAGATATGACTGCGAAAGCTAACTCTTAAATACCATAAGTATGCAAGTATAGATGCACATTAAAAAAGGAGTGCACGACTAAAACGCACAAGATATAATCAGAAATGTAAGATGAGCAGCATTCAATTTCGACCTTTTTTTGAGGCACGAAAGAAATATTGTTATGGTAACGTAACCTTGCCATGACTGGATATCAGGGGCGGATTCAGGCGGGGGCGTGACGGGCGTGCGCCCCCCTTAAAATTTGAAAAGCATGGGTTGTCCTTAGCTTAATAAAGAACATTTTGATAATTTCACCTCAAAAAAATTTTCGCATCGCTCCGCTCGGCTAAAATTTATGTTTGCGCCCTTGGATATTTAATTCAGATTGAATGGAATTAATGCCGCATCGTTACCAGCGCACATGAGAAATGCCGCGGCGAGAGATTTTTACCTTATTTTATTTAATTGATATGATTCTATGTCCCGAAGCTAGTATGCAAAGAGTAGGTTGTTGGGGTACACGACAACTCATACTTTCGCCAGCTCATACCCAACCAACTCGTACTTTTACCAACTAGTTGCCTACCAACTCTTACAATCCGAATCTTAATGTTAATTTTGTATTTTATAACTCATCTTGTCTGAGAAAAACATGACGGCTTTGTTTGGAATGCAGCTAAAATCTGTTTAATTGCGAAGTAGCGAATTCATCAGTTTTTTTCTTGACTATTGTTAAATGAATACACACGCCGCACTTTATCTTGAGCTTGAAATCTGAAGAGATTTTGGAAACTTAACTTTTTGACTGATTTCTTGGTTGGGTGTGTGCTGGGACTATAAAACTAGTAAGTATAATAGTCCAAGGTGTGTGTTAATGAAGTTTTGTATATAGTTTATCTGATTCTCTGAGGACTTCGCCATCCTTTTGATGTCATAAAGCTACTACACGAATTTAAATGTAAAACAATTCAAATGATAAAACTTACGGCCTTATATTTGTACAAAATAATGAACAAAAAACAAATGTGATACACAGCAACAAACAATAACCACTGAATTACAGGCTGACTTGGGACGCACATACAGAATGTGGCGGGGTTACACTAGTTTGAAGGCTCCAACCCTCCCCCTAATTTTGGACAGAGGTGTAACAGTAGAACATAAGAACAAACTATAAAATTCAGTTGAAAAAGGCTTAACTCATCAGATGGATACAAATAGAAACACATCTAACAAAAACACAAGAGTGGATTTTACTGAATTTAAAATGTCTAACTATAAAGCCATTTTTTTCTTTACGGTAAAAATAATAATTGTAAAAGTATACCTCAGTTAACAGACTTTGATATCAACAGTGCTGCATTTATTCGGAAATTTTAGTTTTTATATTAACTTCTCTATGTTTTTATTTCATAAAACCCAATTTTGTAGGTCCACGTATAATAATCAATTGCGAAATGAGACAACTATCCACCAGAGACCAAATGACCTAGATGACAGCAACTGTAAGTCAGTGAAAGAGCAAAAACCATAACACATCTGTTTCAACAGCAAGTAAAACACATAAAATTAATGGAAGAATAAAGATAGATCCTCATGATTGTTTTTGAGATAAAGCATTTGAAGAACTCTTTAAATCACTTATCTGAAACTATCAAAATGAGTAAAATTGAGCATTCACTTAGAGGGTTGTTGTAAGATGGTCCTTGCTTTTATGAATGAATTTATTGGTCTTTCCAATATTTGTATGACTCTGCTCAGCTCTACATAATTGTTATTTAACATAATTAAAACGGGAATGGATGCATCAACAACAGTAGTTTTATTAAGAAAATCTTTGGATTTAAAAATTGGAGATTTGATGAATTTAGACAAATTTAAGAACGTTTTTTGCCGATTTTATGTGCTTTCTATACGAATGTTCATCAAGTTTGGAAGAATTCAATCAGTAATATTTCAGATGAAAAAAGAGATAAATGCATTATTTTTTCCAATTTCTAGTTATAGTTCAACAAGCCAAAATTGTATGCAAAATTTTACCAAAATCTGACATAACCCATTTACTGCAACTTATATGTCTGGAGTCAGTAAATTCCATGTGGGGCTCAAGCTTTGCTCGCTCTTGTCCCATTTACTGACCCTGTATATATTGTATAACGTCAGTAGCACTGTGTAAATAATAATACCAGCCCATCAAAGAATGTGGAGGATAAGATTCACTTCCTTTCAGAATGTCCCAATACAAATAAGAAAAGATATCACATTCTAAACAAAATTGAAAATAAATGGAGAATGTGTCTATGGGCCACAGATGCCCCCACTTGTAAATATGCACTTCCACATACAGATGCAGGATTCAAGTAGTTAAGACCGTTTTGTGATTATTAGCATTGTGTATAAGATTTATAACATTTGGACAAATTGGTTGAGGCAAACTTGTTAGAGATCAGAATGAAAAATTCAGCAAAAAGGTGACGCCACCCAATTTAGAACTTGATCTGTGTTTTGTGGTTATAAGCATTGTGTATAAGTTTTATAACATTTGGTTGTGGCAAACTAAAGTTAGAGATTGGAAACCAATTTTGGGGGCAGACGGACAGACGAACGGGACGGACAGCAAGGGTAACAGTTAATACCCCCTCTGCTATGGCCGGGGCATAAAAAATATCCTCTTAGATAGCAATTCAAATTTATTTGGGTGATGTCTGCTGAAGATCCATTCATTTATCAACAACTCCAAACCCCAACAAAAAAATTGAACCATTCAAAACATGATAGTCCTCTGGTTAAAATCTGCTTATAATCAATCCTTATCTACTTAAATTAGTTATATGAAAAATGGTTATTGCACATAAACACTTGCTTTGTGTCCTATTGAAATAACATGTAGATCTCTGCATCTTTTCACTGTATTTATTGAATATAAGCACTTTTAAAAGTGTTTTTGTTTTTTTTATCTTCTTTCAATACTTGTGTATACCTATGTTTAAGGCCTTTGGAAAATACTGCCTTTAGTTCTACCAAAATGGCAATAAAGAAGTTGTTTGTCTGTATATATGCTGTATAAACTGTACAGACAAGTTAAATTACATTTGTTGGCAGGGAAAATATTTGCATTGTTTATAAAATGCTCCGCTGGGCGCAGCTTGATACAACCGCTGAGGTCGAACCCCGAACAGTTGGGGCAAGTATGGACACAACATTCAAACTTGATACAGCACTGAATTTGGATTGTGATTAAATATTTGACACAGCATAGGTTTCTGACACAGAATGAATGTGGTCTAAGAACTTAAAAAATTTTAATTTACCAATTCAAACCATATCATTATTATTTGCTTTTATATATAAATCAGAAATAACCAATTTAAAATGGAAAATTTTAAAGAAAAAAAAAGGAAAAAAAGGAAAAAAAAATCCCTCCCCCAAATTTTTTGAACCCCCTTATGATTCATCACCCCCTAACTCAATCCCAGCCTTCCCTTTGTGGTATGGTACCTTGCAGTACAATTTCAGAGAGATCCATACACTTGAACACAAGTTATTGTCTGAAAACTAGAAAAATGCTTATTTTTGGCCCCTTATTCCTAAACGTTTTGGGCAATTACCCCCAAACTCAATTCCAGCTTTCCCTTTGTGATATGGAACCTTGTAGTATAATTTCAGAAAGATCCATACACTTACACACAAGTTATTGTCATGGACCTAGAAAAATCCTTGTTTTTTGCCCCTTTTTTTGCCCCTAATTCCTAAAATTTTGAGGCAAATACCCCCAAAATCAATCCCAGCATTCCCTTTGTGATATGGAACCTTGTGGTACAACGTCAGAGAGATCCATACACTTGAACACAAGTTATGTCTGGAAGTTACAAAAATGCTTATTTTTGGCCCCTTTTTCCTTAACTGTTGGTACCATAACCCCCAAAATCAATCCCAACCTTCCTTTTGTGGTATTGAACCTTATGGTAAAATTTCATTGAGATCCATTCACTTAAACTAAAGTTATAGTGCGAAAACCAATGTGTCTTCGGACAACGCTGACGACGCCAACGTCATAACAATATATGACCGCAAAATTTTTTGCGGTCGTAAAAAAAAATCAAAATAAAAGCTGAACATTAGATGTTTATTTATAAAAATTCATCATTATAAATCAATAACATTTAGTAAACAAAAGTACAAAAACAGAACAAATTATTGCTGATTCAGCAATATTTAACTTAAAGAATAGTGACTACGTGAAGGTAGTATTGACATTCAAAAGTGAAGAGTTGAGTCATGAAATAGAGTGGAATGAAATTTGTAGAAAATTGTATAAAATAAATATGGAAGAAATACACATCTTTCATAAAGTAAATCTATAAGCAAACTGTCATGACTTATTTTTAACAATAAAGATATAAATATATGCTGAATGATATTTAAAACAACTTTAAAATAATAAAAGAACAGCATTTGAATGTCCCCCTACAGATGCATATATTTGATCTGTCCAAGGGCAATAACTCCAATAAATATCTTTTTTGTTCTTTTAATCTTTTTCATTAATATCCTACACCAAATGTGGCACAAAATGGCTTACAATGCAATTTTCCATATAATTTCTATTTTAAAGGGCATAACTACTGTAAAAATAGTTGAAAGAGTTGATTATCATAGTCATCCAAGACCTTGCTGATATAAACCTCTGAAATAAGTTTTTTTTAAATTCAGCAAGAAATTAAGGGTTGAGAGTGCTTACAATGTAAGTACCTGATTGTTTGTATATTGAAAAGAAAAATCATTTCTCCATGTTTGATATTTGGTACAAAACCAACTGAGCATGCCTAAAACAGTAAACTAGTGAGGCAAAATATTTGGCTTTGAAAAATGAATAAACATTTTGTGCAGAGAAATTGAGTTTAGCATTGGAAATTGATTTAAAGTTGAAATGTTCGATACATACAAATATTATAATTTTCTCTACAAATCCTCAATATCTATGCATAGTCAACTGTAATTAAGTAATAGTAATCTATTTACAATGATCTATAGTATAAACATTTGTGTAAGCAGTTCTTATAAGATTTTGCCTTTGTGATTCGGATTGGGTAAAATTAACAGAAAGCAATAAATTAACTTATATTTTTCTGCACCGAAATTCAGAGAAATGGAGTAAATACTGCTAAAACAATATTGTACTGAAATCAAAACTTTATAATTTGACTAATCTATTGGCATGGTGGTCAAAACAACAAAAATAACTTGGACATTTGAACAATCCTCAAAACAAAATTTTCTTATATTGCACTGGCTTGATGAAAATGATATTCAAATTAGGTATAAATAGATAAAAATAATAAATAATAGCATAACAAAAACAAATCAAGTATGTCACTTTAAATTTTGCAAATAATACTTTTGAGCATTTGACATTTGTGGCAAATAAAAGTAAATGTGTCCTTAGATATATAACAAGCAAGATTTATCTGATTAATTAAGTTGCATCAGTATCTGACATAACAATTAACTTCTGACAGGTACATGAGATGTCCAGATAGACAAAATCATAAAGTTGTCATGGTTCAAAATACATTCTTATCTGGCTGAATAATGAATTACTGAATAGTCGTCATGTCTTGATAGTTAAATTCTAGCAAAATAATCTTATTGATCCATTGTCAGCTCCTAGTAATAACATTCTGTTCAACGGTAGTAGAGCCATACTGGTTAATACACCTTTAAATGTATCTGATCTCATCTTCTCTGATGTAAACATAGCCTATAATATAAAGTTCAAGATGTTACTTTCGATTGGAAAAGATACAATAGTGTGGGATTATTTGTCATTAAAAGTTTAGCTTTACACAATCTAGTTATTAATAAAGCGCATTCTGTCAATTCTAATGTGTTTGCATAATTTCATGAAATTTATATTCAAGAAGTTTACAATTTCAGGTAATGAATCCATGGAAACTTTACCATGGAGGAACTTCCACCAGGATAAAATCCCATGCTACACCATCTATCAATTTTTAACAAGTCGAACATATGCTTTACATACTTGATCAAATCCTGAGGAATTACAGTTTTAAGTCTATAAAATTATTTCAATTTTAACTTGTTGCATGTCACAATTCAAACGTTTTTACAAGAACAGTAACGTCATTTCAAGTATTTCAGACAGTAAAACTGCTGACATAGGTTCATTTATATCATGACTTTTGGTATGAATTTGAAAAAAAAATTACCCCCACTCTCAAGTCCTAGAAAAATGTCTAAATCATGTTAGCACACTTATATATGTATACTATTCATCACCTATATAATATAAAGTTTATTGTCATCATAGTAACATACCTGTTCATCAGCAGTGGAATGTACCCCTATCTTGTTACCAGTAGTGGCAGTCAAAACCTGATTTTTGTACAGAGAAATACAATGCACAGGTTCTGTGTGACCTAAAAAAAAGAATTATGATATGGTATTTCAAATCATCTATATTTATAAATCTGTTCAAATGATTCTATCATGACCCAGGAAAACATATAAAAACTTTAGAATTAGAATGTTCATAAGATGAAGAATGTTCAAAATCACAGCTGTTCTATTCTTAGTACAAAATATACAATGTCCCTTTCTATCAACAAGGCTCTGTCACAACCAGTTTGAATAAAATGCTTCGCTGAGCGCAGCCTGATATGACCGCAGATGTCGAACCCTGAACAGTTTGGGCAAATTTGGACACAATATTCAAGCTTGATACTGTCTGAATTTGGATTGTGATCAAATTTTTGACATAATATAGGTTTCTGACGAAAAATAAATGTGGTCAAAGATCTTACAAATATATTGCGCAATACTGTCGATTGAAGATTTCTTCTTGAAAAATTTTGAAAAAAAAATATGAATCCCTTAAAAAAATTGGAAAAAAAATCCCCCCCCCCAATTTTTTGAAACCCCCCTTGGAGCAATAACCCCAAAACTCAATCCCAGCCTTTCCTTTCGTAGTATGGAACATTGTAGTACAATTTCAGAGAGATCAAAACACTTAAACACAAGTTATTGTCTGGAAACTAGAAAAATGCTTGTTTTTGGCCCTTTTTTGGCCCCTAATTCCTACATGTTTGTGGCAATTAACCCCAAACTCAATCACAGCCTTCCATTTGTTACATGGAACCTTGTGGTACAATGTCAGAGAGATCCATACACTTACACACAAGTTATTGTCTGGAAACTAGAAAAATGCTTGTTTTTTTCCCCTTTTTGTCCCTTAATTCCTAATCTGTTGGCCCCATAACCCTGAAAATGAATCCCAACCTTCTACTTGTGGTTTTAAACATTGTGGTACAATTTCAGAGCAATTGAAATACTTGTACACAAGTTATTATCCTGAAACTAGAAAAATGCTTGTTTTGGGCCCCTAATTCCTAAACAGTTGGGACCATCATCCCCAAAATCAATCCCAACCTTCCTTTTGTGGTATAAAACCTTCTTAAAAAATTTCATATAGATCCATTCACATAAACTAAACTTATTGTCAGGAAACCAATGTGTCTTCGGACGACGACGCAGACGACATCATACCATTATACGATCCCAAAAAATTTTTTGCGGTCGTATAAAAAGATTAAAATCATCTTTTAATGACAATCACAAATTTCATAATTGAATTGGAACAGGCATCACAAATGAATCTTCATATTTGATATAATATACCTTTGAGTATTAAAACATCTTTGATGTCATCAGCATTCCAAACTTTGACTGTCTGGTCATAGGAACATGATATAAACTTATTATTACTGTAGGCTTTCATCTAAAATGTACAAAGGTATCTCAAAATAATGTAGTCACAAGTAGGATAATGATCACATACTGTAAATTCAGAATATATTGCGTGCATTTATTATAGCGATTTTTGAAGAATTGACAAAAATGCATGATTAATTATTGCGATTTCAGGGAAATCTACATTAGGATATATGTATCAGATATCAGAATGCGAGTTCTTATTATTGCGATACTCACCTAGTCGCATTATTCGCATTAATAAAAACCTCACAATAATTTCTGAATTAACAGTATCGGTATAGGAAATGGGAAGACAAATCTATTTAGACTATATAAAATCATATTATTATAGTGTATAAATGTTGTAAACACTTTTCTTCAGAACCATTATTTTCCTGTAATGTCTGGTATTCATGCATCTAAATGGGTTTTTAAGGTTTATACTTTTAAAATTGACCTTTGATAAAATATGTGGTCTCAGGTCTTTGCATGTTGATTATTTGTTTGATAAGCCTTTTGGCGTCTTATGTGTTAAATAAGAGTTTGGATACTAACAGACATCTCCTTGAAGAACAGTACTATTACTGTGTCCTTCCTCCCTAACTTTGTAACCAGAGAATGATCAAATATCCAAATGTATATAATTAATAAGTAAGTATATTGTTGTTTTGGGTTTTTCATTATTGTCAGACTTCATTTTTTATCTTGTTGTGTATGCATTAACATTCAATGAATACCTTTTTTAAAATATTGTTTGGTTAACTAGAACTGTAAAAAAAAACTAATGAACCATATCTTTTACCATTAAGGTTGGCACCAGCAGATAAAAGAAATCTTACAGTATTTGAGATAATAAAACATAATCACTATGCCACATTTTTTTCAGAATTACCTGAATAATCTCCCCTTCATGAGCCTTCCAAGTTCCTAACATAATACCAGTCGTTAGATTTAACAATGACATGATCCCTGAAGAAAATCCTATTGCTACCCATTGACTGTCTGGACTAACAGCTATACATCGAATTAAGCCTGAAAATAAAAACAAATTACATTTATGTCTGCATAATAATTAGATAAGTGCTTTCCAAATTAATCAAATTTTAAAGTAAATTTGGATTTTATTAGATAAATACTTACCATCATAAATTCTGAGTATACCCCAACTGCGTCATAAGGTCAGATGAAATATCCCCGACTAAAAGTAAACGTACTATCACTGGTCCGGACATATACCCCTGTGTACCCATATTCTTCCATTCAATTTCCTCAAGACAGAAACGTAAGGAAAGGGGATGAAGGGGAGGCGAGCGGGACCTTTTATTTATAATGGTAAGTATTTATCTAATAAAATCCAAATTTACTTTAAAATTTGATTATTTTATAGCTATAAATATTCTACCATCATAAATTCTGAGTAACAGAATCTAATGTAAAGCTGAATCCCCTGTAACAGAAGAAACAGGAGGAAAGTTCAATCTTTGTGCTGAAACTATAGGTCCAAGAGAGTATAAACTCTCAGCAAAAGTAGCCATAGATTGGAGGTAATGAGATATAAAAGAGTTCTCATTTCTCCAGAAACCTGCAGACAGTACCTCTTCTAAAGATGCACTGTTAAACAGAGCCCAGGATGTAGAGATACCCCTAACATCATGAGCTTTAACATTAAAACTATCCAAAAGTTCTGCTTTAGAAGAACCATAAGCTAAAGATATGCATTTGCATATCCAAGTGAAAATAGTTTTAACAGAAAGATCTGAGATTCCTTTTTTAATAGGAATAAAGAATATTGAATTAGAAACAGAACGTAAACTCTTCGTTCTATCCAGATAGATAGAAAGGATTCTTACTGGACATAAAAGTACAGAAATAGAATCGGTAGGGAGCAAGGATCCGGAAATTTTCCCAAGTCATTTCGGTCATTTTTTTTTTGTGATGTAATAATATCGTGATGCACAATAATGCATTTTTCTGAGGGTGACAAGTCTTGCACATGGACAAGTAAAGTCCTTTTTTGTGAAGTATTGGGTCAAACAAGTGTAACTGTACCTTGATCTAACAGTAACAGTGATGTCTCTGAGTTAGAAACTACACGAGGAGACGTTTTGTTGTTGAGTATTGCATCACTGAGGTCGTATGCATAACCCTTTAAATTTGCATAAATTAAAAGAGGAATAAAATACGGCATGTTTCATCATTTTGAAATAAAGTTATGTAAACCAATTAATAAACTGTGTTGAGCTTCTTATTGCATGTACAAGATATCGTTTGTATTGTTCAAATTGCCATATTGTTTTTATTGCTTAACAGGTGTTTACAGGTGAGATTTGTGTACATGGCCTTTATGGCTTTAATCAAGACAATAACGACACCCAAGCCGAATTCAAACTTCCTGGACATTGATTACTATCCTTACTATGTAAACAAATCTAGTGGCTTGAACCCAGACTTACCCCACGCTGTGACTCGACAGAGTCCTGTACATTGTTTTTACTTACATTATAGAATAAACAACAGACTAATGATAAATATTATTAAATCACTAACACAAATCAATAAAATTTTTATTTTGTCTCAAACAAATCTATTTTTCTTGATGACCTGAAAACAAAAATAAGTTCAAAATGGCGACCGATAAAACCCTGATCTCAATGAAATGACCAAAATTATTTCTGTAAAAAAAAAAAAAAAAGACCTAAATCCTAATAAATCATTTCGGTCTTTTCAGTTTCCAAATCGGTCATGTCTGGCATATATGACCGTTTCCGGACCCTTGGTAGGGAGTGCAGGAATCACGACTGGTTCTGCACCCTTATCTGGAATCTGATTCTTTGCCAAAAAAGCAGGATCAGTTAAAAGAGTAACAGAAGATTTATCCCTGTTAAATCGAAGGCAAGCATCAGAAATAGAGAAGGCATGGATTTCACTCCTTCTCCGTCCAGAAGCCAAAGCTACAACAAAACAGCATTTATAGGAAAGAAACCTTAAATCTATTTTTCTGCTGGTTCAAAAGGAGAAAGTTTTAAAAGGGATAAAACTAGTCCAAGGTCCCACTTAGGAACTAAAGTTTTTTGTCTTGGTCTTGCAAGACTAAAACTACAAACCAAAAGAGAGATATGCTCATTGTTTCCAAAATCTGGACCACCAGAAATATGAATAGTTCTTGAAATTGCTGATATATATCCCTTAATAGTAGAGGGACATAAACCTTTGGATTCAAAAAGAAAAACTAGAAAGTCTGCTAATTGTTGTACAGTGACTTGGAAAGGATCAATTTCCCGCTCACTACACCAATCTGAGAAGATTGACCATTTTGCATCATAGACAAGGCTAGTGGAGTCTCTGACAGACTTTGTGAGATGCTTGGTTGCTCCTTCAGAAAAACCTCTCTTTCTGAGGCTAACCCTGAGAGAAGCCAGGCATGTAGATGAAGTTTTTCTGGATTTTGATAAAGAACCTTGCCCTTGATTTGAGACAGAAGGTCTGGTCTCAGAGAAAGAACTAGAGAACAAGCACATGATAGGCGCAGAAGGTCTGGAAACAAGACTGTTTGGGCCATGCTGGAGCAATAACTATGATCTTGCAATTCTCCCCTGCTATTTTCTGAAGTACTGGGGAGAGAAACCTGAAAGGAGGGAAGGCGTACCCGAACATTCCTTTCCAAGATAGGCTCATTGTGTCTACCGCAAAAGATTTTGGATCTGGAACCGGAGACACAAATGTGGGAAGTTTGTGATTGAGATTGGTCGCAAACAGATCTATCTGAGGTGACCCCCAATGAAGCGTCACAGCTTTGAAAACTACTCGAAGTAGTTCCCACTCCGTGTTTACTGGAGCAAGGGATCTGGATAGAGTGTCGGCTAGAATATTGAGGTGACCCGCAGTCTTTGATACCTTGGGAGGAGAAGAACTATCATCATCCTCATCAGTGAGGAAAGCCCTTTCTTGACTCCCAGGGGAAACAGAAAGCTCATCATCCTCCCTCTCATCATATTCTACAGACTTAGCTGGAGAAGGTTGATGAGAAGAAACTCTATTCTCCAGTAGAGACATACGACTGGATAGAGTACTAAACTCAGCCTTGAAAGACTCACCAAAGTCCAAAAGTAACTTCTGAAAACCATCTAAGGATGGTGCAGAATCAGAACCCTGAGGTAGAGACCCATCCAGGAGATAGTCCGAACCAGGAATAGTGACGAAAGGACTATTCAAATTAAAGTCCATAATTAAATTTAGTCAAAAAAATAATTTGTCTAGAAATTAATACTAAACAAGGGAATAATTTCCAATAATACACAATATAAATTTGAAAAGCAATTAAGCAATTCAAAAACTTTCCAATAACAAAATTCTTCTCTGTTAAATCTGTAATAGTAAATACACGTGTGACCAATGTCGCAGATGGAAATTGAATGGGAGAATATGGGTACACAGGGGTATATGTCCTGACCAGTGATAGTACGTTTATTTTTAGTCGGGGATATTCCATCTGACCTTATGACGCAGTTGGGGTATACTCAGAATTTATGATGGTAACATATTTATAGCTATAAAAATAGCTTTTCACACAGCCTTCATCGTGGAAATAAACTCATCACCATTGAAATATACGAGGAACTGATGTCAACTAGTCACTGGAATGTCAAATAATACAGGACTAGATTTAGAGAAAATGCTATTTTTAAAAACAGTTATTGACTAAAACAATTTTCACATGATGTTGGGATATAATATAATGTCTGTACAATTAAAGTGCACTTATACCTGCTGATGCAGTAGAACATCTGTATTCATGTGCATATCCAACTGTCCTGAGATCTAAAAACCTGAAAAATAGAACATTGTGTATTAAAAACTCAGAATGCATGCATCTCTCATGGTGATTTTTTGATAACTGAAAAGATTCAAATCTGTTCAAGCCTATTAATTTTTGTCTTCATTACAGATGTTATTTCAAAAATTTTTCACAACTTTCATTAAATATATTGTGTAGCAAACTTCACGCAATAAATATTAATGATACAGCTACCAACACTGTATAGAATGTTGTGTTAGGTCATTGAATTAATTACAAAAGTTCATATATTTCACATTTACAACAAATACATATTGTTATACCTCTTTCTCAAAAAAATTAATATATTCAATGTAAAGCAAATAGACAATTCACATACCCTGAAACAGTTACCAATACAGAGCCTAAAGCAAAAAGAACCAGAAATGTACCCTACCTGAGTTGAGAATCAGTATTAGCAGTTAACACCATAGTTGAAGGAGCTGGGAGAGAAGCCATAGCAGTAACAGGACTATATCTGTTAGAATCTAGATTTCTTACTATATCCTGTGTGAATGGGTCCCAAATCTAAATGAAATAAAAAATTTAAAAAATGTTTTAAAATCTTGATACAAAAAAATCTTTGATGTTGCTAGATATATTCTTTCAGTACCTGTATATACAAATTGTGTTTTCTTATGTTGTGTTACTGTGACTTGACTGTTAGTGTTGCTCTCCACCTATTGCAATTTATTCAAAATTCTGACCAAATTGCAATTTGTTTTATAAAACCAAACTGTTCAACTGGTCAGAAATTTGAGCAAACTGCTGTAGAAAACCACAGTCAAATCGTGAAAGTGCAAGGTGATAAAATAAAGAATACTTACAATCCTATTAGACTTTAATTCCACTTCAATGTTATTATGGAAAATCAGTCTAACAGTTTGTATAGAAATTTTATTGTTATTGTCATGCTAAAGGTGATAGCTAGTAATTTTTAACTGCTATAAAAATGTTCAAACAATACGTTGTTAAGGAAGTTTCCATGGGAGATAATCAATTTTTCTTTCGAAAAGTCTTCTATATTCAAAAGAATAATGTTTTAGGTTATCTCCCATGGAAACTTATTAACAATGTATTGTAATTTCACATATATTTTACTGAATATAAAATGTTTTCATTCAAATGATATCTGATTCTTATGAATATAGAAGACTTTTCGAAAGAAGAATTGTATGAAAGCTTAGTTTGAACATTTTTATAGCAATTCAAAATTACTAGTTTGGTTTTATAAAACAAATTGCAATTTGGTCAGAATTTTGAATAAGTTGCAATAGGTGGAGAGCAACACTTACAGTCAAGTCACAGTAGTTGATTCATCTGTATAAATTTTGAAGGTATATTGTTTTATTTTGTTTTTCATCTGACCATGGTAATAAGGGTTTAATCCTCACAATTTGCACATATAACCCTTACTATGGAACAAGGATGATAATAAGAAGAGGGTCGAATCCTCACACAGCTTTACAGTAACCAGTACTTTGGAACAGGGATGTTTTAAATATACATTCTAACATAAATTTCAGTCCATGAATCATATATAATTCTAGAAGGTTTCAACCACAGGCACTTGTCTCTGAATTTTTTTTCTCGTAAATACCTTAATATAACACAAGGTACTTAACTCGCATTTTTGAGAAATGTCACCTGATCGTGAACTTCCGTTATATTTTTGATTTTGCGGTTGTCCAACCCACTTAAACTTGTAATGCCGTAAATCTACATTGATTTATCTACACAACAGTGTATGACACGCCTACCTTTGTTGTCTGAATCATTCGTATCAGGCCTCCCAATTATGTCAACTGTAATTATTCGTCTTCTCACAGCCCTTTGGAAATATCAATCTCGCAGTAAATGGTTAATTATAATTGTCCCTTTGGTATCTTTCCCTCTCTTATAGATATCTCGGTTTCCGATTGGTCAAATCTTATTGTTAAAAATAAATGTTTTTTTGAGTTATCTCAATTTTATATGTAAAGTCCAGAGAGACTCTGAATGACATTGATGGAATGAGAAAATTTGAGTCTAAAAATAGAAACTCTTAACTCATTAGACATACCTCAAATAACACTTATTAGAATTCTTTTCATGGAATCTTTTACAAATTTACTACCTGGATGAAAATTTCTATTCAGAGAAAAACTAACAGGTTTTTGGGAAATACTTTTTATAATTAATCATTCACTGCAAGATTTATATTTCCAAAGGGCTGTGAGAAGACGAATTAATGACGCTTGACATACTTGGAAGGCCTATTACTAATGATTCCGACAATAGAAATAGGTGTGTTATACACCATTGTGTAGATAATTCAATGTAGATTAATGGGATGACAAGTTTCAGTGGGATAGACAACCGCAAAATCGAAATATAATGGAAGTTCGAGACCTGGTGACATTTATCAAAAATGCGAGTTAAGTAACTAATTCCCCATTTCCATTCTCAATTTTAATGAAGTTTATTTCCAAATCATGTGTCATGCACATACAGAAATCGGTATTAAACAGAAGAATTAATCCTGAAACAAGGACATCTACCAATCTTAATTCAAGAACATGGTCAATCTTAGTCACTGTTTGTTTACACAATTAAGTGTTAGGATCTGTAGTTGTGTCTTTTGAACTATTTCACAACATATCAGTCCCCAAAACTATGTTTGAGCATCCTCATTTGCAAACAACAGATTTTATTAAAGATGAAGTGAGTTGTTATGTGTAATGTTTAAATAATATCTCTTTTTCATTTTGCTTGCAATAAATAATTTCTTTTGTGCTGATGTGGCCTTAACTTTCATTTATAAAGACATGCTACAATGCTTCAATATAATATACCTTATCCTAGCATTGTGTTTTTTTCTGAAAACAGAACATGTGATGCATGTGTTAATCAGCATCAAACATTAATTTTTCATCTCATAAATGGAACAGATATAATGAAATAAATTTTCACATCTTCACATATTATGACTTTAAAAAATCTAAAAAAAACTAAATCATTCAGCATCATGTGATATGGAAGTGATTTTTTTTTCTACTGCTTTTTGTTTTCTGAAGTATCTACTTACATGTACTGAACTATCACAAGATGCCACCAGTCTGACTGATTCAAGAAAAACAATAGAATATATAGACTTCTTGTGCTCTCTGTAAGTCCAGTGGCATCTGATCCTTAAAAAAAATCAAGTCCAAGAGATTTATTCTCCAAATTTTCCAAATGTCTACAGCAAATTACAATAAACAAATCAGAATATATATAGTAAACAAACAATCAACAATGAAATAAGGTTGTTCTATATACATGAATATATACAAGTAAAATATGTGTGTTGTGATTATTGTTCTTGGAATTCTTAAATTTGTAGTTTGCTTTGACCAACTAAATCTATGAAAAAGGTAATATCCCAAGTATAAAAATGAATCCTCATTATGCATAAGCATTATGTATCCAGTGCATTTCATGTAAATAAACTGAATTTCCAGAGGTTAATCAGATAATTTGAATTATAAGGTATGTAAAGCAAAGAGATTGCACATATAGATAAGATTGCACATCTGTGTGAAAATCATATTATTTATCAAAATATCAAATGTTATAATTTTCTCCTAAAACTTGCATATCTATTTATTTGTGTAGAATAATTTATGAAATGCTTGTCATTGATCAGATAGAAGACATTTCAGACATTGGTCATACTTACTTTGCTGATCCATCACCACAGCTTTTGACTGACCACAATTTAACAGTTCTGTCTTTACTGGAACTAATAAACGAATTTTCATTGTCAAGGGTTGTCAAAGTTTTTATGCTGCCATTGTGACCTTCAAATGTTTGAAGTTTTATCTGTTTAAAGTTGAAAAGGGTCTCTCTTTCACTTAAACCTAAAATGAGAGCAATTTTTGAATAGCTTGCAAAGGAAACCAGAGTCAATCAATGTCTGTGAGCTATTACTTGTATTTCATCTCTTTCAATCTTAGTTTAACAAATAGTTTTCCAAATTTTTATCCTCCAGTGAAAGGCAGGATTTAACTTTTTGAAACTGAGAAGATTCATGATTAAGTTAAATCATCAAGTTTCACTTTGATTTCCTATACTCTGTGATATTATAAACTCTAAATTCAGTTATAAAAAAAATAAATGCTTAGTTCATATTAATGATATAAGAACAAGAGTCTAAAATAAGCTTTCAACAAATGCATTTGGTTGTTAAAACATGTAATAAAAAATAATTGATCAGCACTGATTTTTAAACTCGTCAAAGACATTGCTGATATATATACCTATGATATAAATTTCATAAAAATCTGGCAAGAATTGTACACATTAGAGCGCTCATAACGCAATTTTCCATATATTTAATATTTCCAAGGGGCATAACTCTTTTAAAAATTATTGATTGGCACTGATTTTTCGAACTCTTCAAAGACATTGCTGATATAAACCTATGATTTAAGTTTCATAAAATTCTGGCAAGAATTGTACACATGAGAGTGCTAACAATGCAATTTTCCATAAAATAATTGATCGGAACTGATTTTCGAACTCGTCGAAGACAATGCTTATATATAAACCTATGATATAAGTTTCATAAAAATCTGGCAAGAATTGAACACATGAGAGCGCTAACGATGCAATTTTCCATATAACTAATGTTTCCAAGGGGCATAAATCTTTTAAAAATAATTGATCGGCACTGATTTTCGAACTCGTCCAAGACATTGCTAATATAAACCTATGATATAAGTTTCATAAAAATCTGGCGAAAATTGAAAACATGAGAGCGCTAATGATGCAATTTTCCATATAATTAATGTTTCCAAGGGGCATAACTCTTTTGAAAATAATTGATCGGGACTGATTTTTTAACTCGTCCAAGACATTGCTGATATAAACCTATGATATAAGTTTCATAAAAATCTGGCAAGAATTGTACACGCGAGAGCGCTAACAAGACAAGACGAACTGATGCCCGGTATTTCTATGTTCCCCGGAACGCGTTGCGCGGGGGACAATAAAAAATTATAAGTAGCCAAAGCTTTTTCAATCAAGATCAAAATACTCAGAATCTCAGTACCTAATTCATGTTCCCAGTAGGCAAGCCAGTTTCCTCTTAAATGTCTTCTCCTGTACTTCTCCATGTCTGAACTACAAGTTAATAAAAAATACTTAGTGAGAAAAGTGACCAGACAATATTCACTACATTCCAATGTCTGAATAATAAAATTCATAAAAAACATGTTTAATGAGAAAAAAGTATTGTGAATATTCTTCTTGAAAACATTCATAGACATTTTTTTTTTAACTAAGTGGCATCCCGAAAATAAACTACTTCACTTGAATTTTCCTGATGAGCACTAAAGAAAACAATCAATGTAATTCAACATGTCAATACCTTTTTGTAAGCTCGGGATCCAGTGACAATATTTTGGAATTCCTGTGTATTGGTCCTATAGACATCAACTCAAAGTTCAAAGCTGCTTGATTTTTTTCCTGTTGTAACTTAATTTTATTTCCTAACAATTCTACATTGGTCTCATCTGCTTGAGTACTGTTTTCACTTTCTGCAAAATTGAAATAATTACAAATGCTTTAAAATGAAAAAAAATCTAAGAGCTGATATATCAAATTAATAAAATGCTTCGCTGGGGCGCAGCTTGATACGACCGCAGAGGTCGAACCCTGAACAGTTGGGGCAAGTATGGACACAAAATTCAAGCTTGATACAGCTATGACTTTGGATTGTCATTAAATATTTGACACAGCATAGGTTTCTGACACAGGATGAATGTGGTGTAAGAACTGGAAAAAATTTAATTTACCTATTATGGTGGAATCTCCATAAACTATATTGTTTGTTAATTTCAATATATCAAAGAATATGTAGAATTCAATGTTTGATGTAATGTAATAAAGTTGAAATTTGGACCGTTTTTGTTCAATGTGGACCAATTTGGTAACATGTATAAATAATCAAAAATCTAAATACATGGGAGCCCATTTAAATACATCATAAAGGTATTAAAATAGAAAGTGACATCATAGTCATGGCTAAAAATAAACAAAAATCCTTAATTAGCAACATTTAAAGTAATATCTAAAAATAAAATTCCTTTGTAACCATAAAAGCCCATTTAAATACATCATAAAGATATTAAAATAGAAAATGACATCATAGTCATGGCTAAACATAGCAAAAAACCCTTAATCAGCATCATTTAACAGTAATATCTAAAAATGGAAATTACATCATGATATTAAAATAGAAAATGACATCATAGTCATGGCTAAAAATAAACAAAATCCTTAATCAGCATCAGCAACATTTTATAGTAATATCTAAAAATAAAATTCCTTTGTAACCATAAAAGCCCATTTAAATACATCATAACAGATATTAAAATAGAAAATGACATCATAGTCATGGCTAAACATAGCAAAAACCTTAATCAGCATCATTTAACAGTAATATCTAAAAATAAAAATTTCTTTGCAACCATAAAAGTAAAATAGAAAATGACATCATAATCATAGCTAAAAATAAACAAAAATTTTTTTTATTGGCAAATTTTAAATGGAGTTATTATACTAAAACAATAAATTTGCAACCATAAACATGATAAAACCCCATTTAAACACATCATAAAAGTATTAAATAATTCAACTACATAATAAGGCTATAAAAATAGAAAATGACTTCATAGTCAAGGCTAAAGGTAAACAAAAAACCTTCATCAGCAAAATTTTATATTGGCAAATTTCCAATGAAGTTTATTACACTAAAAATGTTGGCAAATTTCCTATGCATTTATTAACAATAAAGTTATTGGCAAATTTCCAATTTACAATAATTTAAAAGCAGTGTAGATGAGATATTTAAATGAGTTTGAATTACCAACCTTACACTGCTTTTAAATAATGTTCTTTACTCAATTATTTGTCTATTAAAATGGAAACCCTTGTTTTTTAACCTTTTTTCCCCTTATTCCTTAAACATTAGAGCAATAACCACCCCACCCCCCCCCCCCCTCCAAAGCCAATTATTACTTTCCAATGTAACCTAAATTTCCAATATACATAATTTTAAATTTCAATTCCTCATGATATATAACCGTATCATTATTATTTTCTTTCATATATAAATCTGAAACAACCATCTTTAAATGGAAAATTTTAAAGAAAAAAAAAGGAAAAAAAAAAATCCTACCCCCCACACATTTTTTCAACCCCCTTTTGATTCATCATCCCCCACCTCAATCACAACCTTCAATTTGTGGTATGGTACATTGCAATACAATTTCACAGAGATCCATACACTTGAACACAAGTTTTTGTTGCAAACTAAAAAAATCCTTATTTTCGACCAATATTTGGCCCCTTATTCATAAATGTTTGAGCAATTAACCCCAAAACTCAATTCCTACTTTCTCTTCGTGATAAAAAATAACTAACTTAAAATGTAAATTTTAAACAAAAAAAAAAGGAAAAAAAAAAATTACCCCTTTTTTGACCCCCGCCCCCCTTATGATTCATCACCCCCACCCCCCTTTCCCCCCAAACCAAGCTCAATAACAGCCTTGCCTTTGTGGTATGGTACCTTGTAATACAATTTTAGAGAGATCCATACACTTGAACACAAGTTATTGTCTAGAAACTAAAAAATGCTTATTTTAAACCCCTTTTTAGGCCCCTTATTACTAAACGTTTTGGGCAATTACCACAACACTCAATTCCAGCTTTCCCTTTGTGAAATGGAACCTTGTAGTAAAATTTCAGGAAGATCCATACACTTACACACAAGTTATTGTCATGAAACTAGAAAAATGCTTGTTTTTTGCCCCCTTTTGGCCCCTTATTCCTAAAATTTTGAGGCAATTAACCCCAAAATCAATCCCAGCATTGACCCTTTGTGATATGGAATCTTGTGGTACAATGTCAAAGAGATCCATATGCTAACACACAAGTTATGTCTGGAAGTTACAAAAATGCTTATTTTCGGCCCCTTTTTGGCCCCTAATTCCTTAACTGTTGGTACCATAACCCCCAAAATCAATCCCCACCTTCCTATTGTGGTATTGAACCTTATGGTAAAATTTCATAGAGATCCATTCACTTAAACTAAAGTTAGAGTGCGAAAACCATTGTGTATTCGGACGACGACGACGACGCCAACGTCATACCAATATACGACCTCAAAATTTTTTTGCAGTCGTATAAAAACAGGATTTCTTTGTCAGTGAGTAGCTAGAATGAGCATTCATGGTGGAGTTAAATATAATGTGTGTTCTCAAACCACTGTCTTCAATATTTATTTTTTCAAAATAACTCAGAAAAAAATCTATTTGATTGAGCATTAGACTTAAAAAAAAAAAAATGTGCTTCACCATTCATTAGTTAAAAATTCAAAACTGTCAGTCTGTTGGGTTCTGATTTCATTTGCAAAAAAACGGCTGCCAAAATATAGCTATGAGTGCTGAAAGTGGTGTTAAACACAAATAAAATGCTTCGCTGAGCGCAGCCTAATACGACCGCAGAGGTCGAACCCTGAACAGTTGGGGCAAGTTTGGACACAATATTCAAGCTTGATACTGTCTGCATTTGGATTGTGATCAAATTTTTTGACATAATACAGGGTTCTGACACAAAATAAATGTGGTCAAAGATCTTAAAATTTTGAAATGGGACATTTAATTTACCTAGAATGGTCTGATATCTAAAATTTAACAACATGGTTAGATTCAGCATATAAAAAAAACCCAAAAATTTCATTTTAGTTGAAATCAAACAAAGTTTGTAAGGGAGGTAACTCTAATACAAAAAAAAAAACCCAAACAAAGAATAACCAATTCTGAGTATAAAAATTTATTACCACTGAACTCTTTGATATACACTATTATAATATTATATGTATGTAAATCACAGTATTTGATGTTTCTAGAAACAGCTAAAAAATATTTCATACTAGAACTAGCAAACAAATAGCAAAAAGTACCAACATAAAGAAACAAAGCTAAAGTAATTGTCCATTAACCAGGAAACCCTTGTTTTTCCCACCTTTTTTGCCCCTAATTCCTAAACAGACTGAGCCATAACCCCCCCCCCCCCCCCCCCCCACCAAAGCCAATCCTAACCATCCCTTTGTAGGGACCATAACCCCCAAAATCAATCCCAACCTTCCTTTTGTGGTTTCAAACCTTGTGTTTAAATTTCATAGATTTATATTTACTTATACTAAAGTTATTGTCAAATTTCCAATGGAGTTTGCAACCATAACAACCCATTTAAATACATCATAAAAGTCTTAAAATAGAAAATGACATACATAATCATGGCTAAAATTAAATAACCTTGCATTTTTAAAATAGTAACTTCTAAAAATAAATTGACAGCTAATCACCTCAAGACAATACAACATTTCTTTATACATAATTTAAAAGCAGTGTAAGGGAGGTAATTCAAACACATTGTCAATGTTGTGTTTGAATTACCTCCCTTACACTGCTTTTAAATTATGTTTTGTACTTAAGTAATTGTCCATTAATCTGGAAACCCTTGTTTTTCCCCCTTTTTTGCCCCTAATTCCTAAACGGTTTGAGCTATAACCCCCCCAAGCCAATTCTTACCATCCCTCTGTGGTATGGAAACTTGTGGTATAATTTCAGACAATTCCATACACCGTTCAACAAGTTATTGTCTGGAAACTAGAAAAATGCTTATTAAGGCCCCTTTTTGGCCCCTAATTCCTAAACTGTTGAGACCATAACCCCCAAAATCAATCCAAACCTTCCTTTTGTGGTCATAAACCTTGTATTTAAATTTCATAGATTTATATTTACTTATACAAAAGTTATTGTCTGGAAACCAAATGTCTTCGGATGACCCTGACGACGACGTGATACCAATAAATGACTGCAAAAATTTTGCGGTCGTATAAAAATTAATCAATCATTTGCCAGAAACAAAAGCTGCTTACTATGACTCACTAGTATAGGTTTTTTTCCTCTATCAATATACATTAAATGGTAAAGCCATTAAAAAGTTACCTTCTACACCATTAGTATCACCCAATGTACTATCATACTGAGAACATAACTGTCTAATCAAGTCGTCATTTGGTAAACACTTCTCCATATGTATACTGAAGATAAAAGGAACAATTACAACTATGTATAAGTCCTTATATCAAAAGTAACAAAGTACATATAACCTCAACTTGTCAAAATATTAGAGGAAATATCTGGGTTGATTATCATTACTATAAAATTAAAATAATTTCACATCTTTTCAATAAAATTTCATTCATTATTGCTCATTGATGATGATCTTAAAAATAAACCAGAACATATTGAAAAGCATGCAGTAAAAATAAAACTAATATACATTGGTTTATCTAATAAAATTAGGATATTGTGTCACACACAAAAGCATATTCTTTAAATTTTATCTATTATATAAATATGAAAGTCTGAAATACCTTCCAAATATTCTACAAAATGGTATGTATGATGCCATTGCTAATTCAGGATTAAAGACACCTTCCATTTCTTTTTTGACATCTTTTCCATGTGTTGTTTCTGATGATTCATCTTTAAATGAAAAAGCACATATTTTGGCTATTTTGGTTTATAACAGGTATTTTTATGCACCTGTCCCAAGTCAGGAGCCTGTTGTTCAGTGGTTGTCGTTTGTTGGTGTGGTTCATAGGTGTTTCTTGTTTCTCATTTTTTATATAGATTAGACCATTGGTTTTCCTGTTTGAATTGTTTTACACTAGTCATTTTGGGGCCCTTTATAGCTTGCTGTTTGGTGTGAGCCAAGGCTCCGTGTTGAAGGCCGTACTTTGACCTATAATTGTTAACTTTTTATACATTGTGACTTGGATGGAGAGTTGTCTCATTGGCACTCATACCACTTCTTCTTATTTATATTTGTAAATTGACTGCAGTTTAAACAGTACAAAAAGATAAAATCAACCTACATTTCAAAATAAAAAAAAATAACTAAATAAATTGATAGGGCCATTCCTCTGGAAATTATATTTGAATAATTTATATCATCAATGAGGCTCAAAGATGATATTATCTAAAAACTTTTCACTTATTGTTTGTGTATTTAAACATGTTGCAATTGGTTAGAGAATTTTTTTCTTTTGAACCAAGAAACACACAAGTTCCTGCTTAATATGTTCAAATATTATACTTGGTTTTTCAATAAAATTATTTGAGAAACAGTTTTAAATGTTCGTCAAACCAGGCATTATATCTTTTGAAAATCTTACCATTCAGAGAGAAAAAACATACTCTAAGAGTAAGACTTAATACTGTAAATTCAGAAATTAATGCATGCATTTATTATTGTGAATCCTTGACCACTCACAAAAATGCGAAATCTAATTAATGTGGTTTTAAACATTTTATGAAGGAAAAGCACTTCTGAAATTGTAAATGTGAGTTTCTATTATTGCGAATCTGTTACTGTAGCAATTTTAACATAAATAAAAACTTTGCAATAATTTCTGAATTAACAGAATGGAGGAATGATTGTGATTAAATCTATATTTCAACAACTTATGTTCTTTTTTTTGCATAATCCATTTGAAATATAATTGTGTATTAAAACTACTGCATCTGAAGATATATGATACTTTTACATTCTCAAAAATTTAATTCTCAAATATTTAAAAGGCACAGCAAGCCCATCAAATAGTGGCTAATTGCATTACTTGTCTGATACAATGGAAAACAAGGGTAATGAAGAGCAGAATATTCCTTTTCAACCCATAATGTGAAAGTGATCTTGATATCAGGGTTACAGCTGACTATGAGGCATGGGTTTCGCACATCATTGAAGGCAAGGTGGCCTAAAGCTACTTAAATTCACATTCTTTGGTCTCTAGTGGATAGTTTTCTCATTGGCAATCATATCACATCTTCTTATTAATATAGTGTACCAAGTTTGGTGAAGATAAGAGGTATAGATAACCTCGAGTTCTACTATACTGTAAACCGGGAAAATTTCACACCGTCTTTTTTTCCCAATTTATTAACACAATCTAAATTCGCGCTGTTTTGAAGTCGCTATGTCCTGGTGGCCTATATAAATATTTCTATTAATGATTAAGAAAATGAGCAGCTTTACATGTATCTTAAATCAAATGATAAAATCAATCAGATTAAAAGTTATGTCATGTTTGCTTGTAAAAACACATACACAATAAACAGATAAAATGCTTCGCTGAGCGCAGCCTGATACGACCACAGAGGTCGAACCCTGAACAGTTGGGGCAAATTTGGACACAATATTCAAGCTTGATACTGTCTGAATTTGGATTGTGATCAAATTTTTGACATAATATAGGTTTCTGACACAAAATAAATGTGGTCAAAGATCTTATAAATCCATTGTGCAATACTGTGCAATTGAAGATTTCTTTTTGAAACTTTTCAAAAATTCAAAATTTTAAAAATTTTGAAAAAAAAATATGAATTCCTTAAAAAAATTTGGGAAAAAAATCCCCCCCCCCAACTTTTTGAAACCCCCCCTTAGAGCAATAACCCCAAAACTCAATCCAAGCCTTTCCTTTGTAGTATGGAACCTTGTAGTACAATTTCAGAGAAATCCATACACTTACACACAATTTATTGTCTGGAAACTAGAAAAATGCTTGTTTTTGGCCCTTTTTTGGCCCATAATTCCTATATGTTTGGGGCAATGAACCCCAAACTCAATCCCAGCTTTCCCTTTGTTATATGGAACCTTGTGGTACAATGTCAGAGAGATCCATACACTTACACACAAGTTATTGTCTGGAAACTAGAAAAATACTTGTTTTTGGCCCCTTTTTGGCCCTTAATTCCTAAACTGTCTGCCCCCATAACCCCTAAAATGAATCCCAACCTTCTACTTGTGGTATTAAACATTGTGGTACAATTTCAGAGCATTCGAAATACTTGAACACAAGTTATTATCCTGAAACTAGAAAAAATGCTTGTTTTTGGTCCCTTTTTGGGCCCCTAATTCCTAAACGGTTGGGACCATCATCCCCAAAATCAATCCCAACCTTCCTTTTGTGGTATTGAACCTTCTTAAAAAATTTCATAGCGATCTGTTCACTTAAAATAAAGTTATTGTCCGGAAACCAATGTGTCTTCGGACGACGACACAGACGCAGACAACGACAACATCATACCATTATACGATCCCAAAATTTGTTTTGCGGTCGTATAAAAAGAAGACATAATTAAGAGTGAATTAAATGCTGTCAGGAGTAAAGCTAAAGTTAATTAATCGATCTTTTGATCTGATTAATCTGTGTAGCAGATACAATGAGGTTATACTTTTTAAACTGATTGACAGGTGTCATTTACATGTTTGTAACCAGTGTTGTTTACATAACAATATCCGTAATGTCTGCTTGCTTGAGATGTCATCCATGTTAATAAGATTAACTTGAGTTAAAGTTATGATTTCTAACATTGCTTTTCATGGTGTCATCCTGGTTTGCCCACTTTTAATTACATGAATATGTAAACATAGGGGGAATTGTTGTTTTAACAATTATAGTTTATTTCTGAATTATAGTCAAATTTTTTACCTATTTTTTTACCTGTAAAATTTTATAAAAGATACTATATTCTGCTAATAAATCAAGGAAAATGTGCCAAAATATTTTATATTTTATATAGTTTTGAGCAGGAAAATGTATTGAATTTGACAAATATAAAATAAAAAAAATAAACAAATATGTGAACAAAAAAGTTTATTATTTTTACAACAAATAGTTTTAATTGTTGGTACATTCTGAAAAAAAGTAAAAAAGTAAAATAATGAAACTAAAGATTATGTTGATCAATTTGAAAAACGGGGCCCAAAATTAAAAATCTAAATACACGTTTAGATTTGGCATATCAAAGAACCCCAATAATTCAATTTTTGATGAAATCAAACAAAGTTTAATTTTGGACCCTTTGGACCTCAATATGAACCAATTTGAAAGCGGGGCCCACAAATAAAAAATCTAAATACATGGTTAGATTCAGCATATCAAAGAACCCCATATATTCAATTTTTGTTGAAATCAAACAAAGTTTAATTTTGGACCCTAATTTGGACCAACTTGAAAACTGGGCCCAAAATCAAAAATCTAAATACATGTTTAGATTCAGCATATCAAAGAACCCCTAAAATTCATTTTTTGTTAAAATCAAAATAAGTTTTGTGACTTTTGAAATATATATATATAAAAGATTGTATTTCCCATCATTATACATATGGTGCCCCATATTACTTATTTTACATAGTGCTTTGTTTATTTCATTGTGCAATAAAATTGAGAATGGAAATGGGGAATATGCCAAAGAGACAACAACCCGACCAAAGAGCAGATAACAGCATTTATAATCTTGATTCATATATTATATAAATTATGTTTGCAATAAAAGACAACTTGTATTGGTGTATTTATATCATGAAAATCATTCAAAAACTAATGAATAATAAGACACTTTTATAACTGAATGTCATTGTTTTGTCATTACATGTAGTTGTACACATATGTATGTTAAATGGATCGATTGATTTGATATTAAGTTATTGAGAGAAAAGATATTTGATTTATTTATTATTTTTCTATACAAATGAAAATGGAATTACAAAATATAAATTCCTTATATATAGAAAACACTAATAAACTATATACCTAAGTTGGAACAGACTATACAATTGTATGCTCATTAAACCTTTTGTCTTTTTTGTTTTCTTTACTAATAGATAATTGGTATAATCAAAAGTGGGCAAACCAGGAGTAAACCCTTTTCATTTAGTTATACAGTTATGATTTGAAGTATAGATCTGTCGTCTGTAAAATCGATGTTATACAGTGGTTCTCTTCATATCCTATTTATATACGTACATGTATGGTCTTCATCTTATGAATAGAGTTTCCTTAAAACTTTTGCTTTTCAATTCTTACCACAAAAATAGCGAAAATAAAACTGCCACGAAAATTTCCCTGTTTACAGTACCTCAATCTGTTAGGAACATACATAATACAATTGCAGACTGATACACAAACATGTTAATATATCCCCTCCACACATTAACTAAGTGCTAGTAAAATAATCAAACATCTAAATGAAATTTGAAAGCATTCATCAATAAAACATACCTTTGTCATCTGAGCTGGCAGAGAGACTATGTGGCTGCCTTCTTTTAAGAGGACTGATTTGAGGAGACAGGGATGTAGTAAAGCTCATCATACTGACAGGGGTACCTATAGTATACTCTTGTGTGGAATCATCTATTTTTATGTTACAAAAATAGTCATCCATGGATGCTGAAATATACATTTATAAATCATTAATATAAGTGTATCTGTTTTCTTACTTGCACATAGATTTTTATTCTTCAATTAAATGGATGTGTGCCTTATAGATGATGTAAAACTGATTGAATATTGTCGAATTCCATACATAAAACTAATATTTCGATTAAATCCTTTGTTATAAAAGTTTCATAGCTGTGTCTTCTAACTTTAACCATCTCATGAAAACCATTTGTGGAATAGTCCTTACATAAATATAATTAACAATTCTACTAATTTTAAATGAAAACATCTAAATATTTGCATCTTTTCATTTATAAATTCAAAAGAATGTTCTTCCTTATAAGGCCCGAGAACACATTTATTTCATAGTGCTTTTCTTTTATACAATAAATTCAAATTTAAAAAATTGCACCTGCGATATCTCAAAAAGATTTTTACAGTGTAGTGTGCTACTTTTGGGACAAATTGTATCAAAAAAGGTCTACCAGCTCTAACTCAAAATATGAACAATTCCATGATAAGGAGGTCTATAATTCAGTTTGAAAGCTGCAGACATGCAAAATTTTGACTTTTTTCAACTGGACCAAATCACTACTTTACCTAAAATTTCATCCCCCTACTGACTATTCTTTGCATAAAATATAAAGAAATAAATTTGGAAGGTGTATGAAAAACAATTGAAAGTTATTCACTGTCCATACTAGGGACTATATTTGTAGACAACGAAAATCAAAGGACAATAACTGTGTCCCCTGACCATGATATTTCATAATTTCATAATCAATCAATACCAATGCAGGTAATTTTTTTATTACTTTTCCACTTTTTCATTACAATTATCCTGACTCTCCTACTCTTTTCATTTTTGTGATAAAATATGCTACAATATATATACCATTTGATTTCACATGTTTCAAAGTCTGTGGAGAATTACATGCATCTCCCTGTTGTGTGTCATTGACTGGATTAAAACAAACAAAGAAGTTCTGTAACAATTTAGTCATATGTTGTCTTGTCATCTCAAAGCCGATTCTGATTCCTAGGATGTAGACAACATCGATGAACTTATGGCAAATAACAGTCCTCATGGTACTACCACTTGGGAAATTGTGAGATGGTGAGGACACCACTCTTATCACTTGTTGTAGAATCTCCTTGACAATGGTTTCCTATTTCAAAAAAAAAATTGATGTTAGCAAAGTTAATTTAATGAATCACAATTAAGTAGCTATAGTCTTAACTTCAGTTGTACGGAAAAGAAATCTCTATTTATGCAATTTCATGCACGTTGTCTAGAACTTAATATATGTTACTTAGTTGTGTATCTAATAAACAATAGCATTTGACTGTGAACTAAGATTAAGGTAAGATGTTTTAGTTAACACCTTGAAAATTTCAATATTATTTTGTATTGCATTTTACTCTATACAAATTTCAATTTTTTTATATTGAAAATAGCCAGATTAAAGTAGTAAATAAATTTTCCTCAAAGTTTTCCATGATTGAAAAATTGCAGGTATCACAATTGTATTTTTATCCAAGGTAAGGTATCGTTCTTAATTTTTTATTCTGTTGTTTGTTTTAGGTAATTTTCAACATTTATACGCCTCGAACTTCTAAGAGTTTAAACTTATACTAAAATTCTGTACTACCCCTCCCTTCACATTGGGTCTTCCTCAGAATTCAATTTGGCAGCTATCCATGTGTATTTATACTGGTAAAATTCCCACATTGTCTCTATGAGATGAAACATAGAGATCATATTTGGGAACCAGTAGGTAAACAAAACAACATATCTAAGAATATTATATATCTCCCCAAAAGAGGCGTGGTTTGTGAAACAGCTGTATTTACAAAGTGCAACCTATAAGCAACAAGATTTTACTTCTCAAAATAACAACTTATTGTGTCATAATTAGGCAAAAACCTGAATTTAAAGAAATAAAAAGTAAATTAGGGAAGAAGCCAGTAGATTTCACAGTTTACCATGCTTAATTGAAAACAATGTCTTCAATAACACAACTTTTAAAATATCCATTAATGTACGATGTAGTGTAAAGTTGTATAATGTGTAGAAGTAAGACAAGGGAACTAACCGTATTCAATAACAATAAATGTACCTTTAAAATATCCATTAATGTAGTGTCTGATAATAGTGGTATACTATGTCGTAGTAAGACAAGGGAGCTAACCAATCCAGCTTCTGCTTTATTTGTTAATCTTTTCTTGGCAACATAAACCTATGAAATGCAAAAAATCAAAACTGAATAGTGTATGTCTACCTACAAAAGGACAACTTTGTTGTATTGCTGATATCAAAATGGAATTGTTTTATAGACCAGGAATCACGCTACCAGGTAACTCTTAACTATAAGTAGTTTTTAAATTTTATATAATGATGCTGTTAAAAATTATAATTTTCATCAATGGGATCTTTTTTAGTAAGGAATGTATGATATAAAATAAAAGATACACAAAAGATATTTCTGTGTGCATACGTTAAAGATACAAAGATTATTATACTATAAATTTTGGGCAAAAAAGAAGGCAACAAAATTTTAATATGAACTTCATTTAAAGAAAGAATTTATAAACTATAGAAAAAAATTTAATAGAAATATCAATTATTCAAAAATGCTTTGTCAGAAAAGTATTGGAAATGTATTTAGAAATAAAGCAGTTGATGGGAAAAAGTTTTATGTACTGCATCGGTAAAACAAAACCTGAAGGGTAACAAAATATCAGGAAAATGCTAAAATTTGGAGGAAAAACATTGATTCTATGTTGATAAGCTGAAAAAAATAAATTATTAATTTGCAGTGAAAACTCCACTTTGCATGCTGAATGATTGAGTTTAAAAGGAACATTGTAGGTTGCAAATAGCATTTTTATTATTTTACCATTTTATTGATAACACATCTAAGAAAAATTGCAATCAAATCCTTTCATAATTTTTATACTCATTCATACCAAATACTTTATGTGTAATATCCCTTGTTGGCTTTATGTTGACCTCTAGATGTCTTTGATGGATTTTGACATATACTCATACTTATACTCATCTATCCAAAAATACTTACTATATCAACAATCGATGGGATATATTGTAGAAGTATTACTTGTTCACCATACAACTTGGCAATAAACATCAAAGAGCCAATCACTTTCTCTGCATGTCTGTCTCCAAGTATATATCTGGAAGTCTTTAATTTATCCTCTACAAGAAAAGAAGAATTTTTAATCTTCTTTTACGTTTTTATAAATATCTTCATTAAAAAGAGGGAAAAGATATCAAGGGAGGATAGTATAAATTTTCTATAATACATTTTGTACATGAATTAACAACTGTGCTTTTTACATTTGCTGTTGTATTTTTATAATATATTTAATTTTCAAACATTTTAAGAAATTTGTATGTTGATGTTTTCACATTTATGAATATTTTTTTGGTTTATAACTCATATAAAAGGTACATAAAATGACTTAAAAAACATAAAGCTTAGCATTTAATCTGTCCTATGTGATATTGCTATACAAGTAAGCTATTGTGCAAGGATATTTAAAATTGCTTGATTGAACTGAATTTCATGGCAAGCTCAAACCTAAAACATGAATCTTGGTACACTGTATATACCTTTATCTTCAATAGACATTAATTGCTCTTCTCCAAGGTAACATAACACCATCATTCTTAGTAGATTTCTGGATAAATACTTTGCAGTTAAAAAAGGGCCAATTCTATGGGAAAGCCATTTAATAGTTTCCATGGAAACATCTCTAATATTGACAACTTCTGAAGCAGTCCTATCTGACATTGTTTTTGCAAATTCATCAGTTTCACTTCTAGTCATATGTATTCCTGGTCCATTATTATTCATATTTGATGAAATGGGCTTCTTTTTGGGGTATGGATCATTAGGACAAGCTCTGCCTTTATCTTCTTGATCAGGACCAGATGAAACTTCTTCTTCAACTTCCTCTGAAACCTGGAGAAAATATGAAATTGCAAAATATCTTTCAACAAGAGTTCATTATAAAGAATATACCAGAATTTACTGGACAACTGGTGACAAATCTTAATAAAAATGACTCGATTCTCTATTTAAATTACTGTTCAATGTTAAGCCCTGGTACATATTAAATCAAGAAAACCAAGAAATTGTGCATTATTCAAATTAGCTATTTCTTTCTTTTTATCACAAAGCAAAATCATGCATATAATTTTCAAGACTTGGGTTTTACAAGTAACTTCTTTCTACAAATAAATATCACAGTATTGATTTTTAAATGTAAAGCTAAATTTTTTATTTTATTTCATTTATTTTCATTTCTTTTTTAATATTGAATTCTTTGTAAATTTTCTTTCTTTAGTATCAGTGGTGGCTATGTTTGATAATTCTGGAGGTCAGCAATAATGATTTTAACATGGGGATCATAAATGTATAGTTTATTCAAATTTTAGAAGCATATGGTTCATTAGATAATTTTTTAAATTTATCATTGATTTTTTTTTTTTTTGCAACAGTGTCAGTCATATGAGGTTAGCAATATAAATCATCATTCATTAAGGGAATTATAACTGCATCATTTACATAAATTTGGGAAACAACTATCATTACAAAAGATTCTAAAAAAAAATTGCTATTTGATTTTTTTCTCTTAAAACTGATGACAGCCTCTAATTTTGTACCTGAAATTGAAGAATATTTTCCTCTTCCTCTTCTTCATAATCATTAGTTGCTGACAAGCTGTTTACTGATTCCTTGTCCTCATAATCCTTTCTTTTGTCCATTGCCTCATCAAAACTCTGTAAAGAAACTCTTTCTGCATCATTCAAACTGTCACCAGAATTTGATTGGTTATCTAAATCTCTAGACCCATCATCACCTATTTCATCTTCAATATCATCTACATCATCCGGAGTTCGCATATTTGAATTGCAATTTTCAGACAGACTGGTTCCTGATTGTCCTGGACTGGTCCCCAATTTCCCATTTTCTTCTTTGAGGACAGGTAAGTGCAATGGACTTTTTTCAAGAAAAGATTCCATATCTGATTGCTCTGTGTATAAATCTTCAAAAACATAATCCTTGTACCCTGCTACTGCCTCTACTAATGTTGTAGAGAAATTACTAAGGAATGAGTCCAATCCTAATCTTAAAATCAATTGTACAATGAAACTTTTGTGGTATATTTTCATGTATTTTGGTGTGGGATTATCTACATGGTATAATTTAACCAAGTAAGGCAAAAACTGCCTTTTCATTTGATTTGAATCAATTTCAAGTCCAAGCAGATTAAAGAGTGACCAAGCAGCCTGAACACTGGTGTCCTCATTAGCAAAAAGTTCTTCTATGTGTGGAAGTAAAAGTTCAATGCCTTCTTCATTAAGTGTTCCTCCGATTTTCTCCAAGTATTTTTGCATAACAGTGACCTTTTCTCTTGCAGTCACTTTCAGCAGTTTCTGCTTTTCGATTAAATTTGCCTGACTTTCCATTCCAATTTTTTCAAGTTTTCTATCTATATCTTTAAGTTTGCAGATGGTTTCATAAATTAAAGGGAAGTAATCAGGAAATGGCAGTATACTAACACTAGGACATAACAACTGCGAGGGAGTCGGTGGGGGCATTCCTGCCCCAGTTATTACTGGATAAGTAAAATCTGTGGTATCTGGTTTTGATCTGTAGTTTTCCATGTTTAACAAAATTTCAACTGCTCTCTGAATTGACCTAAAAACAAATTGAAAAGATTTAATATCGGTAAGTGAATGTATTTCAATAAACATGCATAACTAACTAACAAAGTATTTTAAAATGAAAGCTACATACACACCTATCCAGATATATAGTCCTTGTGTCAAAGGATACTCCAAAAGAATGACTGTTTAACAAATATGAGCCAGCTGGACATTCTTTTACCACATTTTTTACTTCTTTTAAATTAGTAACTGTAAGCATGCAAGCCAAATCAAGGCAACGAAATGGAATCTAATGACAAGGAATTTTATCAAACACCTAAAAGGCATACTTAAGTACATTTCTGTAAACAAGCATCCCATCGTTAAAAGTGATGAACTTCATTGGGCTTAAAGTTGATAAACCCATGATTTGGAGCTGAAGAAATAATTTCTGTACCGTATTTGAATATACAGTGTCATAAGTTTACAATAAACTTAGAATTGGAACAGCATTAATATTTTCTGTACAATATTTACAATCATTTGTCTTAAGTTTTCACTCATCTTTATTTAAAGCAGTATTTTCTATACAGTATTTACATATAATTTTCCATAAGTTAACACTTCTCTTTAAACTAAAGCAGTATTTTCTGTACAGTATTTACATATTAGTTGTCATAGATTAACACTCACCTTGGAACTAAAGCAGTATTTTCTGTACAGTATTTACATATCAGCTTCCATCTTTTGTGTAAAGGTGCATTTGATTCCTCCATGTACAGAACTGGTTGGAGAAATAGTTCACACATCAAACATCCAAAGACATGCATATCTCTCATCACATGAACTGCATTATCTGGTATATTGTTTTTATCCTGTTCAAACAAAACATTCATATATGTATATAATTTAATTTTGGATGTAACAAATCTTCTGATTGGCTGAAAGTTTTTTGTCTATCAGCTCATAGACATAATTTTATCATGTGACCGTGACGTCATCAACGTTTTTTCATGATTTACTCCTTAAAAATTTGTAAGGGTTCCACGGAACCCAGTGTCTCGCCTACTTTTGCTGTTAATCGCAGGCTCAACAAAAATGAGATGAGGAAAAAATTTAATAAAAATATTCCTCTCGATACAATTTTTTTATTGTAAGAAGCTTCTGTCCAAGTTTGGTAAAAATCCAGGATAGTTTATGAATCTAATAAATGTTTTAAAAAATTTAACTGCAGACTGTATGTAATATTAACTGGAAGAAAAACTAAGTCCATTTATAAGTAAAATATGGATAAACAAGTACAAAATTTTAATAAAAATTATTTTCTAGATACTAGCTTTTGACCATAAACAAACTTCTGCCCATGTTTGGTACAAATCCAGGATAGTTTATGAAAGTTATTAAAATTTTAAAAACTTTAACCACAGAGTGAATGTAATGTTTCCTGGCAGAAAAACTAAGTCCATTTATAAGTAAAATACGGAAAAACAGGATTTTTTAATTTTTTAATTTACTTCTGGATACTATCTTATGATCATAAACAAGCTTCTGTCCAAGTTTGGTAGAAATCTAGGATAGTTTGAGAAAGTTATTAAAATTTTAAAAACTTTAACCACAGAGTGAATGTAATGTTTCCTGGCAGAAAAACTAAGTCCATTTATAAGTAAAATACGGAAAACCAGGAATTTTATTTTTTACAAAATTTACTTCTGGATACTATCTTATGATCATAAACAAGCTTCTGTCGAAGTTTGGTAGAAATCCAGGATAGTTTAAGAAAGTAATTAAAATTTCAAAAACTTTAACCACAGAGTGAATATTTGTGGACGCCGCCGACGCCGCCGGAATGTAGGATTGCTATGTCTCGCTTTTTCGACAAAAGTAGAAGGCTCGACAAAAATGGAATTTAGAATTAAATCATAAGGAATGACTGTAATATTTTTTCTGTCTATTCGAAATAACCTTAAAAATGTGGTGCACACTTTTAAATAACCCATATATACCAAATTAAAAGTTGAATTAAAGTATAAGGAATGACTGTAATAGTTTTTCTGTCTTTGAAATAACCTCTAAATGTGGTGCTACGCGGGTTATTCAGTGTGCACCACATTTTTGATGCTTTTTCTTCATAGACAGAAAAAAATATTACAGTCATTTCTTAAATATTAAAATTTAGAACTAAAAATAATTGAAAACTTGTACAAAAAGATCATATTTGTAATACTGCAAGGAATATCAAAGTTGTTTCATGTGGTGTCACTTCAGAATTTTGCTGCATAAACTCTTATAGGTGAATTTGTTGTGCAAGTGTGGATTTTCAATTTCCTGGTTTTTTTTTAAATCAAATAATTTAAACAAAGGAAGTTTTAACTCATGTCTTTTGAACACCAGAAATTTTAAGTAATAAGAAAAATCTTTTTAACTTGCTATCCATATCCAATTAATCAGTATGTCAATAACTTAAACATATTACTGTGTTGTGGAGTAATACCACCAAATCATAGTACGTCACATCCGATTGCATATATGAAAAAAGGGTCGAAAAAAAATATTCCCTTGAATTTGACAGTTGTAGGAAATTAATCCTACATTTCATTGCAGTAAAAATTTCGGAGTCATAAACATATATCTTGGGTGTTTCAAAGCACCATTCTATTTTTATTTGGTGTTTCTATAAAATATTTTGGAAACTTGAGGTTACATGGTTACTAAAGCTTGTAAACAGGAAAGAAAGGGGTGGAAATTTGATTGTTTAACTTCCAGTGATGGTTATTATCTTATATGCAATGAAATGTTATGTGAAATTTAGTCTGTAGTACTGGACAGGATAAAGCTTTACTCATGCCAAGTATTTCTTTATTTGAAACAAAGATAAATTCACATTTTTCTGAAAAGTGCAAATTTAACAAAGACTAATAGGGGAAAAACAATGGTGGTATTACACCTTGTGGCAATGGTCTATTTGAAAGCATGTGTATGTCATGTACCTCCTGTTGTAGTTTTGATGGTATCTGACCCATGTTGTGACTTGTTAAGTTGTAAAGGACTTCTAGCTGATTCAGACTAGCCAATGGATCATAATATCTGGGTAATATAACAGTTGCTGTTTCTGGTCTCTGAGCTGTTTGTGAAAATGATCCTTGTCTGAAATATAAAAACAGTTTATACATCTTTTTGAACACTGCATAAGATCAAGCTACTTACATGTCATGACTAACAAACTTAATTACACATTTCACATACTATTTCAAATCAAAGTAAAACATATCAAATTTGCTTAGTTTGAATGATTTTTCAAATCAAAGGCAATCAAATTTGTTTTCTAGAAAGTAAACACTGAATAACTGAGAATTTTAAGCAAGTATAAAACAATTTCTGCCAAATTGATTAAATTCACAAAATTATTTTGATATCTAAATAAGCAAGAGAGCCCCTATTTATTCTTTAATAACAGAAAATTTAATACGTAAATATAAAATTAACCGTGTTGGTACGCTTTGGTAATAAGACGGATCGAGATTAGCCAATAGAGGGTGCTGAATTTCTTGTATCACTGCATTCGAAAAAGAAGCCTGTTATGTAACCTTTAGCGGATCCAAATTTCTAAGTAAAAGGGTTAACTATTAAACTTCCATTTAAATATTGTGTTTGAGGAATCCTTAGTCAAATTAACTTGATTTTAAATACAAAAGTAAAGCAAACACATACTTTTACACGATTTTGAAAGAACTGTAGAATGAAAAATGTGTGCACTCCATTCACGTAAACAAAATGGCATTTACACGATGACCATAAAAGCAAATGCTTTTAAAAACAGTATTAAAGTTCAGTTCTTTAGACGTGTCAGACGTTTCCTAGTATTTTATGGGATATTTGTCTGATGTTAATGCATACAATATAAGTGAATGTACAATTTACCTTCTGTCACCAGGGAGGGCGGCTTCTTCTAAACCATGCATCTGTAAAAATCAACATACATGTATGAGTAAAGTGCATTAGCTGAGTGTGTAAAATTATTAATCAGTTATAATATAGCAGTTTCCATATATCATGCCTTAGGCCAAAGGCTTTTGTGATGATATGAGAATAGAGTTTATATGACATGTGACAACAAAGAATTGCAAAATCATTTTATGGTGTTTATTAGTTTTTTGACATATCATTTAAGATTTGCAAAGGAGTAGGTTTGTGTGCATGTTAAACTGATTTAACCCTTTTTAATCCATACTGACCCCTCTTGACACCTCACCCTTTCCTCTAAAATGACACATTTTGATGCCTCCCCCTTTACTAATCCTATGCGAAATAAGAATATATAAAACAAATTCTTCATAGCAAATACCACGGCAGAGAGGGTAAAAAAGGCATATCCTTTTTGCATATACCCCGGCGCTGTTTAAAAATGAACAATATTCATTTGATAAAAGTAAATTGGTGAAAAATACACTGGCTATCAACAAATCAAAACCCAGGATTCTTACATAAGGTGTAATTAATATGGATATACATATATTGAGCATTGGTGAATTTCTGACACCATTTATTTACAAGAAAGAAATTTCAACTAAAAATAACTCAAAAATGTAAAACATGTTCCATTGCAAATGTATTTATTGTATGAATGTCTAATGAGTCCTTTGTTTAAATTAAGAAAACTAAAGTCACTTGTTTGGACCATCTAATTTGATGGAAATATTCAAACATAATAATTGGACTTACCTGTGACCACAGAACATTTTTAGCAATCTTAGGAGGTTCAGGTTTATTAGCTAGTTGTTTGGGTATTCTGTAAGGGTGTGGTTCTGTAAAAAGCTGTACTACCCCATGATTTGTAATGTTTTTATGGTCATCTACGAGCTGAAGGTTGATATTCTTCTCCTTCACAGCCACAATACCTGATAACTGTATAACATTATAAAAAGTCTTTTATTACTTTCTGTGAAACAATAGATTATAACATTTATGTAGACCTTTAATTTACCCACAAATCTCTACAAACTAAATAATGCATTTTGTACTCAAGAGAAATTCCTCAATCATTCAATATTCTAACATTTTTAAAAGTGTCATCTTAAAAATATTGAAGCTATAAAATTAGATAAAGGAATTTCAGAATCTACATTTATTTTAAATTAGTTTTTGAAATGCTAGTTTTTTCAAACTATGTGTAAAACCATAAGAAATGTTGATCAACAACTATTCCAATTGGTGAAGAGAACTATTTCAGAAAAAAGATCATTTTAAATGTACATGTATGTGTTAATAAAATGCTCCGCAGGGCGCAGCTTGATACGACCGCAGAGGTCGAACCCTGAACAGTTGGGGCAAGTATGGACACAACATTCAAGCTTGATACAGCTCTGAATTTGGATTGTGATTAAATATTTGACACAGCATAGGTTTCTGACAAAGAATGAATGTGGTCTAAGAACTTAAAAATTTTAAATTGGACATTCACCTATTATGGTCCAATATCCAAAATCTAAATACATGGTTAGATTCAGCATATCAAAGAACCCCAAGAATTCAATTTTTGATGAAATCAAACAAAGTTTAATTTTGGACCCTTTTGATCTCAATGTGGACAAAAATGATAACAGGGCCCAAAAATCAAAAATCTAAATACATGGTTAGATTCAGCATATCAAAGAACCCCATATATTCAATTTTTGTTGAAATCAAACAAAGTTTAATTTTGGACCCCGATTTGGACCAACTTGAAAACTGGGCCCATAATCAAAAATCTAAATACATGTTTAGATTCAGCATATCAAAGAACCCTAAAAATTCAATTTTTGTTAAAATCAAACTAAGTTTAATTTTGGACCCTTTGGACCTTTATGTAGACCAATTTGAAAACAGAACCAAAAATTAAGAATCTAAATACACGGTTAGATTCGGCATATCAAAGAACCCTAATAATTCAATTTTTGATGAAATCAAACAAAGTTAAATTTTGGACCCTTTGGACTTCAATGTGGACCAATTTAAAAACGGGGCCCAAAATCCAAAAACTTAATACACGGTTAGATTCAGCATATTACAGAACCCCATATATTCAATTTTTGTTGAAATCAAACAAAGTTTAATTTTGGACCCCGATTTGGACCAACTTGAAAACTGGGCCCATAATCAAAAATCTAAATACATGGTTAGATTCAGCATATCAAAGAACCCCATATATTCAATTTTTGTTGAAATCAAACAAAGTTTAATTTTGGACCCCGATTTGGACCAACTTGAAAACTGGGCCCATAATCAAAAATCTAAATACATGGTTAGATTCAGCATATCAAAGAACCCCATATATTCAATTTTTGATGAATTCAAACAAAGTTTAATTTTGGACCCTTTTGATCTCAATGTGGACAAAGTTGATAACGGGGCCCAACAATCAAAAATCTAAATACATGGTTAGATTCAGCATATCAAAGAACCCCATATATTCAATTTTTGTTGAAATCAAACAAAGTTTAATTTTGGACCCCGATTTGGACCAACTTGAAAACTGGGCCCATAATCAAAAATCTAAATACATGGTTAGATTCAGCATATCAAAGAACCCCATATATTCAATTTTTGTTGAAATCAAACTAAGTTTAATTTTGGACCCTTTGGACCTTTATGTAGACCAATTTGAAAACAGAACCAAAAATTAAGAATCTAAATACACGGTTAGATTCGGCATATCAAAGAACCCCAATAATTCAATTTTTGATGAAATCAAACAAAGTTAAATTTTGGACCCTTTGGACCTCAATGTGGACCAATTTAAAAATGGGGCCCAAAATCCAAAAACTTAATACACGGTTAGATTCAGCATATTAAAGAACCCCAAGAATTCAAGAATAAAACCACATTGAAATTGATCAAGAAATAAGCAATTTATACGAAGTATCTTCTTTTGCACAATACTGTGCAATTGATTATTTCTTGCTATTGCGCAATACTGTACAATTGACAATTTCTTGCTATTGCGCAATATTGTGCTATTGGATATTTCTTGTTATTGCGCAATGCTGTGCAATTGAAGATTTCTTGCTATTGCGCAATACTGTGCAATTGAAGATTTCTTGCTATTGTGCAATACTGTGCAATTGAAAATTTCTTGCTATTGCACAATACTTATTATATAATAATTTACACATCCTGTTTGGTGTGTATCTCCTACCATATCATTATTATTTGCTTTTAAATATAAATCAGAAATAACCAACTTAAAATTTAAAATTTTAAAAGAAAAAAAAAAGGAAAAAAAGAAAAAAAAAAGAAAAAAAAAAATCCCCCCCCAAAATTTTTTGAACCCCCTTATGATTCATCACCCCCAAACTCAATCTCAGCCTTCCCTTTGTGGTATGGTACCTTGCAGTACAATTTCAGAGAGATCCATACACTTGAACACAAGTTATTGTCTGGAAACTAGAAAAATGCTTATTTTTGGCCCCTTTTTGGCCCCCAATTCCTAAACGTTTCGGGCAATTACCCCCAAACTCAATTCCAGCTTTCCCTTTGTGATATGGAACCTTGTAGTACAATTTCAGAAATATCCAAACACTTACACACAAGTTATTGTCATGAAACTAGAAAAATGCTTGTTTTTTGCCCCTTTTTTGGCCCCTAATTCCTAACATTTTGAGGCAATTACCCCCAAAATCAATTACAGCCTTCCCTTTGTGATATGGAACCTTGTGGTACAATGTCAGAGAGATCCATACACTAACACACAAGTTATGTCTGGAAGTTACAAAAATGCTTATTTTTGGCCCCTTTTTGGCCCCTAATTCCTTTACTGTTGGTACCATAACCCCCAAAATCAATCCCAACCTTTCTTTTGTGGTATTGAACCTTGTGGTAAAATTTCATAGAGATCCATTCACTTAAACTAAAGTTAGAGTGCGAAAACCAATATGTCTTCGGACGACGCCGGACAACGACGACGACGACGTCATACCAATATACGACCACAAAAATTTTTTTGCGGTCGTATAAAAATTAATCAAGTAGTTATTGAAAGCATATCAAACTGAATTAATTGTCAAAGTACCTTGAATCCAAAGGTAAGGTCTATCCATTGATTTAAGTTCTCTGAAACTTTATCACTCTCCAAAACTTCCATATGCTTGACAATAAATTCTTCTGGGGTTGTACACCAAACCGGCAATTCTAAATCTGGCAAATCTTCATGAATCGATGAAAATATTAATGGATCTGTGTAAAATTCTGGAATGCATTCATCTGGAGTCCAATTGTACATCCGCATCATACTTAAAGGATACTCATTAGGAACCCATTTGGGTCGGACATGGGAACACAAAATGGATTTTGGAGTCCTTCTAGCTTTGTAAACATAGTATGTAATGTCTGACAAAATGTCTGATACGTGATGGGGAATGTGAATATTATCTTTGAAAAATGTGTGTGATTCAAATGTTAAATTCAGTTGGTTGTCACCTTTAGTTAGTCTGTATTTGCTCTTTGTTAAATCCCTCATATCAAACTCTTCTTCGGTTGATGAAAATTCCATTACCCATGGAAGTATTGGATGATTATTTGGATCAGACATTCGTCTGCCTGCTAAATGATTCAAAACCATCAAATACTTAAAGTTTGTAATTCTTTTATGTACCCAATCTTCTACTAAAGTTGGCAAGTTATGTACTGAGTATTTTCTTGTATAATCAGACTGCAAAAACGTTCTAGCGTCTTCTACTAAACTGTCTGATTCACTAAATAGCCTGGAACAAATTGGATGCTCTCTAACTATTGAAACATCTGAATGATCTAGATCAGAATGAATCCTATTGCTATTAGATGCATCATTACAGGTTTTTCTTGAAGGCAAATTCTCCTTGCTAACTATTTCAGGCTGATTTTGTTTTGATTGTAAAATCCCCAAAATATTTTCAAATTGCAAACTTGAAGTATAAATCCAAAGTTTTTCATCACAAAGTACATCATGTAAGCTAACATTACCAAGAATTAATCCCATTTTGTGCAACTGATTAAGCAAATGTAGTAACTGATAAAGGATAAAAAGTGGTTTGGTCATAGAAGATTTAAGAACAGCTGGACTGAAGGCTATAACATTCTGAATATTATGGAGCACAAATGGCTGTATCACATAAAATGCATAATCTGTCTCATATATCTTGATTACATGTAGAATATTCTGTAATGAACAAGGACTAGGTAATATATGTGTAACTGAACTTTGCTTGCTGGTTTTCAAGTCTACCATCTGCTCTGGATACAGTCTTTCCAAATACTGTTGCAGGACATCACATTCCTGAAAAATAATGCAATATTTCTTAAGTGTAAAGCCAATACATGTACTTTTTTTAAAAGCAACAGAATTCATTAATTATAATTCAAGTTTTAAGCAAAGACCAAAATAAGTGGTCATCTGTAATTTCAATACTTTTCAAAATCTGGAATTTTTCAAAACCTTTTTTAATCCTGGAGAATTCAAATCTTTATTTATATGAATTCATAATAGTAGGTAAGATAGTACTTCAGAAGAACTCTACATAATCAAATATCATAGCAAAATGATATGACTTCTTTTGTTTATACTTGGATGATGTTACCAATCAACTGTGTCAATACACAGATTACCGGGGTAAGTGTAAAGAATTCCACTCAAACCAGTGCTAAGAGCCATCTTGAAATTTCAGTGAGGTGTGACCTTTTGCTTACTGTTGACTGCCTCATTATGACTTAACAATGAAAAAGAGCATTAAAAGTGCTGTTAAGTCACACAGATAACTATACCATATCCCTTCTTTTCCAGTAGTATTTATATATTATGAAAAATTATACCTTTTGTAAGTGTTTATGAGATGTTGTTTGTTTGGGTTGCACATCATAATATTTCTTGGCCCAAAGATTGAGGTAATTATCCCTGCTGATTTCACTAAGGTGACCATGTAAAGAACTGCTGGTTTCAGGGCTATGCACTAGGGGTCCATCTGGCAATCTAAAATAAAACATGCAAAACCATTGGTAGTTGCTTGAAATTTTCACACTTGGTATACATGTACCTGGGACCTTTTATCAATAATCATATTGCATGTACTTTTTGTGTAAAATTTGTCCACACCACATCAGCTTATAATTATAAGTAAATACAATAAAGCAATAAACATAAAAGATTTATGATACATAAGTTTTCTAGAAGATAAAAATCTAATAGATGACAATATATGTAACTAATACTGTAACTAAAATCAAGGCTTGTTGGCTGTGAAACATTAGTAGCTGTTTAAAATCTACCAGTGCTATATCACCACTAAAGTATAAGGATATATATATGAATAGTGTTCTGACAACTTTCTTAACTGGCTTAGGGAAAAGATATTTACTGAATGAGTAGTTTTGGTAAGGGCCCATTTTGGCCCAAATATTAACTGCACTTTATCAAGATAAAAAGTGTATCAAGAGGTTTGGTAAGGGCCCATGTTGGCTCAAATATTAACTGCATTTTATCAAGATAAAAAGCAAATTTCAAGTTGATGCCTATACATGTGAGAAAGTGAGATTTAACTACTTTTGTCCTTTTTTTCTTACAAAAAATTGCCAATTACACCCCATGAAACATACAGTCTTCAGCAAAATAAATATTCTAGTAAGAAATTTCATTTATTATTACAAATCTTTTTTGTCAGCACATGCACTTTATGTTTCCGGTCCCAAAACTATTTTGAAATTTGTATGTCTTCATTGAATTTGGTGGAAAATTCAGATGCATGCTAAATATGACACCATAAAAGAATTCTGCTGATACATTTATTTTAAAAAATTGAATATCTATTCCCTATCTAGACAATGTTAAAGCTATGATAGTGTCATTAAATCCTAATTTGAAAGTTAAGATAGAAATAAAGGGTCACATTTGGGCCTTATCAAACACACTTCTTTGATCTATTTTTTACATGCTCTATGAAGGCAGTTGGTAATATCCATATATCACTGCTGTAACACATGTATGATGAATCTTAAAGCCCTTGATCAAATGAAAGAATGCAGTCTCTCAAGTTTTCTTTTATTGTAGCAGTTTACACGTTTAATGTTTGATGTTGTCTGTACTGTCAGTTTTCAAGAATAGTATGGAGGTAATTTCCTTTGACTGACTAACCAGGAGGTAAACATCAGATCAATTATAGTGACTGTGGCATACTATGTAACTCTTTAGCAAACTGTTTGTACAGAAAATAGGATTCTTAGCCTAGCTAAGCTGAACGAAAGAATAACTTGCCAGTATGAGGCCTGCTTTTAACCCAAACACTGCTTACCCTGATATTAAATCATCTGACTTTTGACAAATTTTCACAGATATTCTTTTCCATGGATGTGGAATCGTTGTCTTGGACAAGGCAAGATATTGGTCACAGTCTGATAAACATAGCTGATTGTTCCATCTATATGCAGACAAGGTTCTCTCAACAGCACTTTGTAACCATGAATCTGGTACCTATTTTAAACAGAGATGTGACACAGATAAGTACATACAAATCTTTCATAACTACATGTACCCCTGTATTATGTCTTGAAACAAAAGCCTCTAATAACCTTCAAAAATGGTCTATGGTACAATTTGAATTTTTATTTCTTATCTATAGGTGTGTAAAAAGATCTAGAAACTAGGCCTTGTTTTCTTCTAAATCTATAACTTGAGCAAGGGCAGACAACTCAGATTTAATTATTAATTTTGACGTTTTCTTCCTGTCACATATCAGTATTCATTATATATACTATTATTGCACCTTTGTTTACCATGTTGTCTTAATGTAAAGATGTTCACACTTTGATTGTTTGTTAAAATGTTGTACTAACATATATACCCCATGTGGATGCTTTAGTGAAATAAAATGTCTTATGTCTGATAAAACAATACCTAAATTACTGTATACATTGTACTATAAGTATTGCAACTGTTGTTGACACCAACAGCAGTTTTTTAACCATCAATATCATCCAGTACACAATCAACACTTTAAGATACTTTAATATATGTATATACATGTATAAGCAACAAATGTAGGGTTTAAAGAAATGATCTCAACAGAAGTCAGAACTTCATTTCTAAGGTACTGCATAATACACACCTATTTTAGGCATATGCATTTCTGAGTTGAGAACTACAGACAGCTCTGATCTTAAATATTTTTTTAGGACCAGAAAGTGTGTCTGTATAAGTAACACATCCAATCTCTTATTTTTAGAAACCCATTTTTATGTCCTTTTGACTATCTATCCAGCTATAAAAAATCTGTCAAAAAGGCAAATATGACCCATAAAAAAGCCAAGTGCATTCATCATGTTCGATGTATATTAAAAGTGTGAGAAATTTGGATCAATATCAATCCTCAATTTGTACTGAATTTCAATCAATTTCTTACACAAGCATGACATGCATAGGATAAAGATGAAATATTATCATATTTTTTTTCAACTGTTTAAAAAATGATATCTTGCCTTATTTTTTTCAAATCATATACTTGTAGTGCAATATTTCATACATTTTCATTAATGTAAGATACATGCAAATGTATTTATTTGAAATTTTGGCTGTTTGTTTTCACTTTTTTTTATTTATGGGGAAATAACATCTGAAAAGTTGGTAGTAGACAATGAAAACTATGTTTTATACTTTATGCAAGTCATTTAAACATAGTAAGCACACCCAGAGACGTATATATGTCTCTGGCACACCTATGGCTTTTCCATATGTTCTAAATTAAGAAATCTGTGCCGTCTTGGAATTTGGAGTAATGACATACGGCAGCATTGGAACAGTTCAAAGAGGAACATGTATTACAGTAACATATGTTAACATCTATTTTATTGTTAAAACATTGAAAATAAATGCTGTTATCAATTACTTGTCCACAACAGTGATTTTTGATAGCCATGTCAGTCAGTATCTGTGAGGTTTCATTAAAAAAAATTGCTAGATCATAGATTAGTTAAGTTTTAAATTTCCATGAAAATTGTTATAAATGTATACTGTAAAGGGACTCGGGAAATCGAATAACGGGAAATCTGATATTATTTCCGGATCACCCGTGTCGCTGTATATTGTATAATGAGGAAACTTCAAACTACATATTATTATATTCATGATATGAAACTAAGACCAGTCGTTCAAATGAAACTAACCAAACAAACAGTTCTAGTCTTTGACAACCATTTAATATGATTCCCTGGTATATTCAAAATCTCTGAAATTCCGTAAGCACTATCCATCTTCTGTCATGTAACAGAAGATTGCATATTATGTCTTTTTACATCTTTGATTGTTGACATTCGGACAAATGGTGGGTGGAAAAATCAATGAGAGATTTCCTGTTAAGGGAGGTAACCCATGTACTATTTCACTATAGATATAGTTACAGCATGTAACATAACAAGTGTTACTATTCGTATATTTCGTTCTCTTTTGTAGCTTTCCTGACCTCAGGCAGTTTTGACCAAGACAGGAGTCTGAACACTGCCCTTTAGAAGCTATTGACCATTTGCTTATGAAAAAGTATAATTTCTTTTATATAATTATATTTCTACAAAAGCAACCGTAATAAAAACTAAAAGATCTATACATATGCGCCTACTATAACCCAAAAACATCGGATGTTGAAAGTCTTCAAGCATTTGAAACATCAGTCCGAAGAACCAACGCAATAAATGCATGCCAATTGATCGGAGGGGACTTCAATTTGCCAGGATGGAACTGGGCAAACAAATGTCTATACCAGGGAACACAGCACACAGAACAACATTACCATTTTGCAGAAATCCTTGACGACAACGGACTAACACAGCTAGTGCAAGAGCCTACAAGAAACAAGAACACTCTGGACCTCTTGATCACTAACCGTCCTAGCAAAATAATGAGAATAGATATCATACCAGGAATATCAGACCATGACATTGTATATGCTGAAATGAACATCAACCCAGTAACAAACAAACAGAAACAACGAAAAATCCCTCTCTACAAGAGGGCGAAATGGGACAGCATGAAGGAAGATATGAAACATCTACACAACGCTATTCAACAAGAAAGCAATACGGATAGACCAGACATAAATATGCTATGGAAAATGTTTAAAGACGGTCTTGAAACAAGTACAAACAAACATATACCAGCAAAAACCTGTAAGACCAAAGATAAGAACCCATGGATTACACGGGAAATAAAATCACTCATAAGGCGAAAAGACCGAGCATATAAAAAGAAAAAGAAATCAAACCATCCTGACGATTGTGCAAGATTTAAAGAACTAAAAAAGACAGCACAGAAAAGCCTAAGACAAGCATATTGGAAGTATATTGAAAGTATCATCACCCCAGAGAATCCTGAAGAAACACATGCCCCTTCTAAAAGATTTTGGACATACATCAAGCACAGAAAAAGTGATAAAAGTGGAGTGGCACCTCTAAGAAAAAATGGTAGCTTAGAAACAGATCCAATCAACAAAGCAAACATATTAAATGAACAATTTCAATCTGTAATTTCCACAGCAAACAACATCAGCAACAGTGAATTCTACAATCAAAATCATATGTCCGACTCACCAGAAAATTACCCTGACTGTAGAGACATCCTTATCACAATCAACGGAGTAGAAAAACAATTGAGAAACCTTAACCCACACAAAGCCGCTGGACCGGATAACATCAGACCAATGATACTCAAAGAACTTGCCAGCGAAATCGCTCCCATACTTACCATCATATTTAATGTTTCAATGGAGACAGGCAAAGTTCCAGATGACTGGCGGACAGCTACAGTCACACCAGCATACAAAAAGGGTCAAAAGTACATCCCAGCAAATTACAGACCAATATCTCTTACATGTATTTGCTGCAAGATCATCGAACATATTGTTACCAGCCATATTATGAAACACGCAGAGGCAAACAACATCCTTTATCCACTACAACATGGATTTCGAAGTAAACGATCCTGCGAGACGCAACTCTTAGAATGCATTGATGACTTAACGAAGTACCTTGAATTGGGAAAACAGTCTGACCTACTGATACTAGACTTCTCAAAAGCATTCGATAAGGTATCCCATAGCCTGCTCCTACATAAACTCAATCACTATGGAATCAGGGGAAAGACCAACAGCTGGATAGAAGCGTTCCTGACAAATAGAACCCAAGTAGTAGTAGTTGAGGGTGAACAGTCAGACAGAGCAAAGGTAGAATCTGGAGTTCCACAAGGTTCAGTCCTAGGCCCTAGTCTATTTTTGTTTTACATAAATGACCTAGCGAATGACCTAAAATCAACAGTTCGTCTCTTTGCTGATGACACAGTAGTCTACTTAACCATCGCCTCAGATACTGATTGCCGACACCTACAGTCAGACCTTGATAAAATGGCACTATGGGAGGAAAAGTGGAAGATGGAGTTTCACCCAGAAAAGTGTAGCGTACTGACTGTCTCCAGAAAGAAAAAACCAATCAAATGGGACTATGTATTACATGATCATGTACTAAAACATGAAACATCAATTAAGTACCTGGGCTGCACCATCACAAGCGAACTAGACTGGGGAGAACACATCAACAACATTACCAGCAAAGCCAGCAGAAGCCTTGGTTTCCTCCACAGAAATCTACACATCGGCTCTAAAAGCATCAAAGAGCAAGCTTACAAAACCCTAGTAAGGCCCCAACTAGAATATGCCACAACAGTATGGGACCCATATCATCAGAAACATATTGACCAAATTGAAAAAGTTCAAAGGAGGGCTGCGCGATACGTCACCAAGCGCCACAGAAACAGATCAAGTGTCACGGACATGATTAATGAATTGGGTTGGAAAAGTCTCCAAGAACGACGCAGAGAGGCCAGGCTCGCAATGATGTACAAGATCGTCAACGACAAAGTAGCCATCAACAAAGACATGTACCTCCAGAGACCAACCAGAGTATCCAGACATACACAACAGCATGGATACATGGTACAAACAGCAACCAAAGACTGCAGGAAATGGTCCTTCTTTGTGAACACCACCAAAGACTGGAACAAGCTTCCCCCGGAGATCGCCACAGCACAGTCATTTGAGACATTCAAATCTCAAATGACCAACCTTACAAAATAAGACGAACATTTGTTTTTATCCTGTTTTTAACCATGCAGAACCAATTTGCCAGTATATTCAGAAAGTTGAATGTGGGCATTATATGGAAGAAGAAGAAGAAGAAGAACTATAAAAGATGTTTCAATTTATTTTATAATAAAAGTTAAGTGAAATAGCAATTCACCGGGCACGTCAGACTCTCGAAGCTTAGTTACTAGAACAACCTTGAGGCACACTATATTGATATATTGTGTTCTCAAAACAACCATAAAATTCTCACGGTATCAATATATCATCGGAGGCTTTTAATTTATTATAACTGTAATGCCCTGGGTGACATTATTTTGCCAATTTTTGATTGTTTCTGTTACATTTCTTTCATTATATATCTATATATATATATTTATATTTTGACATATTAGTCGTTGGTTGCTGTCTCATTGGCGTAAACTATAGTTTTAACTCCGTTTGATGTACTTCAGAGAGAGATTAATTAAAGAGAGGTGCTCGGGAATATTTCACGGTTGGGCAAAGTAAAACGAAAAACATTGTTTTCAACTGTATACGACGACCAAATTTGAACGAAGTCTAGTTTCCTTATAATTAGAATAAGATCTGTATCTTTATCTGTATGAATACGTTGTGGATACTAATACTGGCTTTGATACAACAATTACTCGGTGCGCGCACTACGGTGTCTTCAAGGTGGTTCCACTCGATCACTGTTTTCACGAAGAATGAGTTTGAATATTGCGGTGTTTTGCTAGATGGAATTCAAAACACTTTGTGTTGTTCCTTACTTGTTTTTCCACAATATTTATTGTCTGGTATAGTTTTCAAATATCTTGGCAGTAATTGTTCTTTTTGGACGTTCTATAGCAGTGATTCCTGTTATATTAAATCCAGTCCCCAATTGTACATTGACAGGACTATATATTCAAAACATCGTAATAAATTCCGTTGAGCACACAACCATGTTATCCAAAATCAAACCATAACTATTTAGAATATTGAAAACTTCCATTCGTTTTTTCCAGAATTACAAAAATATTTATCCAGTTTTACTTAGCTTGGGGATTTATTTAGAATTACACCAGTCTGACTAAAGCCAGTCCCACTATTCACTTGCGTTTGTAAACCACTACCCACTTGCGTTTGTAAACGCAAGTGGATAGTGGGAATGGCTTCAGTCAGACTAGATTTACATTGTACAAAATTATCAAAAAAGTTCCAATTTGTAGGAAGAAGCCTTTATCTGGTCCCGTACAATCCAAAAACCTTATTATATATATGTAGAACTCTGAACCACGATGGAACTCCGAATTCTCCTCCTAGCATGCAGCAGTATGGGGCCATGCAGAAAATGGACTGGATGGCTCAGATTAAGTATAATGGATTCGAGTGGGAGGACATGTCTTTATTTGGAGTATTCAAGTGCTATAAAAAAAAATAAGCGTGTCGGTATATAGTATATACTAAACAGGGTCCATCTCATTTTATAAACTTGTTCTCGATATGGCATATCTGAGAAATTACTCACAACAATCATTCATCCATTTATCTGATGTAACAGATTTCAAGAGAAAAAACCCATCAAGTATATGTATGTTTCACTTATGTCGAGACGTATCACGCGTGTTCCACAAAAAATTTTACAATTAGAACTACGCTGCCTGAGCAGAACAAATTGGGGAGTACACGTAGGTTTCAGTCGGGTTTATTTCGGCCTTACTTGTGGCAGAAGATTAACACTGTAACCACAATAAAATTAGGCTAGAATGCCGGTTTTCATACAAAGCAGTATTTATCTCAGGAATAAAATAAAATTATATCAACTTGATATAACAAAAAACAAAATTATATCAACTTGATATAACAAAAACATTGCAAATAATTCATTTTGTCCACATAAAGTCATGTGAAGAATTATTGAAGAGAAGTCAAAATTAATATTTAGAGCAATATATTCTAATTGTCATACAAAAAGTTTGCGACATAATTCCGAACACTGGTTAGTCCATCTGCAGACCAAGTTCATCTTTCAGTCGCTTTGCTCCCCACAATTTGCTGCCTGACTTGGTTTAACATATTTTTGTAACCTCCATCTGCACTGCTCAAAACTGTTCGGGGCTTGAATCGTTTGTTACTTTCTTTTTCCTTTCCTTTCCTTTATAAGCATGAAACCTTCATTTACAAAATATTATCCTCCTGCTTGCGAATTCCTATCGATTAAAAGTAACGTTGTATTTGAAAACGTCACAATATTCAAGCGTCATGTCGAACCATCGCACTTCTGAGAAAGGACCATCGTACTTCGGCGCGGACCATCGCATTTCAGCGTCCCCACCGCACCTCCGAGTCCTACATATATTTCGAAACGATGAAGTTGTGCATAGCTGTTAATAGATAAACTATGTCGTATTTGTAAGACAAGAAAGCAATTGATTGACCTGTGCAGTATATCTGAGGTAATTAATGAACACCTTAACTGTGCATTATCCAGATTATAAGAACAAAGAGATGTTGCTCATATCATGTGTTAAATCGGAAGATTTATGTGCTGAGTAAAATAACAAAAAGAAGAATACTCTTAAACAAAACCATAATGATACCGGGAGTAATAACTGTGTGCATTGTCTTTCAGCTGAGACTACTATAGTATTATATGCAGTATATTGAGTCTAAGCTTTCAGGTATCGTTTTCCATCCTCGGGTAAATAGGAAAAGCATACCCTACATCTCATCTCTTCTTCCCTTTACTTCAAATCTATTATAATCCATCTTATTTAGTTCTTATGTGGCCCCATTAGTCGAAGTAATATTAAAACACTTTACATTATTATTTTTTTTTTTTAAATTCGGGTTATTTAACTCATGGAAAGATGTTTGATGTACACAAATGTAGAAGAGTTTTATAAATATATTGGATGTAAGACCTTTAAACTACTTAAATTTCTCCGTCATACTTGTGTTATGTGTAAATTGTTGGAGCGTATATTTACAAACACTTTTAAAAATCAATAAACCTGCAATTTTACTACAAAAATTGACATTTTAATTACTTTAAAATGATGATTTAAATCGGAAATCAACAACTACGCATGACGATAAACACATTTTTGTACTTAGCAACAGAGGAAGTCAACTAGAGACCCATTTTCTACAACAATTCAACAAGAATGGTAAGTTTTAATCTATCGAACATTTTCGCACGTTCACCATGGTCATTGAAATAAACAATGGAAATTGTTGTACAAATGTATAAAGTTCAATGTTGATACTATCGACAAAAACGCTTTGTTTAGGAACATCCAGTCATCGTTATTTGATTTATATTTATATAAATATATATACAATTTTCCTTTGACTCACATGAATACGGAGTATTATAACTGGGGCGCTACTCTTGTTAACATGTACAAGGCCTGTCTCTACAATGGTAACCTTTTTGGTACATACTGTCATGAACATTGAAGAGCATAGCCAACCTTAAAATGTTTTTTTTTTCAAAACGGTAAAACAAACAATTAGATTTCTGGGGTTATAGTCTATAAGATAAGGCCAAACTTTCGAAGATAAATATAAAACATGTGTAAAGAAGACAAATATAAAGCATTTGTAGATTCGGAAAAAAAATGTAAACCGTGATTGTCAGAAGACAAATATAAACCATATGTAAAGATTCGAAAAAAATGTAAACCGTGATCGTCAGAAGACAAATATAAACCGTTTGTAAAGATTCGAAAAAATGTAAACGGTGATTGTCAGAAGACAAATATAAACCATATGTAAAGATTCGAAAAAATGTAAACCGTGATTGTCAGAAGACAAATATAAACCATATGTAAAGATTCGAAAAAATGTAAACCGTGATTGTCAGAAGACAAATATAAAACATGTGTAAAGATTCGAAAAAATGTATAAACCGTGATTGTCAGAAGACAAATATAAAACATATGTAAAGATTCGAAAAAATGTAAACCGTGATTGTCAGAAGACACATTCTCTGTGAAAGTTGCATGTTTAACGTCAATGGTTCCTACGGTTTATTCATACAACAATGGTCAGATTGTATCAATTTTGAGCTACATTGCTCGTCCTTTATATGGACTATGTATTTGCGTTTGACTTTATATGCAAACAAGAATCAATCATTTAAGTACAATGCAGAGACTAAATAGTTGTTGCCTTTTGGTTGATACACTAATCAGCTGACACCAGTCTATTGATTACATCACTGGCCTTGAATGTATGTATAGCCAATTATCGCTATTTTACGAATTTTTCCTTTGATCTTGCTGACTGATAATTTCCGTTCTCATCGGAGTCGAGTGATATGAAAACGGAGTCGAGTGATATGAAAATTATCGCTAGAAACTAAGGGAACACGTGCCGTTGTCAAGGAAATTAACAACGTCTTCATAGGTAAAATAGCGATAAACAGATTATCATTGGTCATCTCAACTCGATTGGTTTTCTCGCTTTCGCCGTCCCGGCTCAAGCGAGAAAATCAATCTCGTTGAGATAACCAACGATAATCTATAAGTATCTAATACATGTATGTTTTGGTTATGCGAGACCGTGTCGTTGGGATATTGTCTCATAAGATACACCACACAGTTATTTGTATATTGTGAAATATCATTTTACACTTTGGCAATGACAGTATATATAATTATTTTCACAGTCTCATGAAGTAGAAGAAACACTAAAGAGAATACAGACACACCCTGGAGTGATAGGAACTATTGTTGTTAATAATGAAGGTATGCACAAGGAAGGACAATGAACGTATTAATTTATATAGAAATTTAGATAGTGCAATTCTGTGTAAATACGAATATATATGTTGAGTGACACAACGGCTGAGCATTAACGTATGTCTTGGAATATAAAACATATTTATACGAGCCATAGAAACAGGTACAAAAAAAAATCTCCCGTTAGCGTCAAATAGAGTAAAATGATTATCGTTAAGGTTATTTTGATTAATATTTTAACTGGAATCTCGTTTTCCAGGTATTCCGCAAAATTTAAAACATAATTGAAATTCAACCACTGCTTAAAGAAAAGAAGACCCATTAATTAAACAACAGACTGTATTTGTAAATCATAAATTAGTTTAGAGTCAGAGGAGGTTTATAAGAAGAGAAGAGACCATTGATATGTTTTATATTCAGTATATTATTTATTATATAATGTCTTAAAGGTATTCCAATTAGAACAACATTGGATAATCCAACAACCGTCCAGTATGCCGGATTAATACAGTCACTGACAGCCAAAGCTAGAAGTGCAATTCGGGATATTGACCCACAAAATGACTTAACATTCTTAAGAATCAGGTCTAAAAAGCATGAAATAATGGTAGCTCCAGGTATGCTAATAATAGTGATAATTTACTAATTTTCATTCAGTTTTACTCTTATGAAATTTTTACAAACTGCATTTATTGATTATATTTAAACATAAGTGGTATTAATTATATTGATTCAGGAGTATTTTTATTGTTAATACAATATACATCTGTAAACAGTAAACATATCACTAAACTAATGCCACACGAATAATCATATAATGATACGCGTTTTAAAAAAGTTTCCGAGAAAGTAAATTACATAAAATACGGGAATCACTGAAAACACTAAGAAAAAAAAAGATGTGTGTAAAACCTTTGTATACTTTTCATCTTTTAACGAATTCTAGAAAATTCATATTCTCTTATTCTTGAGTAACTTTGCATCTTCCATAACACAATAAACCTTAGGGCCTTAACACTGCATTTCCATTCCTGCTAAGTGATAGTTTCAAACAGGGGTTTATAGTGAAAGTTGATTTGAATCCGTTCATTTGCCCGCTCGTCCGTTCGTATGCCTGCATCTTCTATAAAAAATGACTATGCATTGGCTACCAATGAACTACAACCCATGGTTGAAGTGATGTCTGTCAAGACTAAAGGCCAGATATAAATACAAATGGAAGTATAAATAAGCACGGGCTGTTAGACGCCTTATCACATTGCATTACAGATAATTTGTTTTAATATGATAATCCCTATGCTTGTTCCTACAAACTCATGTCTTTTTTGGTGCAGAAAGTACACATTACATGCTAGAAAAACAGAATCCAGATTAATAAACTATCAAAGTAAGATACTTGTTGACAGTGCTGTGTATATGCTGTGTTTTAAAACTTCAACTTTTGCTTAAATTGTTTTTGGTCATCTTTGCAGGATTAAGTAGTTTTCAAAACAAATTTATCATATGTTGTTGACTTTTTAAGTAGTATTGAAACCAAAATTTGATTACCATATCATAAGTTTAGCATAGTCTTATTGTTTCTCACACTGTGTTTAATAAAACCAGGATTTTTATTGACCAAAAACAATTCAAGTTTAAGTGCTATTGTGTGATGCGTGTGATAAACTGTTAGTGCTATATATTTATTACATAAACATGCTTGTTATTAAAGTCAGTATATCATTGGTTTCATTGTTACTTTTAAGTTCGTTGCATTGTGTGACAAGAAAAAATAAAATGCACTCCTCTCAATCAATTTACGGAATACTATAATTATGAAGTATTTGCCATATGTCTGACACATGAATTAGGACGAAAAGTCAACAGACAAAAGATCAGCCATAATACAAATATTATTGAATTCTTAACAATTGGAAAATAGTTGCTTTGAATTACTTTTATGACTGCGTAGCTTTTTGAATTGTTATTATGATATATTTGATATGAAAATGTCAGGAATGATTAATAACATCCTTACATGACACACATTTATCGTTAAGAGAAGGGAATATTAATAACATCATTACATGACACACATTTATCGTTAAGAGACGGGAATATTAATAACATCCTTACATGACACACATTTATCGTTAAGAGAAGGGTATATTAATAACATCCTTACATGACACACATTTATCGTTAAGAGAAGGGTATATTAATAACATCCTTACATGACACACATTTATCGTTAAGAGAAGGGAATATTAATAACATCCTTACATTGCACACATTTATCGTTAAAAAAAAGGGAATATTAATAACATCCTTACATGACACACATTTATCGCTAACAGAAGGGTATATCAATAACATCCTTACACGACACACATTTATCGTTAAGAAAAGGGAATATTAATAACATCCTTACATTGCACACATTTATCGTTAAAAAAAAAAGGGAATATTAATAACATCCTTACATGACACACATTTATCGTTAAGAGAAGGGTATATCAATAACATCCTTACATGACACACATTTATCGTTAAGAGAAGGGAATATTAATAACATCCTTACATTGCACACATTTATCGTTAAGAGAAGGGAATATTTATAACATCCTTACATGACACACATTTATCGTTAAGAGAAGGGAATATTAACAACACATCCTTACATGACACACATTTATCGTTTAGAGAAGGGAATATCAATAACATCCTTATTTTGCACACATTTATCAGCACCAATTGGTATGTACAATACTTTGTCTGTGTTTTTGCAGTTTGTGTGGTTTTACTCTAACGAACACGCCAATATATGCATACTTACACACGAGTTATCTGTTAATTTGTTTCGTTTAGCAATAAAATAATTTGCTATAAAATTATGGTTTCGGTCTTGTTGCAAGAATTAAACAAAATATTATAGAATTCCTCGTTTAGAAGATTTTATCGCAGAACACCAACAATGCAATTAACATATTTAGTTAACACATACAAAACCATTTTTATTACTTTTTCTTTACAGAAAAGGAGTACTTATTAATTTGCATCCAATCTCCACACTAAGGACTTTATCTTCGGTGGATACCTTAACGATGTCAACGTTACATGACATGTACATATAAAAAGTGCAATAGTCATTAGTTATATCTAACACTAAGATATACAGGACGTAGCTGAGCTTTACTACATTCGGACTTGCTTTATATTGTTACAGATGTTAGAATATTTTTACTACATTAAGATTATTAATAAATATTCTCTTATGGTTGTGGCCTGTTATTTATTTCTTGCATGAAGAGTTATATCTGCACAGAGTGTGAAACGAAAAAGTTTATTTGACTGGCTTGTCCAGCATCATGAGACGATATTACGACATTTCCATTGGCTATATTTGTTAGGTTATTGATACATTTCAAAGGTTAGAACGGTCTACATTTCATTCATGGCAACGGACATTTGTGATTTCGTCAATAATATACAAAGAACTCACACTTTTCACCTGGGAATCTTTTTGTCAAATTTTATTACATTCTGAAGAACATAAGAGAAATAAGGTTAACAACTCGCGAGAATTGGGTATCACTTGATATCAACTCGTTATTTAATTCAAATATTAATGATAAACTCGCCGAATGCTCGTTATTATTATATTGAAATTAAATTACTCGAGTTGATATCAAGCGACAACTAGTTCTCACTCGTTATGAAACATATAAATATAGCATTTTTGTAGTACACAATACTGAAAAGAAAGGTACACTCCTCAGTGCAAAAACCGGTTGAAAAGTAATAATGATAAAAAAATAATTTCGTAATGCCTGCATATTTGGTACATTGGTGTATATTAGTGACTTACAGGCGGGTTTTCGTTGTCATGCCTGCATATTTGGTACATTGGTGTATATTGATGACTACAGGAGGGTTTTCGTTAGAATGCCTGCAGATTTGGTACATTGGTGTATATGAGTGACTTACAGGAGGGTTTTCGTTGGAATGCCTGCATTTTTGGTACATTAATGATTTACAGGAGGGTTTTCGTTGTAATGCTTTCAGACATGGTGCATTTGTGTATATTGATGACTTACAGGAGGGTTTTCGTTGTAATGCCTGCAGATTCGGTACATTGATGTATATTAGTGACTTACAGATGGGTTTTCGTTGTAATGCTGGCAGACTTGGTGCATTGGTGTATATTGATGACTTACAGGAGTTTTTTCGTTGTAATGCCCGCAGATTTGGTACATTAGTGTATATTAGTGACTTACAGGAGGGTTTTCGTTGTAATACCTGCATATTTGGTACATTGGTGTATATTGATGACTTGCAGGAGGGTTTTCGTAGTAATGCTTGCAGACTTGGTGCATTGGTGTATATTGATGACTTACAGGAGGGTTTTCATTGTTATGCCTGCAGATTCGGTACATTGGTGTATATTAGTGACTTACAGAAGAGTTTTCGTTGTAATGCTGGCAGACTTGGTGCATTGGTGTATATTGATGACTTACAGTAGTTTTTCGTTGTAATGCCTGCAGATTTGGTACATTGGTGTATATTGATGACTTACAGGAGGATTTTCGTTGTAATGCCTGCAGATTCGGTACATTGGTGTATATTAGTGACTTACAGAAGAGTTTTCGTTGTAATGCTGGCAGACTTGGTGCATTGGTGTATATTGATGACTTACAGTAGTTTTTCGTTGTAATGCCTGCAGATTTGGTACATTGGTGTATATTAGTGACTTACAGGAGTGTTTTCGTTGTAATGCCTGCATATTTGGTACATTGGTGTATATTGATGACTTACAGGAGGGTTTTCGTTGTAATACTTGCAGACTTGGTGCATTGGTGTATATTGGTGACTTAGAGGAGGGTTTTCGTTGTAATGCAGCAGACTTGGTACATTGGTGTATATTGATGACTTAAAGGAGGGTTTTCGTTGTAATGCTTGCAGACTTGGTGCATTGGTGTATATTAATGACTTACAAAAGGGTTTTCGTTGTAATGCAGCAGACTTGGTACATTGGTAAATATTGATGACGTAGAGGAGGGTTTTCGCTGTAATGCCTGCAGATTTGGTACATTGGTGTATATTGATGACTTAAAGAAGGGTTTTTCGTCCATGTGCCTGTTCAAGTTAGACAGGAACCTCGTTAGTGGTTGCGTTATATCATATCTTAATGTCTATCTAGCTAATCCGATGTTTGATGGTTTCTGTGTAATTTATTCAGAACTGGTTTTAGACTCGTGACGTTTTGGAGCTTCACATATGGTATTGTATACACAAGTGCCTATTGTTGAAGACTGTATGTTGACTTTTGGATATCATGTGGTTATGCTTGTGTCGTTTGATTGTTGCCTCATTGACGTTTTTATTTTATTCATATTGGTATAACATTATTATAATTGGTCATGTTGGGCGAAAAATGTACAAGTTTTGGTTACACCCAGTCTTTTTTAGTAGGTCATATAAAAATGTAATACACCATTTGTTCAAATAAAAAATAAGAATATGTGTTATATAAAAATAAGAAGATGCGGTATGATTGCCGATGAGGCAACTCTCCACAAGAGACCAAATGACACAGAAATTAACAACTATAGATCACCGTACAGCCTTCAACATTGAGCAAAGCCCATACCGCATAGTCAGCTATAAAAGGCCCCGAAATGAAAAATGTAAAACAATTCAAACGAGAAAAACTAACGGCCTGATTTATGTACAAAATAATGAACGAAAGACAGATATGATATACAGCAACAAACGACAACCATTGAATTACAGGCTCCTGACTTGGGGAAAGGCACATAATGAATGTAGCGGGGTTAAACATGTTAGCGGGCACCCAACCCTCCCCCTAACCTGGGACAGTGTTGTAAAGGTACAACATATGAACAAACTTTAAAAATCAGTTGCAAAGGGCTTAACTCATCAGATAGATACAAAGCACAAAAACAAGCAACAAAAACACAGAGTGGACGTGGCAGTGTACCTATACATCCCCACAACAAAAGACACTAAGTGCAGATCTGAGAGTACTCGCAGTTTCTGACAGCTAGCCTAGTTCAATGCCAATAACAGCTAATAAAAAAAATCATACATCTGAGACTAATCAGTACACATCCAACATCCAATGGATTTAGTATAAAGACGTCATAAACAGTCAGAGAAAAACATGACCTTGTACAATGCCAAGATACAGGTATCGATAGACTGTAGAGCCATGAATATGCATATGTATATAAAAATAATATTTGGTTTGATTTTAATTTACTGACTACCAATGAGACAAATCTCCATTAGAGACCAAATGACGTAGAAGTTAGCAACTATAGGTCACCTATCAGCCTTCAACGATGAGCAAACCCATACCACTAAGCAAGCTACAACAGGCCTCAACATGACAAATGTAAAACAATTTAAACGAGACTTGAAACTAACGGCCGGATTTATGTACGAAATAATAATAAAAAAAGTAAACAAATTTGATCAACAGCAACAGCAACAAACGACAACCACCCAATATTACAAGCTCCTGGCTTGGGACAGACACATTTAGAATGTTAACTCTCCACTAACCTGGGACAGTGGTGCAAAGCTGATAATATATTTCATAATGTGTAACTGTATGACCATGTCAAAATATGATCAATTTACACGAACTCGCTCGAATAGTCATTCCTTTTGGTATGATACTGCTGGAATAGTTTAAAAACATTGTATGAAAGGTAACTTTTCATTGGATTGAATCATCAGTGTCAATTTTTGCATGTTTGCCTAAAATCACCGTTTATTATTATTTTTATTTTATTCCAACTTCATGCTTGCACAGTTTTCTAGCTAAAAATAAAGATCGCCAAATAGTATGAAGATATCACGACCGTTAATGTAAATGAACGGCACAAAAATAATTCTATGGACAAGGAGGGCATGTTTTTAAAAGTATATATAGGGGCCTATCTAAAAAAAAAATATGATCACATTGGCACAAATAGTTATGACTATCATAAACCAAAAAAATATTTTTATCCAATTTTCGTGGGTTGATTTTGATTGTGATAAAAGATTGATAGGAGATTGATATTTGAATTGATGTATTTATGAAACAAAAAAGAACTACTAAATTGGCGTTGTAACACGTACACATGCACAAAATATTTGATGCGTAAAGTTGCAATATTTTAAAAGGCACTTGATAGACTTTTCGAAATTTTTCAGTGGTGGTTAAAATCAGATTGTAGCGCAAAAAACGTTTTTTCGAGTTAGATATCTAAAAAAATGACATATATACAAAAGGTTAAACAAATCTTATAATGTATGCAGCACTGAATAATACCGACTCAAAACTGATATAGACTTGCTTTTATTCTGAAATTTATGATACACTACGGACCCGTCTCCTATAAAAAAAAAACCAAATAAAAACAATAAAACAAAACAAAACAAAAAACATAAAACTCAAAAACTGTAATACTAAATGCTTAATAAGCTTTGATAGATATGACACAAAATCGTGTGTATATCAGCTATGGTATCATGCCTATTCAGTAGAACTTTATATACCGGAAACAGTCCTTTGTGAGAAAACGTCACTGTCTACTTCACGACCCCTTTAGCGACGTTTCACTTTTCACGAGGTCGTCAGTGTGAAAAGCCGCACAACAATGTCTTCAAGCGAAAGTTTGGATGATATTCTTCCTAGTCGGAAAATTCAGAGAACCAATAGTGAGATTCTACGAGAACTTCATGCCGAGGTAGATATATCAGATGGTGAATATGATTCTGATTGCAGTGTTGGCGTTGTCGTAGATAGTGATGATGAGTTCGGAGATATCGGAGATATCAGTGATTTCACAGAAGAAGCAGAAGATCTATGTGTAAGTAATTTATACTTTCATTACTTTCGATTTACTGATACAGTGAAAATACACTTTATATATATTCTGTCATTTTCATATCCATTATGCTATTGAATAACACGACGATGTGAAAATTAAAACAGGACTGTCAGGAGGCTT